AACAGAGTTTGTATTACAAAGTTATACGGATTCCTGATGTACATAGGTGTATATAAAATAGTTTGCTTCGTATCAAAGACCAATTATAACTATACATAAGTGTTATACCTACCCCTCCGACTAGGGAAGACGGAATAAAACCTTTCAACTCTTTAATAAAAAAAATAGGCAATAGCAAATATAAATAGTGATCTTAGACTGCTCTTTGATGTAATTTTAACAATAAAATTATACTCTACTAAAATACTTGTCACATATTATGTCAAAACACTTAGCGCAAATATTATAAATATATGTTTTACTAAACCAATTATGTACGTGAGACAGGTGGCCGGAGTAATCCTGTGAAGTTATTAAATACTTACAAAACATATAAATTCACACGGTGTTGTATATACTGGGCCGTAAAACGGGCAATGTACATTTATGAATACGGCATATGGAAAGCGGATAAATTTGAAACGGCCAACGTAGCAATATTTAATATTCTGACCCAGTAAGGAAATTTCCCCAACCCGTCGTTTGAACGGTTACAGCTCTCAAGAGTAATATGATGACTTGAAACTGTCTCGTTTAATACATTACATTATTTAATGGACACTGAATCGATTTACAATAATTCATTATTAATTTTAAACAGATTTTACTGTATGGAAATAATTTTCACATAAATACTCATTCGTGTTGACATTTTATAGATGAAAAGGAATCATTTATTTCATATCCGTTATTATTATTATACCGGTCTATATAATATAATATATTATTATGAATTTTTGAATTTTATATCTAAATCCTGTACAAGGATAGCAATTTAACTAAGTGCAGAAAACATTATCATAGACTTTGTTAACAAAGGAGTAAAGTGACAAAGACAAACCAAGGTTTAAAAGTAATTGTGTTGCTTTGTCTGCTTTGCTCTATATACTGTCAACCAGAAGTTACTAGTCAGTGAAAACGTTTACACACAATTATAGTCTTTAATACCCGTTTATACGTACCATAATCGTGTAAAGATTTTTGTACACGTTGTTTGGTGTTGACACAACACTAATGGAGTATACTCTTAAAATGTTTTCCGAACTGATGAACGCCATTAAAACGCTTTGTGGTTTAAGTACAAATGTCGGGTATAACTGCATCGAGAATGTAAAATGTGTTCATTTATGTAAAAAAAAAAATGCGATTTAAATAATTATAAAACATCTTTTTTATAGTTCTCGTTTATTTAATACTAGCTTTCCGCCCGCAGCTTCGCCGCGTGGAGTTCGGTTATATCGCGTTTCCAAGAGAACCTTTCAAAAGTCTGGGATAAAAACTATCCTATGTTCTTTCTCAAGGTCAACTCTATCTCTGTACCGAATTTCATTAAAATCAGTTCAGTGGTTTAGGCGTGAAAGCGTAGCAGACAGACAGACAGACAGACAGAGTTACTTTCGCATTTATAATATTAGTAGGGATTGACTGAAGTGTAGACAAGACACAGACGAAACTTCTCAGCATTCAATGGATTCACCGTGCGGGTGCCGGGTCCATCGCGTTGCAGAGAGAGGAGCTTCAACAGTGTCTGGGACTTGCGACCCAGGTGTAGGAATTAGGCCTCGGCCTCGAATTTTGCGGGCAGCGGAGCGGCAGCGGCGGCGGCACGGAAACGCATACTGTTCTCCAAACTAGCGGGCAGCGGGCACCGCTGTATTCGAGGGTCGGTCCATTTGATTATACGCGTAAGATCCTGCCGCTCCCGCTGCCGCTCCGCTGCCCGCAAAATTCGAGGCCGAGGCCTAAGGGGCTTCTATTTAACGCGCGTTATACGCTCACCTCCATTATCCAATATATTAAAAACTAGCTTTCCGCCCGCAGCTTCGCCCGCGTGGAGTTCGGTTATATCGCGTTTCCAAGAGAACGTTTCAAAAGTCTGGGATAAAAACTATCCTATGTTCTTTCTCAAGGTCAACTCTATCTCAGTACCAAATTTCATTAAAATCAGTTCAGTGGTTTAGGCGTGAAAGAGTAACAGACAGACAGACAGACAGACAGACAGACAGACAGACAGAGTTACTTTCGCATTTATAATATTAGTAGGGATAAAGCTCAAGATAAATATTCGAAGACTATTTTAACGTTAGTTTTGATAATTATAAATTTTATTTTAGTTTCAGTTCTCTTATACTTAGAATTGTTGTAGGTTTTCTTAATAAATTTCAAATTAACGTCGTCCATATTTGATTCAGAAAAACAATAACAAATTAAACCTTTAAAAACTTTATATGACAAATATTTTTGCGATTTCTTTCGAATTTAATTATATAAGAAAACTTTTTTATTCAAAATTAGGATTGCAAAAATATACCAATTCGAGTGTAAATAGAATCTTTTAATTAGATTCTGAACAAGTTTATTACAACAATAAATTGTCCTATACGTTAAGTCGGGAAGAATAGACTGAAATTTGAAAAAAAGGGGGTCATAAAAAGGAAAATCAATACACAACAACAATTTCTTTATCTGTTCATATTTAACAGAAAACTTAACTTTTATAAATAAAAAAAATTTACACAGAGCAAAGAACAATAATTAGGCGCGAAAATGATTCAACTTAAAGTATTCAATATATATAGTATACGATATTGTATTAAATTGTCAATATTGCATTGCATATTTGATTGAACTGACGGCTTTCCCAAATATTCAATAAATAAAAAAAAATATACATACAACGGTACTCATTACAATACAATAATGGACGTCTGTCAATGTCATTCGCTTGACATTTATTGTCAACATCATTTGACAACTCAAAAATGACATATATTAGGAATGTCCATTGTTATACTGTTACACTATTCATAATATTTATCGGAAGAAACACAGATTTATATATTTTTCATTGTTACATCACTAGTATTACAACATTTATATTTTAAAAAACTCGAGTCAATTATATATGGAGTCAATAATTGTATGATTACTGTAAGACATATATTGTACACATAATGACGAAAACAAATAACATTTAAAATGGGATTTTTTATAGTTTAATCGTACCATTTGAGATCCAAATACAACATGTTACGTAAGGCTTTCAAATAGGCCCTCAATTATATAAGTATCTTCACCTATATAAAAATATTTATCGAACACAAAAATTGAGTATTTAGATTTCAATATAATGTACATCATAACTTATAATCAATGAATTTACACATCAATAAGCAAAATGTATATATTATGGATCGTTTTAAATTTTATGAAAATATTTATTCCTTAATACTACACAGGATAGGATTTAGTCACATATGTACAAACGGTTACTGAATGTTTATTGAGATTCTTAAATTAGTGTAGAAATGAAACGATATGCTCATCATTATTAACGATTAAAAAACAGATTATAGTACATTAGCAAAATAAAAAGAAACTGGACAATTATTCAGACATGTTCCCACTTCATAAAATTTAATTACATGATAACAAAAAGTGACCTAAAAGCTTGCAAAGGAAAATATTTAAAAAAATAAAATATAGTGCATACATACTGGCAAGATATTATTAGAAAAAATTCCTCTCCCATATAATAAAGTACGATAATAATCTCCATTCCATTATAAAAGCTACGATCACTCTATCACTTAACATTCCTGTACTTCATGTCTCCGAATATTATTTATGCCAAAATATTCAATAATTCACTAGAGTAGTTTAACTACTATTTAGCTAGTTTTAAATTTCAGTCCAAGCACCGCTCCGTTATCATTATACGTACATAACATTCGATGAGAAGCTAAAACAATGGGAATGAATGAACGATAGAACGTATGTACGAACGAGTGAATGACATCAACGCTAACTAAAATAAATAACTTGGATAACATCCCTCGCGTGAGGTAACAGCCGTCTTAGCTATATACATTTAAATACTTAGCATCGAAATAGAATTAGATAACTTGAACTTTTGACTGGAACCCGCTGCGACTGAACCAAGAGCTTGTATGGAAGTTTTCTTAAGTTGAGAGCCTATGTGAAATCGTTGAACTGTGCTAGGGCCGTTTTCACTCTGAAAATAAAATACTTGTAAGTACTTCAATATTAAGTTATCAGTTATAGAAAAAGGTTTAGTGTTATTGTATGTGAAATAACAAGGACTTATATTATTACTAGAAGATCCGGCGAACTTCGTATAGCCCTATAATCAAGAAATATCTGTTACGTTTTTTTAATAAATAAATTTAGGTTATACCTTAGCCTCAGAAACACTTGGTGGTTATTCTATTATTAAATAGTCGCTCATATATGACGTTTATATTTTTAACATAGCGCCATCTATTAAATACTTAACTCAGTCAACAGATAAAAATAATTTTCTTTAATAGGCAAATGGCAAATGACAAAATGACAAATAATTTTCTTTAATAGGCAAATAATTTGGAATAAAATAATATTGTGACTATAAATTGAAATGTAAGCTATCCTATCTATCAAGTTGGGTCAAAATGCACACGGAATGCAAATCAAATTTAAAATTGGTTTAGTATTTAAGGAGTCCATCGCGGACAAACACGTGACACAAAATTTTTATATATATAAAGATTATTATTATCTTTGTCTAATAAATCAAAAGCGTTATGTTATGTTAAAGGGTTACTTCTAAGTGTGTTTCACTTGTGATCTTTCTCATACTTGTTCTAGAGTACTTTAAAGACAGGGAATACAAATTTTAAAAACTACAAGAACTATATACAGAGAAAAATATAATATATTAATATATATTATATTATTACGTATATTTCTATGCATGATAGAGAAAAGAAAGAGATGGAAATACTTTACATAAACGTGTGTGAGGAAAAGAGATAAATAATTAGAAGCACACTTATTGTGTAGTATGATACAAAGAGAATGCAATATTAAATACGTGTGAGAGTGAAAGGGATAGATATATTACCTTACTTAGTATCACAGAAAGAGAGTGCAATATCAAATACATGAAAGAGTGAAAGGGACTATATATTATCATACTTGTCGTGCAGGTGGTGTGCGTCGTGCCTGGCCCGCAGGAGCTTGAGGGCGCGCAGTACGCCGAGGTCGGCCAACCGCTGCTGACGTGCCGCCGCGCCCGCCTCGCCGCGCCACACTAGGTTACCAGCCACGAATAAAGCTGCTTCTTGCAGTTTAGACTCAGGGTGCGCCTGAAAATTAAACACGAAATGTTTGTTAATAATAAACTGAAGTTAAAGACAGTACATATGGATACTAATAGAATATAATTACTAAAATACAAGTGGAAGTTGGATTCAGATTGATTATTATATTATATGTTCTAATTCTGGCGAAATAAAAATAAAGTATGTATTAAATATTAATCAACTATCGATGCCATATGTGAAAAACTAAAACAAAACCAATGATTACTTAACTATTTCGTAATTTAGAACTTTTATATTTTTCTTTTATATGACGAAGGCGCCAAATGAGCTAGTGGCCTGACGAAGATAGTATCGTCGCCCATGGACATCCACAAAAGTATTTTATGCATCGGTTCCCCCTAGATTGTTGAAGAGGGAGAAGAAAATGTGGGAAAAGGGAAAAAGCAACCGTCTCTCTCACTCATCGGATGAAACGAAGCCATTAAAGACTACTTCACGACGATCTTCTGTGAGACTGTGGTACTTAACTGGTAGAGCCAGCCATTTTTGTACGAGCTGCAGTAATTTGATCACAGCTAAGCTCTACCATATATGTATATAGTGTATAATGTAGTTATTTCTTTGTTAATTTACCAGATAATCGACTAGTTTCCTGAGCACATCTTCGTTATCCATGATGAGGTCCTTGGCCTTCTCTCCGTCTCCAATATTCCCGAGGATGCACAGCGCTTGTTCCTTCACCTCCGCTGGATACGAACCTTCCAACACTACTATCACAGCCTGGAAGAAACGTTAGACAAAAATGATCTTTATTGTATTGTTAAAAGAACACATTACACAAATTAAACAAATATAAAATAGACAAAAGCAATTAGTTTTATTTGGCATTAGCTTTGATCGTTACTTCGTTTATCGTGAACTTTGAAGCTATTATAGGTATGACATTATAATGAATAAGATTGGACCCTTAAAACGTTAAGTGAATTATTAGGTCCTATAACCTTATTACGGATTTAACCACAATCAATATTACTTTATTAACATAAGCAATAAATTAATAAGTGCAACCAAACAAACTATGAGTATGGATAAATCAATGCAAGTGCATAAACTAATTACCTGCATAACTTGCGAAGAATATTCCGCCATGATAGCGTCAATGTGGTGCCTAGTGGACAACAGATTTCTTAACAAACCCAAAGTCTTCATGATGACCCTCGTATCTCCGTCCCCTAGTAATCTGAACATCTGTTCCGTGCCTAAACAACACAGAATCCGCTGCTTTACCTTCTGTTCAGCCTGCAAATACAACTTATATTAGTTTGGATACTAGGAACAATACATTAAAGGAAGAATACGACTTTTACTCACAAATATTTAAATTGAACTTTGGTTATACATTTTGCTTTCTATCATTTATAAGTTTTATGTGATGTCTCTCACAAAAATTGGAACGATAAGTGTTAGAATTTGTCAAAATATTTAAATATTGCAGTAGTCAACTAAACGAGTAAAAATCGTTAAAAATATATCCCAAAATTGGTTTAAATATCTCGTTTTTCTTTCATCCATATTTGATCATTACACTTTTGGGTGCAAAAGTTACAGGCATTCATTTAAACCATTTATTTGCTACACACATACATTACATAGATTATACAGAAAAAAATAAGTAAATTTAAAGAATACAGTGTAGGAGCAAGGGGTTCATCTCAGTATAAGCTGCATTAGGCACAGCACTTATTTTCAGATGGCCCCTGAATATTGGGTAAACAAACACAAATGCGTGCAAACGAAAATATATAAAAAAAATTATAAGAACAAAAAACTAAAAAGCCCTTATCCTTAAGAAAAAAAAACATATCACACAAAAAGAAAAACATCACAAGGAACTTAGACATAAGATAGACAGACAGACAGACCTAGACAAGACATTAAAAATAAATATGATAAGTACTAAGTCTATGAGGTAGTATGACTGAAACTATATTTGGAGGTTGTTACTCTGACTTTTGTTTATTTAAAATAATACCGTCAGATGTTTTTTCAAAGTCACCTAGGACGTACTATTACGCAAAGGAGGGGGTAAGTCGTTTCATAGTGGCAGAGTATTTAAACCCTCCCTTATATTGAGCCGATCTGTGAGCTGGTACAATTCTCTAACCCAGTCCAGCTTATCGTAAAGGTACGTGGGCCTTTTCTTAAAAATAACTTTATGTACTAGACACGCAAGATGAATTTTTCTTCGAGCTTCCATTTTTAATGTGTATGTATCGTTAAGAAACGGCGTGACGTGAGCGCGTTTGGGGACAGTGTAACAGAAACGAACGCACGCATTTTGAACTCTCTGTATGGCCTTTTTGGTTTTTTCATACAGGCGTGGCCCGTATACTGTGTCACAATAGTTAAACTGAGACAGTACAATGGATTCGTCAAGTATTTTCCTAATGGGTTGTGAAAGATATTTTCTAATATTATACAATGTTTTTAAACGATAAAAGGCATTCCTTATTTTACAATTTATATGTTCGACGAACCTGAGTTCATTATCCATAACTAACCCTAAATTAACAGCACTGTCCACCCTTTGCAAGATCTGACCGTGAACTTTAATATGAACCGATTGCGATACTACTTTGTAGCGTTGTATTTTGGTACCCAATAACATGTATTTTGTTTTACTTGCATTTAATATTAATGAGTTTTTTTTTTTGTTTTTATTTAGACATCTATACACCTTCACAAACTTTATAATTTATAATATAGATGTTTTTTACCTGGAAGGCCATATTCATGAGCGCCCAGATACCGTTCAGCCTCAGCGCCGCCTCCGGCCGCCTGGTGAGACCACACAACATCTCAACAGCACCTGAACGCACAAATACACATTCTAAAACAATATTTATATCTGCTCTTTCATACAAATATTCCAATAAATCTAATCTATTACGTGTCCAATGAAAAATTAGTCAATTTTTTTAGGAATAAATATAACTAAATAAAGAATATAGCATGGATATTATTTTGATAGAGAATAGATTTTGTTTGTTACAAAATTTGTTTGGTTAATATATCTTGATATTATATGTTATCACTTATCATTAATATTAATCAGTGGCGTGCACACTATAGATGCAGATAAGTACTACATACCATACCAGTATAACAACTTAACCTATATTGTTTAATTCTTACATACGTTTAATCATACATTACGAAATACAAATGTTAACAGACATTTAAAATACATTTGATTTATGATTTTTTTAATTAAGTGCCATCTATCAATGTAAAAATGAAACATTTTCGATCGGCCGCTGCTAACTGCTAGCGCTGCTATGCAACCAGAGCGGCGGTATGCCCAACCACTCAGTGCTTATTTTCCATATGAAAATTCTCAAGGAAGATCTATGGATGCAGAAATGTTTGTATATGGATGCACTTGTATATGAAGCACTGACTATTTTGTGTTGTTTAGAATGTTGTTGAAAGTCCATTAATTGTCAAATGAAACGGGACTCTGATGGGTCGGTAAACTGTTCTGAATATATTTTTTTCGTCATTTTATTATTATTGAACTTTCTAAGCGCAAATGGGTGAGTTTTGATAAGTAAACAGTGGATTAATTTATTAACGAACTTGGAAAATTATAGCTGTGAGCACTGTGCTTGTGATGTGTGTTTATTGAAATTAGTTACGAGTAGATTTTCAAAATTTCCGTTATATAATAAAATTAAAATAAGTGTAAAGTGAAGGTGTGTAACCAGTTGAGATTGAACTAAAAGAGTGTTAATGTTATTCTTTTTAATAAAAAGTATTATTAAAGTTTTAATTACTTAGCAGGTAGTGTACACATAAATAAGTTTTTTGTTTGCCCTGTTTGTTGTTTTCAAATGGTAATAATAAGAATGTTTGAATCTCCACTGAATAATGGATATTCCTATTTAAATAACTTTTATAAAGCTGTGATGAACAGATCGTAATCGTTTTAAAGTACTTTCATGGCTCGGAGGTAGTTGAGAGATTCATAAAGTATATAGATTTTCGTTCTGATCGGACTGCTGTATCATCATGCGCGAATATTAACAATGTTTAAATGAAATTAATATTTTCTGATTACTTCGCGTATTTTATTATATTTAAAAACTACATCCTCCCGACGTTTCGATTTCTTTGCAGCAAACGTGATCGCGACAGACATCTCGTCTGCCCGTTAAAAATAATAAAAATGTTAGTTTCATTTAAAATTAAATCAATACTTGCGAAAGATATCATTATTTTCAGTGTATAAGAGGAGGAAAATATGAAAATTGGTATTTTATTTTGCAAACATATTCTGCTTTCCCTACCCCAAATCTCTGTGCACGCCACTGATATAAATAAATACTCGAGAAAGCCTTAGACCTCATTATCATTAAGATATATATACATTTTATATCCATAGTTATTTAAAATACATAAATTTGTTTAATCTATGTATATATATTTATGTCTATACATTTAAAAATATTTAAGTATTATATTTGTTAATTTAATTTGTTAGATGTGGAACTTCAGTATGAAGTATAAATATACACAAAACCATACAAATCAAACCTTGGTCTAACATGGGTTCTTTGGCGGGAGAGAATTCAAGGAGCAAGTTGCACAGAGTCGAAGATCCAACGGTCAGGAGTTCGGTTCCCGGTGAGTCGTTCAAGAGGAACATTAATGGTCGCCATACCTCGTGATCCTGTGGAATATAAATTTATAAAAGATAGTATCGTAAAATCCCTACTAATATTATAAATGCGAAAGAAACTCTGTCTGTCTGTCTCTCTGTTACGCTTTCACGCCTAAACCACTGAACTGATTTTAATGAATTTGGTACAGACATAGAGTTGACCTTGAGAAAAAACATAGGATAGTTTTTATCATAGACTTTTGAAAGGTTCTCTTGGAAACGCGACATAACCGAACTCCACGCGGGCGAAGCTGCGGGCGGAAAGCTAGTCTATATAGAAAGTCAAAGAAAGATCTATAGCGAAATAACCTAAATTATATAAGATTTACTTTTAAGTACAAAACATTATTGAAGTTAAATGTTTTCATACAGCTTGTTGCATTTATTTTAATTTAAATAATTCTCAAGTTTTTCAGAACGAAGCAAAAACTATAAAATGATCCTAAAAACCAACTAAAGGTGCAATTTCTTAAAAATACATTAAATTATCAGCTGTTGAGCCAAAATATATATTTCAAAGCGATATTCTAGAAATGAATTACCATGAATACAAAGTATAATCAGGGCCGTGCCTGACGGGCGTTCATTGCGTGCACCGCACGCAGGCGGCCGAAATTAAGAGGCGGCCAAATCGTTACAAGTTTACTGGGCAAAAATTCAATCGGTTTGTTTTCATTAAGATACGAAGTAAAAACAGTTTCTCTAATCTAATCTATCTAAAAAGAGTTTCTCAGAAATAAGAAATGTATAAAAACTGATTAGGTCGTTGTAGTATTTATATACCTAGTCATGCAGTGAATCCGAATTTTTTTGAACATTGCACGAGCGACGAGCCGAAATAGTTTTTTCAATTGACCGGCGTCGCGTAAGCGGTCTTATTCGTCTTATTAGTCGTATTATAATAAACATTAAAAATAATAAACATTAAAAATTAAATAATAATAAACATTAAAAATTAAAGTAGTTTTTTCTTATGTTATCCTGGGGGCGGCCATACAGACTGGCACGCAGGCGGCCATATACCCAGGCACGGCCCTGAGTATAATTACTACATATAAGAGTATGTATGTATGTGATAGATACCTGAAACGTCGTCCGTAACTGCTGAACTGACCTTGACAATGAATGGAGACATCTTACAGCCGCCAACCTTACCTGTAACATAATAAACATATATTATTTCTTCATCTAGCTGGCAATTTCCCAGCTTTAACCAGGGTCTGTCTTAGATGTTGTGAATAGTTTTGGCTAATTGTTTTTACGACCCTCTTTGGGAATGCATTAATTAGTGATGTCTAAATATTCTTAGAAAGTACATATGACTCTGAAAAATCACATTGGTACTTGCCAGGTCCAGAATCGAACCTGCGCCCTCGTGCATGAGAGGCGGGCCTTTTAACTCTGTCACCACTGACTGACTGATGTTATTTATTATGATAAAATATGTAACACCAATAATGAATAAATATATATACATACACACATTTTTTTTCCTACTTTTATACATATTTCTTATAAGTAACATCAATGTATAGGACAAAAATTAAAATCTTTATATATTTGTTTTATTTTAATTTTGTCTTTTTGCCAAACTTAAATACATCAAAACCCTGAATATATTATAGTTTTATGACTATTTCAGCTACATGGAACACAATTCCAATGTAGAAATAATCTAAATTAACAAAATTTTCTATGGGTATTCTTCACCAAAACTTACCGACGCCTCTTGATTGTTCATTCCATTGACTACATGAACCATGATGCTGTGTGTTTCTATGATCTTCTTCCGAATGTCTTCATCGTTGGCTCCCAGTGATGCAAAACACTTGAAGGCGCCCTGCTTGGCCGCTGATGACGAACACGTGACTATATCAGCTAAGGAACTCATCAGGTGATTTGAAATAGCTGCCAGCCTTTGAAGGGATGTGTCCACCTGAAAAAAAAAATATTTTTTCTTCTAAAGCTTGTAGTCTACACGAAAAATTAGGAAAAATGCATTTAGATGCACCGTATTAAGGTATTGAGTTGGTGTAAATTTGATTTTTATGTATGAATAAGTGTAACCTCTAAAAGGAATTAATAACTTTATGAGTCATTAATTATAATCGAATTTATAAAAAGTTGATTAGAAGATGCAGAAGAAAGGTCTATGGAGTGAAAAAATATTTAAAAATTAAACAGACATAACCAAAGTAGTGTGATGAGTATAAATTAAATTTAAATGTTAATTAAAGTTTAATGTATATTGAATGCTTACTTCTGCCAAATAAGCTAAAGTCTCAGCAGCGGTCGCTCTGATGTCTTCGGGCATATCCTTTGTACACAATCTCGCCAAACAAGGCAACGCTCCAAATACCACCCTATAATAAAACTGTTTTATAACATAAGTCTAAACTTATTTTGATATCAACATCTTGGACGATACATGCTTTAGCACATATCTAATTTTTATACATAAATAAATTATAGAAATATAATGATAAACAATATTTTGACAGCTTTATATCTTTTATTATGGTACTAAATTTTGTTAGTCTAGCATTATAGAAATAATAGAAAAACTACTATTAACATTTGAGACAAAATATTGAGACAATGTCAAAATATAGATATAATATAATAATTTTAATCATCTAACTTATTAAGAAATGTTGACATAGATAGATTTAAACTTTTTTGTAGATTGTTGTCAAAATATCTAGAAAATTCTATTCAATGTATGAACAGAATGTTCTCTAGCCCATGACGAAAGCTGACAAGCAGAACAAAAAGATGTTAGCGTGTGTGAACTTGTTTCGTAAAATGAAATCGTGAAATGAATTGTGTAACGTAATTTATTTGGTTCAAACTTTTCTTAGAGTTGCATGACATTTAACTGGATTTGTCTCAATATATAGGCAAACTCTTTAAACTATATTCAATATAATTAATTGGATTGGTATAAATAGATTACAACAGTGTAAACAAACTTGATAAATAAACAATTCATAGGATCATATAGGTTTTCAAGTTCTTATAGAAAACCCAAAAATGAATTATAACTGAATGATGGACATATTTATGCATCATATAAACGAAAAATTGTTATTATGCTCATACCAAAAAGCAAGTATATTTACAAATCAAAAATGATACAGCACCTAACACAACCTATGAACACATTGCTTAATTGTATCTTAGTAGCAATTTTGTGCCAATTTGTACTTTCAAGATATTTTTTTCTGTTAAACATGATTATTTATTTCATATCAAGAAAATCTAATAGAAAAAAACATTTTTTTTCTATTAGAATTTTGGTTTGTTGATATAACCTTGGAAACTTAAGTATCATAACATGATAAAGGAGTTTAAAGAGCAACTATAGGTGACATTTTATCTAAGAAATAATAAGGTCTGTATATAGTATATTAAATTATAACTCATAATCGATATAAGGTTTTCATTGCAGAAATGAAGATTCAGGTGAAAGAAATTGTTTTTACTTTATAACTAGGACTCAATCTAAACTAATCTGAAATATGTATGGAGAATTTGTTGTAAGAACCTAAATAATACCTATTATCATCAGCTGATAATGCACCGGCTCGATGTATGAATGTAAGACATCTAGCAGCACCCATAGCCACCGGAAGTGGTTTGTCTCTTGATACCAACGCCATTAATAACTCAGGAATTGTTTTGTCGCCGTGTCTGGAAAAAGAGGGACAATTCAAAGGGAAATTTTGAAAAAACACATGAAATCTACCAGAATATGCTGATAAGTTAAATTTTATTATGGAAACAAATTCCACTTGCCAGTCAAAAAACTTACAACTGTTTTTTTTTCCTTATCACAAAATAGTCCAAACTAAAAGCAGCATTTAAGGCACTACCTCTTAAGATGGCACTACTAAAATAAATGATGGTATAATGCCTAAGTTAATGAGCACTAGTCCGCAAAAGTAGCCAAAAAAATAAAAGTGAAAGCGCTACTAATTTCAAAGAAGTATTTGTAACAAAATTGTAGTATTCAATAAAACAATATTAATTTTGTCATGTATGTATTGTGCTAAGGAGCAAACTGAATGACGGCAACTAATAATATAATCTACCTACATTACACTTGACATCCTATTATTATTTAACAATATCGAGCAAGCATAACTAATACATAACAAAAATACCTTGTTGTGAGTGCGACCTGCGAAACACTGGCATTTTCGAAGCACATGGCTGCTAATAGATCCAGAGCTGGCAACGCTCTTGCCAGTGGAGGGGCAGCATCTGGCCTGGCTGCCAACAGGGCTGCCACCGCCGCACAAGCTCCCGCCGCACACAAAGCCTCCTGTTCCAACGGACCTCCGCACCATATTGACAGGATACGGACCACGCACGCGCGCGCCGTCAGGGAACCCTCCCTGGCTATTACTGACGCTTGACCGTTATTAATCCCTCTTTTAGTGACGTCATTCATTTATCATAAATATAGTTTTTTCATATAGACACACATCGAAACACAAAAGTGCAATATTATTAGAATTTTAAAGAAAATGTGTAGTACTCTTAAATGTTAATGTTGAATAGGATACTTCAAACATTAAAACTTTGGTAAAAGAAAAATCATAAAACTTTTAAGAATATATGGATCAACAATCAAAATTATGGAGATGAAATTTAAAATTTTAACTTATTATCCATTAATATATAAAGAACTACCTGTTAATCTTCCTAGCAGCCTCATATCAGCGGGGAGGGCACCTATTGGTGCTGGGGGATGTTGAAATATACTCCTGAGGGCACACAGACATGCTTCTGCTAGCTTTGTACCAGTCGGCACTACTTTCAACAACTCCACAAGAACTATAGTTGTCCCTTGCTCAACAAGTGATGCCACATTTTCCGGTGTTCCTTTGGCTAGGGATCCTATCACACATATTTATTTTAGTGTAAGTCTAGGAAACCTAACATATTGAGAAAAATTCATCTAAAACAGAGTTAAGAATTTTGACAAAAATAAATTTTATCAGGCTAAAAATTAATTAAACTTGTGTTGTAATTCATGACAGGATAACAAGCTAATATATATTTTTTCCGTAAACACCAATAAGTCATAAAGCCTTTTAATTTATTTTATGAAATACATATACTTATTATAGAATTTTATTGTTGTTTTATATATTATTAACAGTTTCTAGTAAAACATAATGAATATATGATTAAGTTTCATCCTTAAATTTAGGTTCCACAAGTATAGGATGAAAATTTTGATTTGATTCAATTACAAAAGCCCTCATAATTTACACAAGTCTATTGAATTTAATATAAACTTTATTTGGTATTTTTTTGTTTTAATTTTATTTTTATACATTAATTTTCTGAGCACCAAACAGAAGACAGCATAGTAAGATTATGCACGACTTTGGCCACTGAAGCCTATGCCATAAAAAAAATTACTCCAGAGAATATAAATCCCTTTCATTTTGAGTGAAATGCAAGTATACATAATAGTTTGAGAGTTTTGTGTCAGAATGTATTATTAGGACTAAGTTATACTCATAAGATCCAAGGATAGTTTGCCGCCATTTGGCTCCAACACATACTATAAATCTCATTGAATGTTGACTTTTGGAAAATTATATACACAAATAAGCCACTAAAACAAAATGTGACTTTAGGGACAAATTTTAATTGAAATTTTAATCACACACCAACTTAAAGGTATATAGCATCTGAAATCTCACAAACATAACTAGAAAAGGTATATAAATGTCACAACATTTATTACATCATAATAATAGTACATAGTTGATTGAATATTTTTATTTGATGTTAGAGAATATTATTCATTACAGTGTTTATACAAACAAAAACATAATCCAACTTTAATGTCATTTATATGTTATGATAAGAGGCAAAAAAAACAATAACTAAATTGCTTCCAATGCTCAGATACTTTATATATTTAGAAATGCTATGTATACTGTGACATTGATAGCAAAGGGCATCTTGTCAATAATATTTGACAAACAAATTACATTCTATAAAAATATTGTAGGTGCGATTTATTTAATATCACTTACCAATTGTGATCGTTGCTTCAAGCCTTATATTGGGATCGAGGCCATCGTCCGTCATAAGCTGCAACAGTCTAGGAACTATTCCTTGTTGTATCACCGAACTCTTTTGTCTGTTACTGCCAATCACTGAATTCTTCAAAGTGACCAAAGCCTCCAACAGTTTCTCTGGATTCGACGAATAAATCTCGTCTATATATGAACGTGAACTCTCGATATCCTTTAAACACATTTTATAGGTTATATATACGCTCTACAAAATTTAAAAAATATTAATAAAACTTTAATTTCACTGACCATGAATATTGTGAGCTGTTGCATACTTTGTGAAATCTACGCAGCACTCTTGATTAAAAATATCACAGGAATTATTTTCTCTAACGGATTGGCAAATAATCTGTCCGCTGTCGCTGTCGTGTGACAGTTCACCTCAAGGATTTGAAAGGTTATCTGTCAAATGAGTATAAATTAAATACTTGGTACTAGCAAACTTTCAGCAGTATAATATATTAATAAACTTTAGTTTATAAAATAAATATGGATGAGTTTTGTGTCATTAATATAAAATTAATATAATGTATTACTATACTATACTTATCACAATTAAAATTTTGTATTCCCAACCGATAACCTAAAATTTCGATGTCCGAAGAAATTGTAAAATTATAAAAATGATTATATCTAATTTTTCACAATTTAATAACAAATGTTTCATGTTCGTAACGGTAGCAAAACGCTGCCTTGTCACCTTGACAGTTATACGGGTTATGATAATTTTGATAATTTACATAATTTGACACTTGACATAGAAAGTGTAACATTGTTCTCAAACTTGAAAAGATAAAAAGCAAACTTTCTGGTTTTGATATGGTTTCAGTCTCTTAACTTCGACTAAAGTTTTATAATGGCGGATTCTGGAGTTGATACAGGTAACGAAAGTAGTGACAATCCTGTTTTTGACCATTCTTACTGTGTTTTGGAGTTTAATCCTCCTGCAATACCAATAAATTTGGCTGGACAACCAATGCCTGTAGACTTTTTAGGCGAGCCCCACGACCATATAGGAAAAATAAAGTGTTCAACAAAGGCTCGTCACTGCAGATTGAAATATCGTTACGGAAGATCTCTTTGCTCATCAAGAAATAAGAAGTTGAGATTTGCTGCGTCCACCAATAACACGGAGCTAGTAGAGAAGCTTTTGTTATCAGGTGCAGATCCGAATTGTTCAGATGAACATAAAAGAAGCCCCTTGCATTTAGCAGCTTGTAGAGGATATGTTGATGTTATTAAAATGTTAATAAGACATGGTGCAAATCCAAACAACAAGGATACTCTAGGCAACACGCCCCTCCACCTTGCCGCTTGCACTAATCACATTCCCGTTGTCATCGAACTACTTGATGCAGGCACTGATGTCAGTTCTAATGATAAAAATGGTCGCAATCCTATACAGCTTGCTCAGAGCAAACTAAAGCTCATACAAATGAGACCCAGTGGAGCCGGACATTTTGAGGAAACAAAGCAGCTCATCAGTGAAATATGTCTGGTTGTAGAAATGATGCTTAAATATATGAAAATACAGAAAGCTGATGCCGGTGAAATTGAATCCGTAAGAGAGAGACTTGAAAACGTCAGCACAAGAGAACAAGTTGATTCTGAAGTACAAAACCTCTTGGATAGTCTTGATTCATTAAAATTAAGATAATAATTTAACTTGCAACAAATACAAGACTGTTAATTTAATAACTGCCTAATGATAAGAGCTCATAATATTTAGTTCTAAGTAACATAATTCTAAAAATCAGCTCAGTTTGGTTTGTATGTTGTTTAAGGTTTAATTAGTAGAGTGACAATTTTTTCCTTATTATAAAAATAAGTGTAATCAATTTGTCAATGATTTGATTAAATTTAAATATTTTTAAAATTATATCTATTAAGTAAGTTTGTTCTTTTAGTAATAAATTTACTATAATTTCTAAGATATGCTTTTATTTAAAAGAAATCTCCCTTTAAGATAATTGAAACAAATTTTTCCAATTACAACCATTTATTGACATCATTCGTCATTTAAAATTCATTTTATTATAAAGCTGATCGGAATATTTTTGTTAATGTTTAGAAACATTTCTGGAATGTAGGAAACTTATACAATAATAATCTATCAACATAAGTATTAAAAAAAGAGGTACCATAAAACCCATGTAATGTGGACATCAACTTGACATACTTATATTTATTAAAAATTATTTAAACATTTATAAAATAATAACAATACATTCAAAGTGTGCGCCTGAAAAAATATTTATGCTTAAAACATTATTACAAGATAACATCTATCAACTTGTTTTTTTTTTTGCAAAATGACAATATCTTGCATAATACTACATTTCTTGCTTATAAATCTATTAAAAAATTATTATTTCAAGAAAAGTTAGACTCTGAAAATAATAAAAACAAAAACATTTATTATTATATAATTCTTTTGAAGAAGTTTTTGCGCAAATAACACAAAAGATTGTATACTGAAAAGATTATTATAAACAAATTAATTAGGCTCAATTTATGGGGTTTTCTGACACTAAATTTATGGCGAAGTACATTATCACAGACAGATAAACTCCATAATATTATAAAAAAATACTGTAAAATAAGTATATGTATTTCATGAAATAATAAATACATTTATTTATGCAGCTGCTACTTATTATTTACTTAAATTATTATTATTAATGAAACATAATAATATTTAGGATAATTGTAGGAATTTAATTAATCAATAAATATATATTGACCTTAATTAAAAATGTATATGGCAATACTGTTACTTTTACAGTATATATAGTCATGCTACTGGATAATGTTTCTTTTAACAAGTGCCCCGACTTTGAGCAATCAATTAGAATATTTCATGTTTGTATTAACATTATTATTAATATAACAACAATTAATCAATTCCTTGTAAAATTTATAGTGCAGAATATTTGGCACTGCTGCATATGTACATTCCGATATCTTTTGACTAGTCATCATTTTGATGGTAATTATCGATATTTTTTTATCTTAAAAAATATTATCACATCTTCTGCCTTTAAAGAAACTCACTGCAAAACTTTAAAATGGATAGAAATATAGATCACAATTATTATGGAATGGCTTAGTTTTAAGAAATCAGCTTTCTACTTTGGTATTAACTGTTTCAGGCACAACCATTTTATCTAATAAATATATTTTTCACGACATTTTTAACATTTATTGCACTTACTCTCTTATCGAGTTCACTCAAACTTTACAAGTCATTCAAACCGAAAATTATCTAAAGATTATTATTAGGTACTAATAAATTTACTATATTTGGGAATATTTCGGCCTGAATAGGTCCATATTCGACCAGTTCTCCATCAACAGTTATGTAACCATTCGGGCCTTCTGGTACTAATCTGAATGCACTAACTGGTATCATTTTGATATATTCACCGTTTATTTCTGAGTGGCTGCCGTGGCTCATTCCCATGAGGAACGAGAATATTTGAGATCTCGTTATTCCCGCTTTAATAATCAGCAGCCACATGACCCCGTCGGACAGCTGGGAACGCGGGGCGAATAATAAATCTTCCCCGATGTATGCTTGATAGGAAACGTAGGCCATTACGAATTCGCCTTCCTCACGCTCCCAGTGGGATGGTAATTGGGACATTAGTGACGGTAGATGTGATGCTGGGCCGTGCATGCACGCGTGTACCGGAGATCTCATCTCCGACCCGCTGCTCGTCACGCTATGATATTCCGATCCCCTCGTGCTGTAGAATGTACTCCGCCTTGAATTAGTCGAATGCCACGAATCGACCCGCTTATGTCGCTTACCGTTCACGACATTCGTCAATGTCTCTGTGTTCTCGTAACAATCGACGAAGTCTTCCGTGTCGGGGGAATCCAATTCGCCGTCGTGGCTTACACTGTGACTTATTGTGAGCGGTAGTTTAGGTTTTGGCAGATTGCTCACATCTTTTATTCTTGCGTAGTGTATGACGCCTTTGTACTTCCTCAATCCGATCAATCTAGCTAATGCCCAAAGGGTAAATCTTTGGCCACCGATCACTCTTAATTTTTCGCTTTCTATGTCGATGTCCGCAAGCAGACCCCAGCCGACAGATAAAAAGGAATACATTATCTGCAACAACAATATAAAGTTAATCCGATGGCCTTGAATAACGATTTCATATTTTCTTATTATGTATAACTTATGTAATAAAAGTGAAAGTTCTCAATGACATAAAACTGTTTTGTTACACTTTCGCAAACAATACTTTTTTTTCAACTGTATTTATTAACTCGACAATATATGTTAATCCTCTTTTGGTATTGGTTTCGTCAGTTTGGACTTCCGTTATGAGTACGAAGAAAACTTAATAATATTTTTTTTACGATTACCAAGAAAATTATCTACATATACGTTAAGCTATTCCCTGTGTCATAATATGTCCTCGTATAAAATTCAACGGTAATGGTTTTTTCACCGTTGAACTAAACCTTATTAAAACTACTACTACAACTACTCAGTTGTAACTGAGTAAAATTGTATCAGCCATCAACATATCCATCTATCAAACCGAACAAATTGTCGCATTTATAATGTTAGTAGAATGTAAGTGAATAATGTATGTAAATAAAAGTTAAATTGGCAAAAAAATACATACGTAAGGCGACAACAGACTTACACACATGTGAATACGAGGGAAAAGTGTAGTCTATGAAAAGTATCAATCTCACTGATTCATAAATGAGAAACTGATGTGTACAATGTGCATACATATTGTGTACAACGTACATACATATTATGTACAAATGTCTAAAATTTTATGATCTTATAAAGACTACGACATTTGTACAAATGCAGCAATAAAATGAACGCCAAATCTGATATTAATAAAAAAAATCCGACATAGAATTGTGCCAAAAAATTTCAGAGAGATATGTCATAAAAGAGGATTGGGGATCGTAAGTACTGAATGGCATCATAAATGTTATTAACCATATTTACTATCAGTTGAAGGTCATTTAAATAAAGGAATATACAGGGTGACTGGTGAATTACTATCGATATTTGAGGACGTGATATTTGACGATCATATATGACAAAATAAAAATTAATATAACATAAATATTAATAAACTTCTAAGTAAAGTTAACCAAAAGTTACGTAATTAATTACGCATCGTATGAACACCCTACAGATTAGGTATACACACGCACACACACTAGCGCGCGGCGGCGTGTTGTTGTATCAGCACGCCGCCGCACGCGTCCACACTTGGAACACTTGGAACGTGTACACACTTTATTTATTTATACGGAAATTTGGTCAAAAATTAAGTACCTATTTTTTTTACATAATTCGAATGAGAATCATGTACCGAGTATGCTCCTTAAATATTGATAGTAATTCACCAGTCACCCTGTATAGAGCGGTTCTTTCAAATCGATTTCTGAAAGAGCTTTAGTATTACTGATGTTTAATTAATGAGGAATAAGATTCTTCAGGCCAAGTAGAAGTAAAACAAGATTTATGTGTAGCTTTTGGTAGATAGTACAAGACATTTGCTCTCGAGTAAAGGCAATACGATTTATTACTACGATAACCAGTGTCTACAACGAGTAATCTACCATTTAGGCTATTTAAGGTCAAAGATCCTTCGGAAAATGTAGTTCCATTAGTGAAATATTAAAATAACGCTAAGTTTAATGCTGGTAGGGATGTATTTCAACTAAGTTAAGATTATGGTTTTGTCAAATATACATAATACGAAGTACCTTTAAGACTATATTTTTTTCATAGTTTATTAAACAATAACTTTGAGTATTAGTATAAAACTTCAGAAGTCAAAATAAGCATCATATTGTAGACAATATTTGTCTGTTTGACGTAAACAGAGTGGTAACTACTGATTTTTTTCGTATTCAATCCTAAACATAATTACGTTTCGAACTGTTAAAGCCTTTTAGTGAGACGTATACGTCTAAAACCGATAAAATATTGAAAATTTATACGACAGCATCATTAATTCTGAAGTATATATATAAAAATGTATTGTATTTTATATATTTGCTTTTCCTTTCTCCGCTCAGTATCCTCTGTTTTCCACAATTTACATAGTAAATAAACTATTACACTGTTGCAAAAAGCCTTCAAGTGGTCAATTACAGTAATAACATCCTATCATTAAGTCCAAAAATAATCAAAAAATAAATTACAAAAAATAAATTACAAACCTGATACACGTTTGATCTTCTAATTGCGATGGAATTGGGACCTTGATATTTTATTTAAAACAATATTCGTAATTAAATTATGTTTTGCGCTTATCTTGCAATATTTATTCTTAATTAGCATAAATAAAAATTAACTCATTATTTACATATCAAATAGGTTAAATTTAAAGTAGATACAGTTACGAACAAAACAATCTCTGACCATAATTTTGTATTTACTATGCATTTTTTACTACAATTAGTTAATAAAAAAGACTGAATTCTGTAATCAGAGTAATTAATTACAAAATTGAACATGAGAATATAATGTTGAATTACGAATACGAATTACTTGTATTACATAAATAGGCTTTGGTAATAAAATATATGCGCATTTATTACAAATTAATATTAATTTCTATTTCTGTGAGTATTTAGACTTCACTGACATACGGTGAAGGAAAACATCGTGGGGAAACCTGGACTTATAGTTTCACAATTATAAGTTTGAAAACACCAACCCGTCTTGAGCAAGTGTGGTGATTAATGCTCAGACCTTCTCCATTTCAGAAGGAGGCCTTTGCTCAGCAGTAGGCTCTAATAGGCTGATGACATATAAAAGCAATTTTAGGACACGACACGTAATTGTAGGAAGAGTATTGTATTATAATACTTAAAGGACGTAATGATGATTAATGTAACCTTATACGAATTTTATAAGTAATAATGACAGTGATCCGTATTCTTTCGATTAACAAAAAAAGACATCTCATTTTTAGTAATCTTAACTCCTATAGCGCTATACATAATGTACTTACATTGCATAAAAAACGCTTTATTATTAGAACAATAGTTTGCCTGTTTATTTTTATTACATAAAAACCTTATAAATGTTTTGATTCATTATGCCCAAGAACAAGCGCATTAATGCGCAATGGCCTATTTAATTCTAAATTGAATGTAACTGTACCAAACAAATAATACAACACAAATTACGTACTCTCAAAATAAAGACATTTTATTATAATTAAAGAATGGACTCATATAATAGACACGTGAAATAGTCATAAATTAACTACGGAATGTATCAAGATAATTTGGCTGGTTTATTATTACGTAACAAATGAATATGTATTATTGATATGATTGTGACAATAAATAGGCGTTAAATAGCGATTCGTGTAACCATACGTACAAATATGAAGCGGTTACAAGGCATAATTGTATCCGCAATGTATATTTGTTATGACGGACGAAGTCAATTTAATAGTTATAGTATATTTGAAGGTGAAGAGACAAAATATATTAATGGGATATGACAACAAAACTAATGCTATTTGCTTATGCAAATGTTTTTGTTACACGGATGTCTAGACGTTTGTTACTTTTCACGCAAAAACTGTTTATCGATTTTGATCTAACTTTAAAGATATCCATGTTAGATATCAAAATCTGTATGTTAGATATCAAAATCTGTCCGGCTGTTACGCTTTCACGCCTAAACCACTGAACTGATTTTAATGAAATTTGGTACAGATATAGAGTTGACCTTGAGAAAGAGCGTAGGATGGTTTTTATCCCCGACTTTTGAAAGGTTCTCTTGGAAACGCGATATAACCGAACTCCACGCGGGAGAAGCTGCGGGCGGAAAGCTAGTTGGTTATAATTACTCGAGAATACTTGTAGTTTATGAAGTTCCATGACATTGGCTATAGATGTCCTTACGGGTTGGTTACCATATCAATAGTTTTAATACACTTTATACATATCTTCCTGAATCTTATTGCGACTGCCACGTAGACAAAGCCGCAGGCAAAAAACAGTCTATTTTAATTTCAACATATCTTGTCAAAGGAAAAAAATGATAACATAGGCTTAATGTATTAATCGTATTATTAACCTTCGTTCCTAATGATAATTTCTAATCTATAAATATCATATGTATTTTTTATTGTTTATTTAAATGCACGTAATAAACGTTTGTATCGTTTGAAAAGGATAAAACGCTTTATAGTTAAAGTCCAAATTGCTTATTGCTTGTAGCATACGAGTAACTATTAAGATTGTCGTCATACCAATTAAATAAACGTTGTGCTATCCCTACTAATATTATAAATGCGAAAGTAACTCTCTGTCTGTCTGTTACGCTTTCACGCTTAAACCACTGAACTGATTTTAATGAAAATTGGTACAGAGATAGAGTTGACCTTGAGAAAGAACATAGGATAGTTTCTATCCCAGACTTTTGAAAGGTTCTCTTAGAAACGCGATATAATCGAACTCCATGCGGGCGAAGCTGCGGGCGGAAAGCAATGTAGTTATGTAATAAAAACTTTAACTTACTTTAGACTTAGTTTCAACTCGGACGACGTCCATGTTTGCTGTTTTCCCTCTCACTAAGGCCATTGAGAGTCCAGTGAGGTTGTGAGTTATATACGGTTCACTGAAACAAACAATAATTATCTAGATCTTAATAAGAAATAAGATATGTTCAATAAAATCTATCTAAAATATTACAGTCACAGCTCGTTTTCAATAGAAATTGAAGGATCGATAAATTAATAAAGTATTGAAGTTAAATTTCATTAATATATATTTGTTTATATTCATTTAAATTTATAACAATTCGTCTTTTATTATACTATTGTGTATTATGTGTAAAAACCGGGAAAGTGAAAGCGATTTAGATCTTACAGCGTCGTTTAAGTGACTTTAAGATTAGTAACGCTTAAATATTACACAACAAATGGGAACTTTATGAAACGCCAATAATATTTAAATAATAAATAGCTAAGTTATTTTAAGCAAAAAATATACACATATAATAATATCATCAATACAAAATTCTTGTTCAATATAGTCGACGAAAATTAATTAAAACACATTATATACTTATCAAACTAAAAGTAAATGTTAATTGGGTTTTTGAAAAAAAAAAAAAGTATTGATTTTTTTTATGTATTTTAAAACTTTATTATTAATTATATTGGATTTTTAATGCAAAAAACTTGAATATTTTTTTTTAATTAATTATAAACAATTAAAAATTGATAAAATTCAAAAATATATCACGTGACTGTAAACGCGCCATGATTGGTCAGCATACTTGTGACGTCATAATGTTAAAGCAATTTCATAATAGTACAGTGTTTATGGCTATTATCTTTAACTTGATAAAAATATCTCAAATTTATTAGTGAAAAACGATTTGAAAAGTTTATTTCGACTATGTGTGATAAAGGATTTATAAAAGCAAAAACGGGTAATATTCCTGATGTTGATATATTTATGATAACTAATTTTTTTTTTAAATTACGTTCGGTTTAATTCTGCTGAAGTTCGAGGTGATAAGGCATCAAGGTAAGTCTGTTAAAAAATACTATTCTAAATGAAAATAAGTATTTATTCTCTATTAAATATAATTAATAATTATTTCATTAAATCATTATTAATAAAATGTTATTATAACATTATGAAAAACCAAAATAACATATACTTTAAAAATTTAAATGTAGTCTGATACAGAACCTAGAATGTTAGAAAATTATGAAAATATCTATTAATTGAAGTCCAATTCTTAGAAAAACATACATATAGATTTACTATTTAATCGCTTTGAATTATCAATTAAAAATTTTTAATGCTACGATTCTAAAGGTTATGATTTGGAGCCCAGGTAAAAAAATTAATTATTGAACTATACTTATTCGATTTGTACACTTAGATAAATAATAATTAATAACAATACTATTATGAATACTTACAACGAAATGATCTTCACAACAAAAAAAAATGATTTTGTTTTTGAATAATCTCGATGCACTGCTTGAAACCATTTCTTTCGACGTTTTTCGTCTTTTGGAACATTTAAAAACATTTTTTCAGGAGTTGTTTTTGTAGTCTTTGTACATAATGGTACAAAACTTTTGATTATTTAACAATGCCAACAGAATTTACTAGATAAAAACTCAAAACACTGTACTAATTATTATATCCCTGTATGCTACAATGAGCAAAAACTAACATTGTGACGTCACACGCGCTCGGGTTTATTCGCGAGCTGTCGGCGGGTCTTCGGTACTGAATTTAAAATTTAATTTTTATTTTGATATAACTTTTTAATTATTGCAAAAAAAATAAAATAAAAATAGTTTTGTTATAAAACTTATATATGATCTTTCCATTTATCACAAAATAAAAAAACATTCAAAAACCCAATTGAATGTAATTTTAAAATGCGGGTAATCGACGCGTTTAAAGTAGGACAACATAAACTTGAAATGTTTGTTCTTTAGCAGCGATCCCTTTCATATATTTTACATATATAAATGTTATTGAATATTTTTCATGTGTTTTTAATTATCACTATTATCTTAATTACGATAGCCATATTATTAATCTGTATACACACATTAAACTAGAACACGGTTATCGTGTTACAGACTTGGGTTGATTGTGTTGGAGGAGAATTGTAATAAAAAACAAGGAAAAATAAAAATATTAAAAGCTAATGCACAGTCATTGTCTTCCTTGAATTAAGATAAACTTAGTCTCGTTAAAATATTGTCTTTGTTATTATAATTAAAGCGGCGAACATGCTGTAACCACTTTACTATTATTATGGTAATTGAAAGTTTAAATTATTTCATTTGCTATATTTTTGTTCAGCCATCGATTTTAAAGAGTTTCTTAATATTCCGCGCCACAACTCGTTTTTTTTCTCAAAACAAAACTTCCAAATACTTCAATTTGAAAAAAGAATTGTTTCGAATATACATTTTTTTGTGATAGATAATAAATAATATGTAATTGTTATTTTTAACATTATAATTATATCCAACAAAGTGATATAAAAATAAAAACAAAGCCGGACGTAATTACATAATTTATCACGTATTTAAAACAACACCACAGTGTTATTGAAGTGTAGATTAAAAACATAATGTACGAAAATAATATTTCCGAACGAGCATAAGAAACTTTAAGCACTAATACTTTTAAAACAAAATTTTAACTGAACCTTGTAACACTGTAGATGTTAATGAAAATAATGATGTTAAAAATCATTTATTAACCATTAGTTTTATTACTGGATACTAACTAAATGATGCTTCTATTCTTATTAACACATTTAATTATGCATTTTTGTACGCTTTTTATTTTTTTAACACCACGTTCCTTTTTAAATCGATACAGTTCAGGAATTTGAGATTTAAAAAAAAGATTTTTAAATAAATTCTGATAAGAATCATATTAGCCTATATTTATAGTACGCAAAAATGTAAGAACTTAATATTTATATATAAATATCAATTACCAATTCAGTGGTTGAAAGCAGGTATCATAATCTTATAATACAAATAAACAAAAACCGCACGACCTACAATACCTTGTTATCAAACAACTGAATTATTGTTTAACATATCAGTGTTCGAATTATACAAATCATATAACGTAAATATGGAGTATCGTTTCATTCTGTCAATATACGACATAAATATTACATGACTTTTTTAGGTTCCTATTTGTTTTGACATGGCACATTTTTTTTAAACAAAAGTCCGACCGTAATATAAAAAATAGTTCTTTCGTTATGAATACCGTTGATTATTACTATAGAATGTTCTGAAAATGTAAGAATTTTAAAGAAATATGAATGTTAATAATGTAAAATACCGTCTAAACTGTAGCTAAATAGAGTATTTCTTTCATATACTATACGTAATTCTTGATACTCAATATAGGGAACAAGGTTTAAAGTTCAATTCTAGTAATGATTAATTGAATAATCAAAATCGGTGAATGAGCATAAAGTATTACATAATTCAGTACATATTGTAAAAAAATCTTACGTTATGGAGTTTAAAGTGTTGAGAGTTATGAACACACATTTTAGTTTTTATATAATTCTTAGACAAGCAGCATTTACTTTTTTTTATTACGTGATTAAGTGTTTTTTTTTTTCAGTACAGGATTTAACCTCGAACAAGAAAAACCTCTTCCTTGAGAAATTAAAATAAATACCAAAACTGTATAAGGGAACGAATTTTTTTTAATTAGTAAAAGCAGTTACTAAAAACAAATTTGTAAAAAAGTAGGCAAATTGTTTTGATATGTAAATCGCATAATATACATAAAAAATATATGTGTCAATATACATATGTGTCAATGACCTTTATAATTTTTACTTTTCAGTTTAACTCTATAATTACCTCCCAAATTCCAGTTTTACGAAATAACTGCTCCCAAAAATTTGCCGAACCAATGGCATATTACTTAAATATAACTAAATCTTTACATAGAACTTTTGTTTGACTAAGATATTTATGCTTTTCTCAAAGAAGTAAACTGTCTGTAATATTTAATACGACAGTTTTTCAAGGCATGAGTCGCGACACCGTGAAGGATTACGGAAACTTCTCTGGGAAAAGGCACTAAGAGGTCGGATGAAGTAATTTAGGAAAAATTTTTTTCATGCTAAAGGGATCTTCTTAAGATAATGGTAGCAAGAACTCTGCTCCGCCCTGTGATAGAAAGGCGCAACTAATCCCGTAATTTTAACAGATAAAAACAAAGATGTTGGACACCAAGGCAATAAACTACCAAGTGTATCTGAAGCTAACCAATGCTCAACATACAGTTAGTTTACTGGTTTTCTATGACCCAGAACCAGTTCTCCAAATTCCGTCATGAAACTAAGAGCCCTTCAAACTGACAAATTGATTATCTGGAAATTAGTAATCAATCTTTGGCAGGTCTTCTGTAACTTTCACCTAGTATGAAACCAGGATTAAAACTCCTTAGTTTAAGGTTTTTAGTCACATGAGAGATCAGAAATATGTAAAAAGCAAAATGCCTTATGAATGTTACTCAAATCCATCTACCTTATGTTAAACAATAGTAACTAATACCCAAAAACTCTAGATGCAATCAATTGAATAGATGATGCTACTTCAAAATAATCTGTTCTCACATAAAAATTAAAGTTGCCGACCTTGCAATTTATTCATCTGTTTATTTCAAACAAAACAACGTTGCAATTTTGAAGGATACTTAAGTTTTTGCATATACAATTGTCTTAAAATTTTTGTTAAATAAAATATCTCATAAATGACAATGTGCATGAATATTAATGACTTCAGAGTGTTTATTCAACCAGTCTTAAAAAGGTTATTGCATTGAAGCAAACTGGTTCTTAAAGTATTACGAATGCAATATGATACCTACTTATTTATAAAATACACTAACTGAAATATAGAACATTTGTAAGACTTTCTATCAACTAGGTGTGAATTTTCATTAGATGTATATCAGAAATATTATTACTGATATAAAGTGGATATATAAATCAACATAACTTATATTTATTTTTACAATATTAATCTTGTATGACCCAGAAAAAATTAGAAATTAAAAAATTATGGACTATTTTATATCATCATAACATGAAACAAGTTGTTATGTAAAATTTATTACTGCATCACATTGATATCTTTGAAATTTTACAGATTATTTAATTCTAATAAGAATCTTTTTATAAAATTCTCTTACATTGGAACATTAATATTCCTCAATGGAAAAAAAATCCTTGAAATATATTAAAGTAAATTCACCCATTAAAATAATATAAGGCTCCCAGCATAATTATGGTCATTATGAATTAATTATTTCCAATGAATTTAATCATTACAAAATAGCAACTTACTTATAGTGGTGACATATGGTCCTTGCCAGGCCATTTCCAGAGCCACATGGAATGATAGCCAAAGGAACTTCAGCGAGAGCCTGTTGCCAATCAAGTCGTTCAAACATGCCATTTAAAATTTCAAACAAGACGCCATCACCGCCCACCGCTACAACACCGCGCCAGCAATAAACATCCCTCGTGCGAATATAATCACGAGCATATTGAGCACTTTCAGTCACACGAAGGTAGTAAGGTATCTCAGCTTCGTTCAAGATAGTCGCAACCTTAGTTTGAAATAGTTCAACGGCCTTACCTGAACCGGATTTCGGATTTATAAGTATTAAAAGTTTCTTATCGTTTTGCGGCACCACATTTGTTATCGGCTCGTTTGCTATCAAACATTTAATTGTATTTCTCCACCTTTGCGCTTCTCTGTTATTATCTTCATATTTATCATACGATCGAAACTGCAATGTTATTGTTGTCCGCTCTCGCTTAAGAGAACGGCGGCTGCGCTTTAAATTATAAGCGTAAATATAAAGATATGCACTTATATCATTTTCATCAAGGTCACCGCTATCCTCATCAACCACTTTCAGTGGTGGTTTACCCACAAATGACCTGCAAACACAAGAACCAGCGCCAACCCGCCGTCTTTTGCTTCTCATACATTTACTTCCAATAATGTCCTGCAAGGGTATCGTCTGTTCTTTCGATGAATCGTCTTTTATTAAAGACAATCTGTTAGAGGTTAATCTCACGCGAAATGGTGTTTTCTTTTTTAAACGAATATAAAACGTTTCTTCAAGGTAAACTGTCTCTTTTGAAACGGCATTATCACCATTTTTGACGTTATACACGTCCTCACTTAACTTCGGTTGCGCCATAACTGCCAAATACAAATTACAAGGCCATTAAACAAAACGTCAAAATATTAAGATAACTATACGAAATGAAAATGACAACAAATGTCGTTGGTGTAACTGTGTAACGCGAAAATTATAGATCTCATCAAATTTATATAAGTTTATATAGGCTTAAGTAATTATCATTACTCCTTTGCGTGAAAAAACGAAATAGTTATAAAATTATAAAAGACATTTTTAAATAATCGGTCAGACATGACTGTTAATATAAATTACTCTATATTTTATAATAAATTGCTTAACCTTCACAGTTACTTACCTATTAAAACCACATTATTTTTTTAATTAAACTCCAGCTTCGTTCAACATATTCCAATATAAAACTTCTGTCAAGTATCAGTGTTTACTGTCAATTGTCAATAGGCACATTATCTACATAATATCAGACTGCTCCTGATGTAGGCAGATCACACATGTTAACGTGTTATTTATGATCATATATTAAAGTAGGTCTACCACATGTTGCTGAACCAAATGTTTGATTTATGAAAAACAAGTTAAAAAATATCGAGTCTATAGAAACTATAATTCTAGTGTGATGATTTGATATTTATTAATAAAAATGGTTCACAAAATTTTAGAACTTTACAGTGGAATAGGAGGCATGCATTGTGCTTGGAATGGTAAATGAGTTATAATCTTATATTTTAGCAATAATAAAATTATTTTTATATAAAACATTAGTTTCTCAAACCATTTCTCATTAATATTATATTATATTTCAGCTTCAGAATTAAATGGCGAAATAATTACTGCTGTTGACATTAATACTGTAGCAAATGAAGTATACAAATATAATTTTCCTAACACTCCACTAATAACGAAGAATATTCAGTCTCTCTCATATGAAGACATTAAGAAAATGAATGTAAATACTATACTTATGTCTCCACCTTGCCAACCTTTTACTAGAAATGGCAAATTTTTAGATGAGAATGATCCTAGAACAAACTCATTTACATATTTAATAGATTTATTTTGAAGAATTAGATAATATTGAATACATTCTCATGGAGAATGTTAAAGGATTTGAATGTTCTACTGTAAGAAATTTATTCATTAATAAATTAAAAAAATGTAATTTTGTGTATCAAGAGTTTCTATTGTGCCCAACAAGTGTTGGTGTACCAAACTCTAGGTTAAGATATTACTGTATAGCTAGAAAAAACACATCAGAATGGAGTTTTAAAAGGACAGATGAAATTGTAAGTAGTAATTTGATACAATATATATAATATTGTTGCATGCATTTTAAATTGGTTTTGTTGGTTTGTCATATTATATATATTTAATAATTCTCTTATACTGTTTTTCAGATAACAAAATTGCCAAAAGAATATGGTGGACCTCATACATTGGAAGAAATTCTTGAAACAAATGTCCCGGAAAAATATTTGCTAACAAATAATTTCTTAAAAAGAGCATATCTATTAGATATATGTTATAAACATTCGAAAAGATCATGTTGCTTTACAAAATCTTACACACATTATGTTGAAGGTACTGGCTCCGTTTACACAGACTCGACCCCTGAGGAAGTTGAAAACTGCATTAAAGAAGCAAAACAATATGAAGTCGGCAAAGAAGAATATGTTAACAGATTTCAACAGTTGAAACTGAGATTCTTTACGCCAAAAGAAGTATTAGCATTAATGATGTTTCCTAAAAGCTATAAATTCCCTGAGAAGACAACCACAAAACAGTGTTACCGATTACTTGGTAATAGTGTCAATGTAAAAGTTATAAGCGAATTACTCAAACTATTGTTTGAATAAAGTAGTAATTACTTTTTTTATTGTACATAAAAAATATTTGATAAATTGGAGAGATACATATTTTTCATATATATTGTTGAGTGAAGCAACCTGAATGTTATGTTGGAGACTCAGGTCATTCTTCCTTAGAGATGATTTTGGCAACTATATGAATGAATGAATCAAGGTTGTTTCTTTGTTCAATTTACTGGTTTTTATGGAATAGTTTGGATGGAACCATAAATTTCAATTTAAAGACTAAAATAGAACCAATGTCCGAAAAATAGTTCAATAACAAAATGCTAAAGTCCCTTCACTCAACTTGTACAGAGACCTTTTTTAGAACTTAGTGAGAAAAAATGCAAAGGTGTATTTCCCAGTATTTTTACAATTATGTTGTTAACTTCAGATTATTATGATAAATTAAGTTGTTTCTTTCATAACAGATTCAAATCAGCAATATTCTATATTTATATTCTAAGGTCAAAATTGTAATTACCAGAATTAAATAAAGAACCACATATTTTTTCAGTAACAATAAATAAAATTTATATAATACAAATTTAACAAATATTTAACTTATCTGATTGAAATGGCAGTCATTATAATAGAATGATTTTATTTATTAAGCATTAATATTTCTACATGTTGTAAACATTAAATTTATTTTTAATAAATATTTATATATATAAGTTATTTAAATAGATCCATTGGCAAGGATTTGTCTTGCTCGTCGCTTCGCCTTATGATTCAACACCCTCATTCTCAACATCACAGCTATTGATGATGCCATGCCCAAGACCAATGACCAGATGGTAAATTTCCAATAGGCTCTCTCTTCTAAATATGCAACACGATCACAGCTGAAATAATATTTAACATTTAATATGTACAAACTGCTGATTAAATATTATAAGATATATTTCTTCTTACCTCCGAGTTACTGTTTCACCGTTTGCACATTTTAAAATTTCCTTAAAACTTGTATGTATGCAAACACCGATGCTTTTGCTTCGAATTTCAAAATCTTAAAATAAAAAATAATATTAGTCGCTAAATCTCCCTAAACTATGTGTTCTTTAATATTTTATGTTTTTATTACCTGAACAAGGATGGCATTCATTAATTATAGTATATGGTTGATGTAGCCAGCAAGTCGAATTATTTTCTGTTGGAAATGTTTTGTTTTTCATCTTCTGGCTGCCAGAGAGAGTATCAGCTAATTGAGATTCTAATATAAGAATCAGAATAGTAAGTCTGTGGACAAGTAAAATTATGCAAAAGCGATATTGAATTACATCATTTATCATACTTAATTTATTAAACTTCACTTACACTCCTAACGAAATAGTCCCCAGTAACATGCATCTTTTTGAACAAGTTTCAATCATTTTTCAATATATGGAAGAAGACTATGTAGCAAAAACAAACACAATGTATAAAATCATAAATTCCCAAAAGCTCCAAGAAACTGAAACATACTGACAATTATCTTTATCTCGTTAAATCTTCTTATTAAAACACTGTTTTTATGAAATAAAGAAGCAAGAGAATCAGTAGGATTAGAGAATTTCTTTAAAGTTACTTTTCCTTGTCAATGTCAATGTTAAGTTATAAACAACAAATCCTTCGTTGACAAGTCATTAGTCAGTTTACAACTGAAGAATGAAGCCATAGTATAATAAGATAAATGACCTACATTATATTTTACCTTCGTAGAGAAAACATCTTCACCGTTTTAAATATATTTATAAAATATTGTTTTTATCATATTTATATATTAGACACTATAAGAAAATTTTTAATTATCATCTTTCACTTATCTGGAAATTTATTTACTCCATACTTCCAATACTTACTTATCAGTAGGGCCCGGAATAATGTGTAAATGGATATTTTTAATTTACGCGATTTTCGGTCTAGAATGTTTTTTTTTCATAGATGGTCATATTTAGACTGAGAAAAACCAACTTTTATTTTCCATATTCCAAAGTTAAGTCCACATTTTACGAGAAAATGTTACAATCATCCATATATTCACAAAAATACATAAAATTTACGTTCCGTCACTAATGTATTGGATAAAAATCAAGTATTTAATACGATAAAAAAATAACAAAATTCTGTGCGAAAGTTTCGAGGGCTGTAGACATGGCTTACACAATTACTGAATTAAGCATGTTTAAGTATGCATCCATCACGTCATGTCACGTGGAGAGATCATTCAACAGATATAAGGCTATATTTCGACCAAATGGTCAGTTTTCATTTTGATAATTTAAAGAAGCACGTCATTGTATATTGCAACCAATTTGATAAGGCTAGTGTAATGGAAGTTGAATAAAACTGCTATTTTTTTGTTGAAATAAATATTTTTTGTTGAAATAAATATTTCGCTTCTTTTTTTAAAGTCTTTTAAATGTAACTGTAACTATGTACGTCACGAGTGACCCTTTTCTTATAGTATAACAATGTTTAATTATGAAAGTATTTTATTTTATACTCCTTTTTTTTTTACATATTTTTGATTTTTTCGTCCATATTTTTATGTACATATTTGAGATTTTTAAATACATATTTATCCGGGCCCTACTGAGCTAAGCTGAAATAAATATCTTATTATATGAAGTTTAAATGCTTTATCCCATACAGGACTGTCGTAACTATAAATTAAAGTAGTTTTACAAGTTAATAATTTTTTATATCTAACATATATATTTTTTCAAATAATTCATATTGTCTTTGCGTCATATTCACAGATAAACAAAAAAAAAAAAGCATTCTAAGCGCCATGTTTCATAAAAACGTAAACGGAAAAGAAAGTGGATTTTTTATTATTTGAATGTGTCATTAGTTGAGAGTAATAGAGTATTAAAAACATTTGATAGCTGCTAAACGTTATGTTCTTTCCAATTGAGTACCCTGTTATAGTTTAAAGTGTTTTTTTTTCTTATTTACCATGGCGGTTCCAACGGAGGCTCCAAGATCTTTTCGGCTTTACGTGACTCATGTGGATGGAGAGGGCCATTTCCTTAAAATAAGTGGCCAACTGGATCAGCAATCATCGCTTATGGTCGAAAGCTTATTCGAAGGTGCTCGCGAAAATCTCGAAAAGGGTGTAGGTTCTGTTCCACCGGCGGCGATACACGAAGGTGTCATTTGTGCCGCGAAATACAAAGATGGAACCTATTATAGAGCTAAAATAATAAATGTTACCAATCTGGCCACGGGGCTAGTGGGAGTGCATTTTATTGACTACGGCAATAAAGACATTATATCATTGAGTACTATACGTTTCTTAGATAGTTATGATCCTATGTTTTTGCAATTACGTGGACAAGCCTCGGATTACTACTTGTCTCGTGTCAAGCATTTGTCAGGAAGGTGGGAAGAACCACTGCTACTTAAACTTCAAAGTCTCCTCTGCTATGCTGAGTACCCAGCGGTCGTGGAAGCTCAAACACGTACTTTGCCCATCATATCAATTCAGTTCAAGGGTAATGATCTTTCCACCCATCTTGTGTCCAATAGAATAGGAATAGCTATCCCAGTGCCTCAACAAGAGAGTTTATTATTACAAATGATGGATAATCAACACGGAACAGTCTGGTCGCCGACTTTACTCAATGACGCTCCATCATTTACTGAACATGTGCCGTTTTTAATCAATCAGAATTTCCCGAACCCTGCTTCAGCAATGAGACTAAATCAGACTATGGGCGTACCATATAATGGAGTACCCATATCTGGTGTAGGCCAAAGGATAATGGTCAATAAAGCAGCCAGGAATATGATAAATATTAGAGCACCGGCTCGTCAACCTCAGTTACCAACTACACAAATGCCTCTGACTGCCACACCACCGCCTACAATAATAAATAAACCACCATCACCAAAAAAGTCAATAACATATAAGAGTAGACTACTGGAAGTTAATTCACAACATAAAGTATTTGTATCTTTTGCTGAAGAAGGGCCAGAGCTATTTGCGGTGCAACTTGTGACCGATGCTAAGAAGCTACAAGATATGATGGATGACATCAATAGAAGACCACATAGCAGTCTAGCCGAACCACCAATGATTGGAACGGTTTGTCTCGGCAGAATGTCTGGAGACCGAATCATTTGCAGAGCGATTGTAATGAACCTATCCGGATCACAATGCAAGTTATTCTTCGTCGACTTTGGTGATACAGAAATGGTATCCTATTATGATATTTTCGATATTCCCGAAGAGTTTGTGAAGCCCAATGTATTTGCTATGCGTTTCTGTTTGTCTGGCGTTAAAAAATTGGAGAAGAGTCCACATCTAGTTGAATCATTCAAACAGCTTGTTAATGGAAAAGTTTTGACTTTAAGAGTGGTGGCTCCAGAAGGTCCACCGTTGATACAGTACGGGGAACTGTACTTAGATAATAAAAATGTGCTCGATTTATTAATGGCGAATATGAAGGATAAATTACAGTTTAAGTGGATGGAAATGTTGACATTGGGATCTAAACAATCTGTATTGGTTTCATATGTAGATAGCTGTATTAAATTTTACATACAGCTATCTGATAAGATAGACGAGCTTGGTGCTGTGATGAAAGCTGTTAAAGCTCATTGCGAGAACACTTCATCGCCGGGTGAATTACCAGTTGGGGCTGTCTGCTGTGCACGATTTCCCGATGACAACAATTGGTACCGAGCCCTCGTCAGGGAATCGAGAGGCAACAAAGTTGTAGTGGCATATGTCGATTACGGCAATGAACAAGAGGTTGATGTAGAAGACTTGAGGACAATTACTCCAGATTTGATCACATTACCGGCACAAGCAATGAAATGTGCATTAAGGGTGAGTTATACATACATAATAGACATAAACATTATATTTTTTTTGTACAAAATGATTATTTACATATATAACGCCACATTTTAAAAGATGATAAACCATAAATAAAAAAATATATATACCACATAATAATTTTAATGCACACCTGTATGTAAAACATTAAAATTACATTTTTTTTTCTACTTAAAATCTTAGTTTTTGCAACCTCATAATGAGGTATGTATAGACTTAATGAGATTTACTTACTTTTACTTATTGTTTGCTTGATAACATACTTGACCTTATGAACTAAATATAGCATAATTCTTGTAATAATTATTGTACTGGTAATAATACACAAATTCACCTTTTGATTTCTAACACACATAATTTATATAATATATACAATTTAAATTACAAAGGTCATTAAACTTTATTCATTATATATAAAAAAGTCTAATTAATAATTAAACAGTAATTATTTTACTTATCCAATTTACTTATTTAAGTTATCCAATGATTTCAGTTACAATATAAAAGTAATTAAAACCCAAGTTTTATAATGAAATCTTCTATATATATATAAAAATGGATGGCTGTTCCTTAGTCTCGCTAAAACTCGAGAACAGCTGAACGGATTTATCTTATCTTGGTCTTGAAATGTTCGTGGAGGTTCATGGAATGTATAAAAGCTGAAAAAAATTTATTCATTACTTTGAAAACCATAAAAACAGCCCTTTTCTATTTCCCATACAAACGTTTTTTTTGACATTAGATTTGACAACTAACTAATATGTCAATCATTCTGTCGCACTTCAAAACACGGAGATTTATGGCTCACAGATAAACTCCAAAAATATAAATAAAAAAACGTAATAGATATTTCTTGATTATAGGGCGATACGAAGTTCGCCAGGTCTTCTAGTATTAATATAAAATATCTCTTTTTGATATTTTTTCTATTGCTAAACTAAAATTCATCAATAGTTGGACATCTTTTGTTAGACTTAGATTCATAATGACAATATTTTTCGTAGAATTATTTGTGTAGAATTCGACACTTTGTACATTTCTTCCTTAGCCATATTACTAAGAAATTATCCACACAAACCTACACTATTAATACTATTAGAATATTAACTAAATCGATCTGATAATATTAAAATATACTAAAATATTAAAAACTCCAGGGTTTCGAGAACAGACCAGTGGAAACGAAGACATCGAATCAACTGGAAATGCTCGCTCTAGAAAAGACACTAATGGCTCACATATCTGGTGTCCTATCCAGTGATACGATGCTCGTGACACTAGTGGATCACACTGTGAACCCACCGCTGGACGTAGCAAGGAGAATGAACCAGCTATCACAACCTAGGATGAACCCTGAGGTATGAAGGACAGTGGTTCTCAAACTTATATCACGGAACATTAATCGAGTACTCTTCGTTTTATATAAAGCAATATCAAAGGATATAATCCTTATACTTAAGGGTTCAAAGGGTTCCGTAAAAAATATAAATCTAACATTTAATTATTATTAAGAAACCCTTTTTGACTATTTCACAGGAACCCTGAGATCAAGAATCTAGACTAGATTCATAATATCTGATCTAAAGACGCTACTGATTTTAGTAACTAATAAATTATAATCGATGTACTCGTTCCTATATTTATTTTATATAGAATGAAAAATATATTTTTTTGGTACAAATATCGATATAATGTTATGGAAAGTATGTATTGATTTTGGTAATCATTATATAGCAGACGAAACCTGTCACCCCAGTTCGAAAGGACGCTCCTGAAACGTTCAGTTCACCTGAAAGTAGCATCCCTGATGATAAGAAGAACTTCCGGCGGGAGAAGAGCTTCCGGGAGGAGAGGAAACAGAAGGAGGGAGAAGAGTTTGGACAGAGAGGAGGAAGCTTCAGAGCTAGGTGATTATAAACTTATATATATAACTAGCTGCGCCCCGCGGTGTTACGTTGATTTCCGGGATGTAAAGTAGCCTATGTGTTAGTAGACGTCAGCTTCCTGTATACAAAATTTTATCAAAATCGCTTCAGCTGTTTGAGCGTGAAGAAGTAACAAACATACACACACACAAACTTTCGCAATTATATATTAGTAGGATTTTCACCCCCACCACTTGGTTTACCAATTATAAAGAATCTGAATTCAATGTCCTTCTTGACCAAAACTACATAATATAAGCGAATTCGAAAATAAGCGAAACGTCGGGAGTATGTAGTTTTTATCAAAAATAAAGTCACGTAGTATATCCGCAAAATATTCGATTCATTTGAATTACTAGCGAAAATCTCAGATCTCATTCCTTTTTTGACTGTTTTATTATAGTCAATGCATTATTTTTACATACTATATCGTAAATTTATGAAAATTCGTTTTAATTAAGTTAATTTTTATTACAAAGCATTAACTCAGAATAACTGTATAACACTTACCATTAGTTTAAGTCGTGAAACTAAATAGAAACACTTTCAGTATGTACGTTACTTGTATAATATACGATGATTTTTGAATGAAAATGTAAAAAATGTCTATATTCAGTTCAATGTTGCAGCACAAGTGGTAATGATATTTTTCAGTTATGTACACATGTATGGTAAAATTAATAAAAATATCTCATTATTTATACTTAAATATCAAGAAATCTCAAGTGTGCACCTAGCATTAACTTTTTCTTATACGGGGAACAAAAAATATATAATAGTACCCTGACTCACGGTCAGTGTGGCCTTCGTTTTGCGGTCTACGAACCCGTTTTTAAGAAATGTTTAGTTGTTAAGAGATTTCGGCCTCACAACATGCATAGATATTGGTATAGGTAATACGAAGGAATTATTAGAGTAATTTTGGTTTGTGAGAGTTATAAAAGTTTTTTTTTGTAGGGAACAAAAAGAAGGCTTTGATAGATCTGGACCCGGAAGGCACAGTGATAAGTTTGGCGCTAAATCCGAAAGGGGTGACAGGTGAGTCGATTACTTTGACAATTTTTTTATAATACTTATATCTAGTATTTTTCCATTTATATATTCTGAAATTTCCTAAAAAAATATGCAAGTCTATCATTCTATCTTTGAAATAATATTTTATTACTTATAGCCTTTCTCTATAAAAAAAACTAAAATCGTTGATGAATATATTTTTAAATTAACAAATAGTTACACTGTGACACGCAATGATCCATCAAAAAAACTACTGACGTGTTAAATTTATGATAATATAAAATTAAATTCATCGTTAAACGTATCTCTCGTATGAAAGTTACGAGAACCTCCGATTATTGAATCGAAAGTTTTGTCAATATATCCTCATATTCTGTAACTTGTGACGTCATTTTGTAACGTGTGACGTCATTTTGTAACGTGTGACGTCATTTTGTATCGTGTGACGTCATCAGGCGCGGCCGTCCCCGGGAAGCGGGCGCCGGCTCCACGGACGGGGAGGAAAGTCGCCAACGGGACAGGTGAAGCTTTTACATATTATACAAAAATCCTCCCCCCCCACTTTACGTGTAATGTAACGAAAATTTGAAATTCGAATAGGTTCGAAATTTGAATGGAAAATACATGGGTTTTTATATCTATTTAATAAAGAATTTATCGTTATTCCATTTTTAAATTAGGTAATATGTTTATATTTTATGTTTTACATAAAATTCTACTGAGATGTGATGATGTCACTTATTGTGATACATTATTTTTTTGGTCATTTAAATTATATATAATAGTTTATATAATATCTACATGTAATTCTGATAAAATTTCATTAAAATCCGTAATAGTTGCGTGAAGAAGTAACGAACATTCGTACAAATCAACTCCGTGCGAATTACCTTTTAAAATATTAATGGAATTAGTCCATAGTTATGTAACAACAATAACTTTTCGATAAAAAAGAAAGTGTATTCAATTTTAAGGTTCAAATGAGACTGATTGCTTTTATTGTGGTATATTTTTGTTATACCATAGCTACGTAATCTTAATGCTGAATATTACGTTGAACAACTTCCTATATTTAATAAAAAACGCTTATCCAACTTTAATATTTCGAAACACGGAACACGTAATGTACTTTTGGTTATGATTGTTACACTTGCGTGAATCATATTGGATCAAAATCGAATGCTTTTAAAGAAATTGGTAATAAAATACTAAAATATTATGGCTTACTACAGAAAAGATATGGCAGTTTTTTTACGATAAGACGTGTGAAATACTTGTAGAGTAATTAAATCGATTAATTGAGTAGGAACAGCGTAATTTGGATATGTTAACATTTATATTAATAGCTGGTAGGAGTCCTTATTTCGTCTATATTCTTTATAATTATATATTTGTATTTTTTTACTTCAAATCAAAAGATTCTTACAACGTCATTTGCATTAAGTAGTAAATAAAAATAGCAAAACAAAGCGATTATATGTAACATTGGAAACAAAACAGAAAAAAAACGAAAGATCAACAAGACAAGAAGACTTGGAAGAAAGAAACTATGGGTGTTGGCAAGAGATTGAGGCAGGCGGCTGAGGCGGCCTGTGTGGACGCGCAGCACGCGAGGAATACACAGCAGGAACGAATTAAACGGTATACACGGAGTAGGGATGACATACATGTATAGTTACTACTACCACACGTACGAGCTAAGGAATACATGAACTGAATGAATCCATTTTGAAAATAATTAGAATTAGATGAATTACTACGCGTTATATGTATTATTCTTTTTAAAAACTATATACATACCTATACGAGATATACTTTGCAGTAAAGTAACCGAAACGTCTCGAGTATGTATGTTAATTCAAAAACATTAGTTTCATTTGAATTTGAAGTCTTAGTTCTCATTATAATAAAAATCAATTAACAGACAGTATTGTTTTCAAAATTATGATTTTTCTTTTGTACATATATGCAAAATTGATTTGGTACAGAGAATGAGTGATGTTCAAATTAGATTATCTTGTATTTTTATATATTTTTTTTCAATTCCTCATTTGAAATAATAGTAACAAAATTAATTAAAAACAAATACAATATAACGTTTGAAACACTTGTAGAGTAATTAAATCGACGAATTCAGTAGGAATAGCGTAATTTGGGAATGTTTGGAATGCGAAATAACATACATACATACACTCTGACAGTTGATGATATTCAAATATTATTCAATATACTGTCAACTGACAATTGTTTATCCGTGTAAACAGAGATATTGGCGCCAAAAGTTAAATATTTTTTCAAAATGGAGTTCAACTTAGCTTTTTTTCGTTCTGGTGGTAGCTCACCCTAAACCTGTTCATAATAAACACAAAAATGTATTAAAACACAAAATTACTTTGCACTGTGTGATGTCATCTAACGCTTTTGTGCACTTTGTATTTTGTAATATATTATTATCACTTGTACCACTATTAACAAAATGTATCGCTAAATGTTACGCTTTTGCACTATTCTCTTTGTTTTAAGGTTTTAGGTTTAGGTAAATTTATGTTTTGAGAGTTTTGTTCGTTCCTGCACTTTGCTTGTCTTTTTTTTTAACAATAATAATGTCAAATATGTTATTGAAACTTCGTGTCAAAAATAATTAAAAATGTAATTGTACTTGAAAATATAGTTATAAAGTATAGTTGTTATTTTACCATAATAGTTTTGTTCGTGTCTAAAAATCAATAAAACAAGTTCGTGTCATTAACGAGTATGATTTTAATGTGTTTATATAAGTATCGCTAATTCTAAGAAATGAATAATAATTCTATGCATTTTTATGCTCATTTTTCAACGCTCTATTTGATACGTCACGCTTCATCAATCTTCAGCAACACTGTTCACTCTGACTATTGAAATTATCTTTAATTTTTTAATTGTAAATAAGTTTATTTACCTTGGATGTTGCATCACAAATTTTTATAGCGTATAATTAAGACACGCTCTAGGTAACAGGTTTCATTGCATTTAATATATGTTTAAAGTTTTTTCTTTTCAGTACAAGCTTCATTATGATTAATTTTCACTTAATCGTTTGTGTTATAGATGCTTGGTTAAGAATTTGTATAATTTCCAGCTAATAATTTTCTCTTGCTTGTAAACATGATATCGCAGAATGAGAATATATATGATTAACGATTTATGATATGAATGTTTCTTTTATAGGTATAACCAAGACGAGGAAACAGATGACCGTAGTAATAAAGGATTTAGACCAGACAGAAGGGAGAATCGAGATCGAAGAGACAATTGGGGCGACAAAAAAGATAACTGGAATCAAAAGAGGGAGTTTCGTGATAATAGAGCTGAGAGAGGGGAAAGAAATGATAGAGATAGAAGTAGTAGAGGTGGTAGAGGCGGCAGAAGTAACTTCACACCAAGAGATAGAGCTGAGAGGTCATACACAGGAGACAGCGATAAGAGATCTGAAAGAAGCTTCCGATCACAAGACAGTGGCAATGACCGCAGCGGCAGAGCACCACCATACAAGAATAAGAGCAAATTCACTCAAGTCCAATACAAAGAACTATCAAACCCTCTGCCACTCGAAACGCCATTCACTGAACCATCGGTGGAATTAAACTCACAGCAAGAAGTATCAGTGACATGGATCATCTCACCGGAAAACTTCTTCACACAGATATTGTCGTTGCAACCGAAATTCTTAGAAATGATGCACAAAATACCCGAGCTATATAAAGGTGTGAAGTCTTACACCGGTAATGTTCCCATCGGAGCGTCCGTGTTAGCCAGATATCCGGCAGATGGCGTGTTATATAGAGCTACGATAGTATCCGTCCAACCTTTCTCTAAATTTATCGTGCGTTATGTCGATTTTGGTAACAAACAACTGGTTGACGCCAAAGATATATGGCAGATGGAATCTGAACTAATGGAACTGCCAAAGATGGCTGTCCATTGTTCTTTAGCGGGGGTCGCGCCTAAAGATAGTGAATGGAAGTCTGATCCAGAAATAGATTTGTGTTTCAATGCGCCGCGTTACCAGTGCGTGTTCCAGGAATATGTGGATGACCAATTCAAAGTGTCTCTATGGAATAATGGTGTGAGCGTGGCCGATATGCTGGTTGAAAAGCAATTGGCTGTCTTGTCTGAAAACCTTTCAAGTGTCACGCTGAAAGGTAAGTGAGAAAGTCTTAAAAATTGCCTTCTTTAATGCTTCTACATAGTACATATTACTTAATGTAACATATTTTAATTTACAGATGAGCCCATTGATTTAACAATTATTGTTGGCCAACAAATGTTATGCAAAGTCACATTTGTGGAATCATTCGAAAAGTTTTATGTGCAGTTGGATTTGGATAAGGCTGATTTAGTTGAGAGTGCTATAGCCAACTATAATATATCGAAGGTATAAAGCGTCTGTTTATTTTAAATGAGTGATATAATTTGATAGTGTAACCAGAAAATGAATTATTTTACAGCTATTGCCATTATCGGCGGAGAATCTATCGGAAGGAATTCATTGTAGTGTGAAACACGAGGATAAAGTCTATAGAGCTATCATCAGTGATGCCTCCGATAAAGATAATATAAAAGCTGACTTACCTGACTACGGCAGCACTATAACTACGTCATTGAGCAATGTACGAGGAAATATTAAATCTTAATATTTTAACTTTTGATAACTATCATAGGTTTTATTTTATAAGTAACTTTATTGCAGGTCATGAACCTACCCACAGATTTTAGCGTCTACTACTATCAAGCATTGCAATGTTGCTTAAATAACTACATGGAGACATCTAAGAAGTTGCTGTCTTTAGATGAATTGAAGGAAAAACTAACTGGGAAAAAGTTTATAATCTATATTAACGATGTTGAAGATATAACGTGAGTGAATATTAATATATTTAAAAGGATATTAATTCCTTCTACCTGGCAATTCCCCAGTTTTAGCCAGGGGCTGCCTTACATGTTGTGATTAGTTTTGGCTAATTGTTTTTTACGACCGGCCGCCTGCCTGACATCAACCCTCTTTGGGAATGCATTAATCAGTGATGTCTAAATACTCTTAGAACGTAACGTATACGTAGTTAAATAGTAGAAAAATCATATTGTTACTTGCCAGGGCCAGGTTCGAGCCCGCGCCCTCGTGTATGAGAGGCGGACCTTTTAACCACTAGGCCACCACTGACTAAAAAGGATATTAATTATTATCCTTACTATTTTTTTTCCCAGATTGGTTTCTACACTCTATGATCCCATAACTGGCCAGAAGATAGCAATATTCGAGCCCGATGAAGGCGCTTACGACGCAGTGAACCAACTTTGTACAAGAGCTGTCTTTAATTATAACTTCGGCAACGCCTACATATCACATATAGAAAATCTAAATGAATTCTATCTGCAAAAATCTCTCGATGGTGATAAAATTGCACAACTCTTGGAAAAATTGTATAATTTCTATGAAGAAGGTAATTTTTTTAAATAATTTTATATTATTTTTATAAAATATCAAGAGATATGTAATAGCTTGTTTTTTTTTTATCAGGTACTCCAGAACAATTGACTAATTTCGAAGCTGATGGATTATGCGCTGCTAAATCGTCAGATGGAAATTGGTACCGGGCTACAATAATATCCTCGTCTGAAACAGATGTCAGAGTACAATTCTCTGACTATGGCAACTGTGAAAGCGTGGCGAAAGATTCTGTTAAAGTTTTGGATTCATCGTTCTTTGAGCCTTGTTGTTTAGCCCTCGTAGCAAGTTTAGGATTAGTAGCTCTCCAAGAAGATACAATCAGCAAACTAACAGAATGGACCAACGAAAAAGAAGTGCAGGTCACTTTAGCTTTTGGTAGTGACGGTTGGCTCGCTAACCTACATCTTGACGGTGTTGATCTGTCTATGAAGTTAGTGAATGAGAAGTTAGCTGCACCACAAGTTAATGCACCAGAGGCTTCCGAAGACGTAAAAACCGCAGTTGAAGCGACCGAGCCGATTTCCCTACCTGAAGGTTGTACACGAGTGTATATCAGTCATATAGATACTCCCGGACACTTCTGGCTGCAAATGGCGGATAAAGTAGACAAGATAGAAGAAATACAGGCCGAACTACAGGCGAATGCTGAAAGCTATGACAATATAGATAGTCGCGAAATGGGCACTCTATGTGTTGCTAAATATTTGGCCGACGATCAGTGGTATCGAGCCGAAGTACTCGATTCTGATTCTGATATAACAACCATCAGGTTTATTGATTACGGTAACACTGATGTGCTTGATAACCAGCCAGGGTTAATTAAGACCATACCGGAACATTTGAAGCTAGTGGATAGATATGCGATCAAATCTAGTGTGAATGCCGTACCAACGGGTACGGGACAATGGTCAGAACCGGCTTCAGATTACTTCACACAACTTGTAGGAGACATCTCTTCGCCCGTCGATGCATTGATAGTCCTGAAGGACGTCACGACATACGTGGACATCTATGTTAATGGACAAAACTTGACCGACAAACTAGTCTGCGAAGGATACGCCACTCGATCCGAGGAAGCCGAGTGTGGCGACCTGCCATCTTGTTTCGCTAGTCATGTTAATTCGCCGTCAGAATTCTGGATTCAACTGGAAACCGCTGCTCCGGAATTGCAAGCCATGGAATCAGCTATGGTGGACGCCGAGAACTTCCCGGAACTAACGGAAAAAGAGGAAGGCGTTATATGCGCGGCCAAGTATCCCGAAGATGGGGCGTGGTACAGGGCACAAGTTATAGTCGATGGTTCAGAAGGAACCGAAGTGTTATTCATGGACTACGGAAACGCTTCTATAGCTAATGAATTGCGCAGCTTACCAGATGAATTGAAAGTCAAACCGGCTCTGTCGAGAAAATGCGCCCTACAAAAACCAAGAGACATAAAATCCTGGTCTCGGAAATCTGAGGTGAAATTTAACGAACTAGCCGCCGAGGGGGCGACTATATTTAATGTTCAATTCATTGCTTCCGGAGATATTTCAATAGTGGAACTTTATTTGGAAGGTAAATCTGTCACAGAAGAATTGGTTGGACTTTGTGAAGAACATCCCGTCTCTGAAAGACCGACGCCAGTCGGACAAGATATACGAAGCAACGGGAAAATTTGCTATGTTAATTCATTGGACGAGTTTTATGTTCAGTTAGACGACTCGATGACTGATCTTGATAAAGTTACAGAGATCTTAAGTAAAGGTGCCGAATTCGAACCCGTCTCGGAACTAAAAGTTGGATCACTATGTGCCGCCCTCTGGACAGAAGACGACCAATGGTATCGGGCGAAGATTTTAGAGTTTTGTGATGTAGGTTACCATGTACAATTTATAGACTACGGCAATAAAGCGAAGTGTGAGGAGTTCAGAATGTTACCTGAGAGTATCTCAACAATAGACGCTCTGGCAAAGTGTTGCCGACTAGCAAAGTTTGCGAATGATGCTTCGAATGAATCTGCCAAGTCCAAGCTTGAAGATTTAGTTGCTGAACTCGTGACATTCCAGATAGAATTTTTAGATAGCCTTAAAGAACCGTCATTAGTACGACTTCTTTTAAATGATACTGATATCAGTTCCATTCTAATATCCGAATCACCGGACATTACGTCCGAGAAAGACGGTGAAGTCGAAAATAAAACCACATTGGAAACAAATAGTCTCGAAAAGGGTGCCGAAGAAAACTGCAATCGCAATGAAGAGGTATCAGATCTAGATTCCTCACTTAAAGACCTGAACGAGAGCACAGACAGTAATAATACTGTAATCGAAAAATCCATAGAAAAAAATGATTCGATCGATGAAGATGTAGATGGGAGTGAAACTTCAACTTTGAAGACAAACGATTCCACTAGCACCCTTGACAACTCGTTAACAACAAAAATCTCGGATAATTTAGAACCAAACAGTTCACAGAAGGCAGATGAAGATATCAGTGAGGGTGATAATAAACCAAAAGAACCCTCACCGGCCATAAATGCAGATACTTCTATAGATAAAAATGTTTCAATTGAATAGTGTGTAAGAAAACTAGTAGTATATAAAAGTGAAACTCATTCTAATAGCTGCTTCATTCTCATAAGTATAACTTAGTCTTCGTATTAGAATATTCGTATGTTTATTATGTAATGAACAGTATGACTGATTAAGCTATTACTAAATGTGATAAATTACCAATAAGTCGTGTTTTGGTAATTTATATTCTTATTTAAGTCCTGTTGCAAGTTTTGAATTAATTATAAGTATGTTTTGCGCTTTAGTTTTACGTTACTACTGACTTTTATTAAAAACGAACTTTTTTAAGTTGAAAGGTATATTTTTTGTTAATTTGATTATGCGATGCTAAAACCTTGTTTTTTTTGCTTATGATTAAAGTTTTATGATTGTTAACAATAATACTCATTATAAACATAAAAAAATGTCTATCTGCTGGTTTAACCATGTTGTATACATCTCTTGTTTTGATTGTTGTTACTTTGACACAAATGAAAAACGGCGTAAATGGTTGCTATTATGATTATTTCGAATAAAAGTTATTTATATAGCTTTTATTTTTTTGTTTTTTTAATAAAACTCTTTATAAAGTGTCCATGTCGTTTATTTTTCGTATTAGTTCATACAGATTAAAAAGTAGTCATAAAAAAATTAATAACAAACATCTGTACAATTACATAAGAAATAAATTTTACTATATATGTAGTTACAAACTGGCCACTATAAATATAAAACTAATTATTATTTACAAAGTATATTTCCCATCACGAGATGTAAGCTTCTATGCAATAACACGAAAACGTTATGCACTTATTATAACCGTCAAAAAACTTTAGTACTGATTAAAATTATACAAAATTATAAAGAAATAAGTTAACTAATTTATACAGCACAAAAACAATGATTAATTCTTAATTAAACCTACTATACCAATATCTTTCAAATCGTCCTTTTTCTCTAGTATAAGGCCTTTTTCATTAGCTAAATGAAGTACAGATAGTAATGCTAGAGGTATGCTGAGAGATTCTTTCATATTGGTTGATAATTTATTCGGTAATTTCGAATATATTGAAAAGAACGTTGTTTTAGAGACCTCTTCTTTATCACCACTACTGTTACCAGTTAACATTTTCCATGTGCAATGTTTCAGTTGCTTCATATCAACCTTTTTTGCTCGCATAGCGTAAGGAATGAAAATTTTCGCCACCTATCAAATAGAAAATATTTTAAAGTCAACACAATTATATTTATTCATTATTCATAAATTTTAAAGGAGAGTAAAAAATTTTTAGTATTGAAATTCTTATATTACTTTGATATACAATTGTAATTTTATTTTACGTATTATTGACATTAAAGCATAATTAAATAATTTCGATATTAAAATTTACATTAAGTTGGATTAATACAATATGATACATACCAATACAGATAGTGTTTTATTAAGTAGATATTATTATTATAATTAGTAAATTATACATACCTTAGTAGGTGGTTCAATCATATCTCCTATATCTTCGTTGTCTTGTTCTTGTCTTATTTGTTCGTGTAACTCCGGCGCTTCAATATTATCTTCATTACCCCATTCAGGATCATCCTTTAATAAAAGACGAATAATTTGTTAGAGCGAAATAATATCCAATGATGAAACCTCCAAAAGAATATAACTTTGAACTTTACACGATACACGATACAATTTGCAGTTTACACTTTACACGTTACAGTCTGCAGTTTACACGACACACGATACAGTTTGCAGTTTACACGATACAGTTTGCAGTTTACACGATACAGTTTGCAGTTTTCACGATACACGATACAGTTTGCAGTTTACACGATACAGTTTGCAGTTTACACGATACAGTCTGCAGTTTGCATTGAATAATTAATCTTCGGATGAAAATTATAAGTAGCTGCGTCTTTTGATATTATTCTAACATCTCGAAGATTCGAAACCGATTCTAACCTTTTGCTGTTTTATAAAATACTAGCTTTTGCCGCGACTTCGACCGCGTGGAATAGTGACTTCCGGCAGATGTTTGGTTCTTCCCACATAGTTCCCATTCTTGCGGGGTTTTCGGAATGGTCAAGTTTCCGTAGAATTTTCAGGATAAAACCTATGTTTTTTTTAATTCACAATGAAATACTCTTAGCCAACAACATATTTATTTGTTTATTTGAATAAAGATTAATATTATTATGTTGATACAACTTAAACAAATTAATTCGACCAAATTAGGTACCATAAAAACGGTTTTTGTGAGTTAATCTTAAAAGATAGACATATACTGTCGCGGACTGTTTTTTAGATCATTAAAAGAGCTATTATTCTTTAATACATATTTTTTGTGTATCTTGAACCGTTTTCACGGCGCACGCAACGGAAAGCTTCAAAGATGAAATAATTTCTCCCGCTTTTTACACATTTACCACTATATCTTTGCTCCTATTAGTCGTAGCGTGATTTTATATAGCCCACAGCCTTCCTCGATAACTGGACTATCCAACACAAAAATAATTATTCAATTCGAACCAGTAGTTTCGGAGATTAGCGCTTTCAAACAAACAAACAAACTCTTCAGCTTTATAATATTAGTATAGATGATCATCTACCACCAAACAGTAACCATAGAATTATAATGGTTTAATATTACAGCCTGTACAGAACATCTCAAGTACTCACCTAGCCTCACAATATAAGTACCATAAAGCCGCCCTAATAATACCTCAACATATAAATAAAACTCATTTAAGAGTTGTAAATATATCTTAGTTATAAAATTCTTATATCACAATGTTAGTGAGCACACTCCACTGAAACAGTTTGATATACATATTTTAATGAAACTTTATATGCATATTCAGTACAGCTAATAATTAGCTAACATCTATTTTTCATATCCCTAAGAGATAAGGGATTCTCCACAAAGATAATTAAATAATCATACATGTATATAATTTCGAGAATAAATTGTAAATAATTAAAAAAATTATATGTTTGGTGTTTTGTTATTTTTATAGTCTCATCGTTCAGTGTTTTTGCTTCTTTCACTCATTTACCATATCGTCACAAACTTACTATATATTTTTTTCTAGTCTAGAAATTCCCAAGAAATAATTGACAATAGGGTAAGCTAGTACAAATATGATATACATACCGGTACATTTTTAGTACAGTATGAGGCATCGTTTTCGTTGTTGAAATCGTAATCAGTTTCTACAGTCACAGGTTCTTTCTCCTTTACGTCTTGTGGTCTGGTGATTATCACACTGGAGCGAAGGAACAACTTGCGAAAATGACTCTCGTCTAACCCTCTGTTGAAATAAATATAAATCAATTATGAAAATAACGCCAAATATTCCAGTATAAACTCATTATTTTCTATTTTAAAGTTAAATACAGCTCGCACATATATTCTGACACCAAAATGTTAAGTTGATTTTAATTATTTTCTTAGTTTAATTGTTTAACCATCTCAAAACATTAACATACAATTATACTGCAATATTGTTGATAAAATTTGAATTTCGAATCGTAACTGTAGATATTCTTGAATGGAACATGTTATAAGGTAAATGTGTATTATATCCAAAAATCATTATAAAACATTAAAATACAATTATACTGCAATATTGTTGATAAAATTTGAATTTCGAATTGTTACTGTAGATAATCTTGTTATATGTGTTAGATGTGTGTTATAGTAGAAGGTTGATATTTGAATTTCGAATCGTAACTGTATATATTCTTCTTATATGTGTTAGATGTGTATTATAGTAGAAGGGGCGCGGTGATGACGTCACACCTGTCGACGGGCGTCTTGTAGTTGCGCTCGTTCCATGTATGTCCGGTGGCCAGCGTCTTCCTGCTGATGGTGATCTTGGCTGGCTGAGCGGTCTCGTATTCCGGGCCGGGGTTGGTCCGGCAGTCCATGGCCAGACCAGCCCCTAAAAAGTCCAACTGCCTCTTGGTCTTCAACTTCTTACACTCCACAGTCACCTTACCATCGGTTGACTGACTGCGCTCTGACTGTTTGGACGCTGAAATAAAATATATCATATTAATACAATACAAGTATTAAGACATCACTAACATACGGTGAAGGAAAACATCGTGAGAAAACCTGGACTTATAGTTTCACAATTATAAGTTTGAAATCACCAACCCGTCTTGAGCAAGCGTGGTGATTAATGCTCAAACCATCTCCATGTGAGAAAGAGGCCTTGCTCAGCAGTGGGCTTCTGATAGGCTGATTACATGACTACAATACAGATCACGTGGATGGTATGAAGTTATAATTGACTGCAGTTTGTTTTTAAAATTACTCTGTTTGAAAGATAATTTCCGACAATGTAGTCGTAATAACTCAGGGGTGAATTCTTCTTATGTTTTTATTAATTTACGAATTATTATTCATTACGGTAGTTTCATTACTCTCATATGACAAATCCTTAATAAATCAATAGAAACATTATGAAACATGTATGGCAATTTCTCAGCTATAGCCAGCGTCTGCTTTACATGTTGTGAATAATTTTGGCTATTTGTTTTTACGACCGGCCGCCTGCCTGACATCAACCCTCTTTGGGAATCAGTATTAATCAATGGCGTCTATATATGTATTCTTAGAAAGTACATATGACTCGGAAAAATCACATTGGTACATGCCCGGGTCAGGATCGAACCAGCGCCCTCGTGCATGAGAGGCAGGCCTTTTAACCACTAGGCCACCACTGACTGATTAATTATAACATTATCGTACACTTATTGGACATATTATAATATAAGCTAGATTCTGTAATGTAGTAATGAGAAACATAAGAAGAATTTATTCTAGGTCTTTTATGTCTTTAGCATATTAAAAAACTCAAGTTAGGTGGTAGAGCCTAGCTATAGTCACATAACTACAGATCGAAATCGAGTCTTTGCTGGCTGCGTTTCGTCCGGTAAGTGAGAGAAATAGTTCCCTTTTCCCTATTTCAATCCAACCTTTTCCTTACATTCGGTTTTTTCCCACCATTTCCTATACCTAAAAAACCTAGATTGGAACGCAAACAACATTCTGTTCCGGATGTCCATGGGCGACGGTAGCTACTTCCCACCAAGTAAGCCGTCTGCTTGTTTACCACTTTTAACATATATATTTAAAAAAAGCGAACGATATATTATAAAAGAAGAGATCGCTGCTTAGCTATAAAGCCGCCTGTTGCACCTCATGCAACTAATATGTATCGAAAATGTTATTTTTTAGTTTTAGAATAATTTACATAATAGCACCAAAAATTTATATAATAGCCTTAAACTTATTGGACTGAAACCGACTTCTTATATACAATACCAAAAAGCCGCTATACTGAATACAATATGTAGAATAGTTAGGAAATTTTTAGAATTAGATGTAACCTTTCCACAAACTTAAATCAATCCAACAGTGACCTCTACTTGACGCCAGTCCGTAAAGGTTACTTATATTCTACCGGTGTAAGCCGAGAACACAAATATACAGGGTGACTGGTGAATTACTATGAATATTTAAGGAGAATACTCAGTACATGATTCTCATTGGAATTATGTAAAAAAAATAGGTACTTAATTTTTGACCAAATTTCCGTATAAATAAATAAAGTGTGGACACGTTCCAAGTGTTCCAAGTGTGGACGCTTGCGGCGGCGTGCTGATACAACACCACGCCGCCGCACGCGTTTGTGTGTGTGTGTATACCTAATCTGTAGGGTGTTCTCACACGATGCCTAATTAATTACATAACTTTTGGTTAACTTTACTTAGAAGTTTATTAATATTAATGTTATATTATTTTTTATTTTGTCATATATGATCGTCAATATCACGTCCTCAAGTATCGATAGTAATTCACCAGTCACCCTGTATAAATAATAATAATATATCACCTCTGTTGCTCTTAATCCTCCAATGAGCGGGTCCGGCCCAGGCGAGTGTTGGCGCACAGTATGAGTATTCCATCCTTGAGTGTGAGGGCGCCGCGGGACGCAGGTCTGTTAGCCGCGCCGGGGCTGTAGCAGGCACGCGAGCTACACACGCCGCTACAGCTACATCCGCTTCCTCATCAGATTCAAGACCACCCAACGGCTCATCCTCTGTAACAGGTTGATAACTAGATAACTAGCTGACTAGATAAAAAACTAGCTGACTAGATAACTAGGTAGATAACTAGGTAACTAGATAGAAAACTAGCTGTCTAGATAACTAGATAACTAGCTGACCCAGCCAGTTTTTGGCCATATAATTAAAAAAAATTAGGGTTGTATCTATTTTTTTTACTGCCACATTATAAAATATTAAGAAAAAATAGGCGTCAACAACCCTTATCACTTAGAGGTATGAAAAAAAGATAGTAATTAGGCGTATGAAAAATAGATAGCCGATTCTCGGACTGAATACGAATATAAAATTAGGTAAAAATCGGTAAATACGTTTCTGGAGAAGTATGGTAACTAACATTGTGATATGGAAATTTTATATATTGTATTTCAACTTTAAATTATTCTATTCATTATTCATTAGTATTTAACTGTAAGAGACATATACATATATCACATGAATATTATATACAATGAAAAATATAATATATTAAAACTCTAATTTTATATAAGTTATATATAATTACCAAATAAATCATTATGATCTTCATCTTGAGGTATTGGCTCAACTTCAGCATTCAAATCAAATGCTAGTGCCTGTTGTGATAAATTCAATCTGTTTTCTTCCACCCAGTAATTTACATTTTCGCTGTATGAATCAAAATAATCATAATTTAAAATCCATATTTTATATAAAGTAAGAATTTTCTTAAATAACAATTGACAAACCTATCCTCGTTTTCGGGATCCCAGTTACTTATAGAGAAATCAGCGAATGGCTCACAAATTTTATCATTTTCATTGAAGGCTGGTAATAATTTCAATGAAAGACTAATACGATCATTTAGATCTAATTCTTCTTCATCTATATTCTCCTTTATTGATTCCAAAAATGGTATGTCTGTCCTAAAGAAACATTAGTTTTACTCATTATTTATTAAATTATTATGAAAATGTGTCAGACAGAAAGTTCGTCTTGTTTGTGTGAAAATAAAATTAGATTATAATTAAATTTTGATGTAGATAAACAATTTTAAAGTATGTTTTTATCATAAAACTTTTGTATAGCTACAATTAATATTCTCTTATATGACAATGGTTAAATTACCTTAATATCAAAGATAGTGTCTCATCATGAATAGGAAGTGTTGCATTAAATGCTCTGTTGGAAGAAGTCACATCACCGGTTGTAGCTGCGAGCCTCTCAAAGAAAGGATCTGAAAATAAATAATACAGTGTCTATACCATTTAAAATCACTTAACTACTGGCTGTGACACCTATTTTATTTGCATAAAGTATTTTTTTTTTTATATAAAATTTCTTAAATTTAAAAATTCTAAGTTAATAGATACATATCAGTGATAGTGTTAGCTATTTAGATGTTAGTTCTAATCGGATTGCTGTAATTTTATGCATGTATATTATCAATCTTTAAGAGGCAATTTTATGAAAATTTGTACTTAGTTTCAAACATATTATGCTTACCCTACCCCAAATCTTTATGCATGCCATATATTAAATAAGTTTTATAGCATTAATGAAAAAATACACTACCAATGCAATCATTAGCATCAAAATCTCCATTAAATATTTCAGGGTTAGCTGCCACTGCTCCTTTAGATTTTTTCTTTTTCTTCTTATGAGCTACAGTTTCTTGTTCTGTTGGATTCTCATCTTGTGGTGCATTATCATCATCTTTTTTTCCTCTTTTTGACTGAAATTACATAAAAATATTATAAAAATAATGTACAAAACATTATTAGATCTAAATTCTATTTTAAATAGTTAAAAAAATCAAAATTAATATCTGTGTGCCTCGTCTTTCATGATTAAGCCGACACTCTAAGAAGTAATTATTTATGTGGGTATATCTCAGAATATATAATCAAGAATCAGAATATATAATAAAAAATCAAGATACCTGAGCCGCTTTACTCAAACCGCCAGCCATTTTCAGTACATCATAATGAACTGCGTCAACTCTATATGAGTATATTCTAGTAGAAGCATCTACCACAGTAGATGCCGTCTGCAAGTTATCCATGCGAGCATCATGACGTCTCAACATCGATGTCATGAAATCTATTAATTGTAGATTCCATGCATTGTCTTTAGTGATTTTCTGAAATTATATTTTATTATAATCTATAAAGAGGAGATTTTGAATTAAAAGATCTTAAATATGAAAAAATCAACCAACGTTCTCTGCAAACAGTTTCAAGCACCCTTGGAAATGTTCTTTTAGTGGCGAAGATGACATGGTGTCTTTTCCTGGACTTGAGGAGGATTGAGGAGTGGAAGCAGCCAGAGCCCGCTCTGCAGCAACCAGTGAAGCCCTTTCAGCATCGTCATCGTTACGTTCCTAAAATAAAATTCTCGTATAAGCAGCTAAATCCCCTTTTAAACACTGACACAATAACGAAGATAGATTTTTAGTTTTTCCTAGACATAGATTTGTTGATGTTAAGTCAAGTTTGTCAGATTTTCAAATACCAACCTCATCTGTTATATTTTTAACTCGAGTTTGTGGTAAAAGACTTCGTCTTCTTAAAGGGCTGTTTCTCCCGCCAACACTAAGTCTTAGACCTGCCGGCGTCGATGTTATGGGACTCCCTAACATCATTGCGCATATATTTGGTAAATCTTTAGGTCAAAAATTACAAAACACAGAATGTAACAACTTTCATAAATATTAATATTTTGATACAAATTCGTATAAAAGCTATAACAGGCTTAACACTTGACTGTTTACAGTTTACACAATTTGAAACTCAACCGTCAATGGTATTAAAACATTACAGATAATCATAATAAGTATATAAATATAGATATAACAAATTGCTTTCAAGTAATTATGAAAAGAAATATTTATAGTTAAATGACTTTTTCATATTGATATAAGAAACATTTTTTTTTGTTTTATTTGTAAATGCCATTCTAATTTTCATAAAAATTAAAGTTGTGAAAATCTAGGATATTATTTAAAATAAATAGTTTTAACAGTATTCAATCAGAACGTGAATATTTAAAAAAAACTATGTATATGACATTGTTTTCTCAAAATTTAGTTAATAATTAATTGTGATTTTATTTTTTCAAGCAGATAAGATTTCTATTCCTTGTTTGTCTGATGACTTCATAATTTTATTATTATATTTCCCCGACTTTTCATTCATCTGCCCGTAATCTCGTTTTTTATAAAATTAAAAAAAAATTAAAGCTACTGTTCAATATGAAAACAAAAGTAACACAAAAATTATATTTTTAATTTTATAACCCATAAAATATATTACTTGATGAAGAAATATGAAGTTTTATTATTTTTAATATTTTTATTTCTCTCTGCTATCTAATTTAATAAAATACAAAATACTTTAAAAGCTGTATCACTCAAAAATATCAAATAAGATAACCGTTTCTCATTACTGATACTTTATAATCTGTATCTACAGCTGTTTGTAAACGGTCCGCTTGTTGCCAACTTCCCTTCAGTCATTTTACTTGGTGGCTGATGGTTTACGGTTGACTATTATATCGTTTAAAATCTTCGTCATCTGCAGTTAATATTAATAGTGGCACTATGAGTTCGGGAATGCCTGAACTGGGCTCCAAGATAAGCCTAATATCGAAAGCTGATATTCGTTATGAAGGCCGACTCTTCACCGTCGATCCTCAAGAATGTACCATCGCCCTAGCTAGCGGTAAGTTGACAAATGGATGCTTGTTATCTTGATGGGTGTTACTTTCTAAAAATATTTTCCTCCTTCGTGTCTTGGCCCTGTAAAATTGCCCATTTTTAAACTTATTACCTTGTAAAGAAGAATTCAATGGGAAACATATTAGATTTCCCTCCTATTATCCTATCAGTATTTTTGTTTGGAAGCTTCTAAAAGTTGTTTATTTCCCCCATAGTTTGATACATTTTCAGATCAATTTGAATAATCAGATTTGGTAAATTGGAGATTTTTTCTATTGTATTGTCATAGTTTTTAATCTACCCTCATAATTAAAAGCATTTGGTTTTTTTGTGACCGACGATTCACATTGATGACGTTGATAGTTATTTGTTCTTGTAAACAATGGTCGTACTATTGAATGATGCGTGTTTTATAGTTGTACATTAATGCATCTACTTACAGAGTTTCTCGTATATGTATTTTTATCATTTAATACACTATCAAGTAGATCTATGACAACTGCTATATGTAACATATTTAATATTAAACGAATTACAATTGCAAAACTATTTTTCCCAGTTCTATGAAGGATGAATCTCTATACACTTTAATAATTAGTCCTGAATATTAAAATATTACGACCATCTAATACATTCTATATGGATTGCACTTAATTAATAAATCCTATATATTTCATTTGCAGTTCGTTCTTTCGGTACCGAGGATCGTGAGACTCAATACCCAGTAGCACCTCAGAACCAAGTGTACGATTACATTTTGTTCCGCGGCTCCGACATCAAGGATATCCGAGTTCTGAACAATGTTCCATCTCTGCCGAACGATCCAGCGATCGTCCAAATGTCCGTACCTCCATCGCTGGGTGGCGGGCAAGGTCAAGGGCAGTACTCTGGCCAATACAATCATCCCGTTGTCGGGCAAACCCAATACCCACAGTATCATCCGATGGGTGGGTTCCCCGGAAGTGTTCATCCTCAGCTTAACAAGACGAGTGAGTTATCACCACAAACCTCGGTCGAACTGGCCCCACTGCAACCTGTTACAGCGCCGATTGGATCCGGAGTGGTGCATACCAACCAAGTGAAAGACCAAGGTTTTTTTTAGAAAGATACCTATAGCTTTGGCTTCTATATGTAATGCTTGCGATTTTTTTCTTGCACCATTCATCACTAACTCGTAAAATTAACTTAGTAGTTAAGTTTTCATTCTAGTAAATCATTTGTTTTCATCTCATTTCATAAAAATTTTCATACTGTCATAATAGCTTTTTTTTCATATCATTTTTAATACACCGCTTATTTCTTTATATTCATATAGTTATTAGTTTCCCTTAAATCATTAATTATTTATTTATTTATTTTTACTAAATAGAAAAGAAAACATTTTATATAAAAAATACTAACAAAATGATGTTTTATGGATGGAATAAAAATATTAAAATCTTTTCATTGTTAATCCTAAATATAATTCTTAATGTTGGTCCTAAAACTAATTAATAATATCTACATAATTAAAATACTAATTATGTTTTGTATGTATGTACTAACTAAGCAAAATATTAAATCGCAATCTTCATATTATGCCTTGGTCTGTTGCTTGTTAAGAAAACATTCATATTCATAACCCACTATCTTCATTTACTTTAAGCTTTATTTCATTTCATTCTGTAGATTAATTATCTAGTGTAGAAATTTTTCATAAACAATTTTAGTAAAATATGTATCTTTAAAAAAATTATTGTATTGTGTCAAAATACAAACATAAATTTATTCACAAAATATCCATATTATGATAGCTATAAATTATTTTATACTACAGAATTATGTTAATAATTAAATATTCATTATAGTTTTTATATAAAATGATGTATTAATTTAATTTTCCAGGTTCAATGCTCGATCTCATTGGCGGAGGTTCCCAGCAGGGAGTTTCTCGCTCGGGAACACCAGCTGTGATTGGACATAGAAAGAGTCCTACCACTGATCAAGGGACACAGGTAATGTTATAATTATATGAAGTATGTTTTAATAAATTTACATTTAAAGACAGAGATTGAATGGCATATAAAGCAAGATCCTTAATTTTTAATAATATACCACAAAGGATTGGAACAGTTTTTTAATTCAACTGAATAAGTACTTGACTATCATTCTATTCATTAAAAAGTGGATATTAAGTCTTAAGTGGTGAACACACTATCTTGGTATTAAATGTTTGATTTTACTTACATTTTTATAGCTTTTGAAAGTAATTGTTAATATTACTGGCATAGTAGATTTAACATTAACACTCTGATTTCAATAATTATCTAGATTCTAGAGGACCAATAGTTTAGTATTGAATGTTGTTGAAAGTTATTGACAACATTAGTATTGAAATATTTACCTCAACTAAGAACAATGTTAATGTTAAACACATTTTAATGAAATTCTCCTTATTATTTGTTCCTAAAGTTTATATTTATAGTGTCTCAAATTTTATTAGACAATTTTCCTGATAAATTTTTAAATTTATTGGATTGAAACTTCTGTAATCATGTCGAATAAATAAACTAAGAAGAGTAAATCTACTAAACATAGCTTATATACAGGGTAACTGGTGAATTGCTATCGATACTTGAGGAACGGGATATTTGACAATCATATATGACAAAATAAAAATTAATATAACATAAATATTAATAAACTTCTGAGAAAAGTTAACCAAAAGTTATGTAATTAATTACGCATCGTGTGAACACCCTACAGATTAGGTATACACACACACACACACGCGTGTGGCGGCGTGGTGTATCAGCACGCCGCCGCACGCGTCCACACTTGGAACGTGTCCACACTTTATTTATTTATACGGAAATTTTGTCAAAAATTAACTACCTATTTTTTTACATAATTCGAATGAGAATCATGTACCGAGTATTCTCCTTAAATATTGATAGTAATTCACCAGTCACCCTGTATACTGATATAAAAACCATATGGTGCATTGAAGGTCAGTGGTGGCTAAGTGGTTAAAGAATCCGCCTCTCGTTGCGTAGGGCGCGAGTTCGATCTTGGCCCGGGCAAGTAGCAATGTGATTTTTCCGAATCATATATACTTTCTAAGGTTATTTAGACATCACTGATTAATGCTGATTCCCAATGTGTTGATGTCAGGCAGGCGGCCGGTCGTAAAACAATTAGCCAAAACTATTCACAACATTAAGGCAGACCCTGGCTAAAGCTGGGAAATTGCCAGGAAGAAGAAGATAGACTATATGATGCTAAGTATTTCTGTTCTTCAGCAGGCCGGTGCGTCAGGTCAAGAACGTCGTAACAGTAGCGGCAGTAAGCAACCCGGCCAAAGTCGGCCTCGACCTAGCTCGAGGACACGCCAGAGGCAACCCAGCGGCAGTCACAACCCGCCCGCCGAACATATGGACAGTCAGTTAACATACTATACACATATATAACTAACTAGCTGCGTCCCGCGGTGTTACGTTGATTTCCGGGATGTAAAGTAGCCTATTCCTGGACGACAGTTTCCTGCGTACAAAATTTTATCAAAATCGATTCAGCCGTTTGAGCGTGAAGAAGTAACAAACATACACACTCACAAACTTTCGCAATTATAATATTAGTAGGATAATAGTAGATTTTTTATCGTCATCAGCCTATCAGACCCCACTGGTGAGCAAAGGCGTCTTTCTTACATGAAAAGGTTTGAGCATAATAATTATTATAATAATGAGATCTAAGATTTTCGCGAGTACACATTTAAATGAAACTAATATTTTCGGATTTTACTTCGCGTTTTATTTTAGAAACTACATACTCCCGACGTTTCGGCTACTTTTCAGCAACCGTGATCACGGGCAGACGAGATGTGAGTGTCTGTCAGTTGGTCTGGTCATTTTAATTTTTTAATTAAGAAATCGATGGCGGTAGGAGATAAAATGACCAGACCAACTGACAGACACTCACATCTCGTCTGCCCGTGATCACGGTTGCTGAAAAGTAGCTGAAACGTCGGGAGTATGTAGTTTCTAAAATAAAACGCGAAGTAAAATCCGAAAATATTAGTTTCATTTAAATTATTATAATCCTAAATTGTCGACTGAAAAAGTTGCAATATTAAAAAACGCCAGTCAAACCTGTTACATAGTAAGTGAAAAGGCTTAAGTACTATTGAGTTTCTTATTTGTTAATTTCTCTTGACGTACTTGATTATTTTAGTGTTTCATGTAACTAGAATTTTCTTTTAAATTACAACAAATTTTTGTAATCAAGACACTGAATTAAAATCCGATTAGAAAACTAAGTATTCTATCTAATTGTTTTACTTTATCCTTGTTATATGGTCCGTACTACAATTTGTTTCTCATTTATATCACTTATTATGTCGTTTCTTGTTCCCAGTGGTTCAAAACAACTACAACCGCGGCGGCTGGCGCGGTCGGTCCCGCGGCCGTGGTCGTGGGTTCGTTCCTCGCAACAAAAACACGCTCAAGTTCGAGAAAGACTACGACTTTGAACAAGCCAACACTCAGTTTGAAGAACTACGCATACAGCTGGCTAAGACTAAGATCGCTGACGGAGATGTCAAAACTGAGGTACGTTTATTATATCGACATACATATGTTATCACGTGGATTGCCATGGATTACTTCCTGTGTTAAGTCATTATTAGATTTCCTTATAGAATCTTAATAAGAATGACATGACTTAGCTCTTAAATTTCATGCTAGAATAACATTACAGCTATTTTATAATTAATACACTATTGAACAAATCCTGTCTATGAATATGAGTCTTGTGTAAAATATACATTTGAGTTATAACTAGGGCCCGGATTAATATGTAAATACATGTTTTTAATTTACTCGATTTTCGGTCTAGAATGTGTTTTTTACATGGATTGTTATTTTTAGACAGTGAAAAACCAACTTTTATTTTCCATATTTTAAAGTTAAGTCCATATTTTACAATAAAAGGTCATAATCATCCATATATTCACAAAATACATAAAATTTACGTTCCCGCCACTAATGTTTTGGATAAAAATAAAGTATTTAATACGCTAAAAAAATTAACACAATTCTGTGCGAAAGTTTCGAGGGCTGTAGACATGGCTTACACAATTACTGAATTAAGCATGTTTAAGTATGCATCCATCACGTCATGTCACGTGGAGAGATCATTCAGTAGATATAAGGCTATATTTCAACCAAATGGTCAGTTTTCATTTTGATAATTAAGAAAAGCACCTCATTGTGTATTGCAACCAATTTGATAAGGCTAGTGTAATGGAAGTTGAATAAAACTTATTTTTTGATGAAATAAATATTTAGCTATTTTTTTCATCGTTTTTTAAATGTAACTTAACGATGTACGTCACGAGTGACCCTTTTCTTATAGTAAAACAATGTTTAATTATGAAAGTATTTTATTTTATACTCCATATTTTTGATTTTTGTCGTCCATATTTTATGTAAATATTTTAGATTTTTTAATACATATTTATCCGGGCCCTAGTTATAACTGATGTTTCATTACAGGGTGAAGTGGATAAGAAAGATGACTCTGGCAATGAGACCGGTGCTGGAGAGGCGGAGCTTGAAGAACATGATGTGATCGCGGGATACGATAAGAAGAAGAGCTTCTTTGATAATATTTCATGCGAGGCTGTAGAGAGGTGACATATTCATTAGTATTAGTAAAGTTACCCCACTTATAACTCAAGAACGGCTGAACCGATTTAGCTGAAAATTGGCAGGGAGGTAGTTTAGAACCAGAAAATTGCGATAGGATACTTTTTATCCCGTTCGACAGCATTTCCGTGGGACTTGACATGAAACGTCAGCCACTATAAAACGTGGAATAACGAAACACAATTGACAGCTATGCGATTGAAGTATAATGACATATATGTAATTTAGTATTTGCGGGATAAATTTAGAAAATCATTGTTTTTCACATGGGCAGTTATAGTTTGTGTGTTCACGAGTTGGGACACCACCCGTTTTATTTGTGTTAACGATAGACCAAAAAACAAAAAATGTGGTTTACAAAGGAGCACTTCAATGAAACGGATAATTTGCGGACACGTATAACGCTTCGATTCGGTATCTACTTTGGATTCACTTTCATTTACTTAGAGAAGTTCAACTAAATAACACTTCATTTTTGTAATCGAAATGAATTATTCGTTACTGTTGTGAAATGAAATAAATATTTTCCTTTTCGAATATAAAACAAAAAAAAAATTCTTCATCTTTTAATCACCAAAAGAAATGTTACATAAAACAAAGCCTTCTGGAGGCGAAACGGAGTTCGCCAGGTTTACTAGTAATAAATAAATAAATATTACTTACTATAAACTATACAATACATACCTCACGCACTAACTGGTTGAATCATTGAACCAAAACAACTATATGTGCTAGTATTCAATATTCATATGAATAAAAAACTGTAAAATGTCGCTCTTTAATTAAAAGATACTAACTCTTGTTAAGTATATTAACTGTTGTACAATATGAAATCAGTGTGTTCTTCTAACACATTGAGATACAAAGATTTAAAGCAAAACTAAATGTTATACAGAATATATACCTTGACAAAAAGTTATCAGAAACATAGTTATATGAAGAAAAATTTAATGCAATCATATGTTAAGTTCATTTAAACCAAATTCTACAATAAACTGATTTAATGCACAAAAAAAACTGAAAGGAGGTTACATATCTCGATAAGTTATACGTCAACATAGATTAAGTAGTAGGAATTAACCAATAATTTATTTATTTGAGGATCCCCAACAAAAGATACACAGTATAAAATTTCAAACTAATCAATACTAAATATTAGAGAAATTTGTGCCCTTTCAATTACAGGAGACCACAGCTTGCTAACTAAATATGACTTAGCAAAACAATATGAACTTATAGTTAAAGTTAAAATTACATACATATTTAAAAAACGAAAAATATTAAAAAACAATTATATATCCAAATAAATATATAACTTTTAACTGAAACAACTTGAAATGGTGTATGTTTTGTAAGTTGTCCTTATATAAATAAATAAATATATGATGTATATCAATATCGTGTACTAGGTCGAAGGGTCGCAGCCAAAGGACTGACTGGCGAACGGAACGAAAACTGAACTCTGAGACGTTCGGAGTGTCATCAGCGAGACGAGGGGCGTGGAGACCGAGGGCCACCTGGAGACACGGACCGCACCCGCCGCACTCACACATGCACCACCCGCACCCGCACGCACCCGCGCACCCGTGAGTACACACGCACACACACACACGGGAAATACTGTTACATGTATTGTTGTAGAAGACACATTTTAGACTTGTGTTCCTCTAAATAACGAACTATTATCGTTTGGATATTAAATAATCGCTAAACTATACAGGGCGACTAGTGAATTACTATCGATATTTGAGGACGTGATTTGTGACGATCATATATGACAAAATAAAAATTAATATAACATAAATATTAATAAACCTCTAAGTAAAGTTAACCAAAAGTTATGTAATTAATTACGGATCGTGTAAACACCCTACAGATTAGGTATACACCCACACTCACACATACGAGTGCGGCGGCGTTGTGTTGTATCAGCACGCCGCCGCACGCCTCCACACTTGGAACACTTGGAACGTGTCAACACTTTATTTATTTATACGGAAATTTTGTCAAAAATTAAGTACCTATTTTTTTTACATAATTCGAATGAGAATCATGTACCGAGTATCCTCCTTAAATATTGATAGTAATTCACCAGTCACCCTGTATAATCGTCATTATAGTTTAAATTTATCTAACATTGTCCAATATTATCAATAGCTTGAATATTCATTGTTATTTTTGTATATTAAGTCCATATATAGTGTAGTGAACGGACAGTTTTCTCACCTGACGCGTAGTATGTCGTACTTCCCCAGCTGGCGGCCCATGCGCGGCGGCCGAGGTCGCCCCAACAACAACCCGAACGCTCGCCGCAACAACGCGCCCGCGCCGCAGACACAGACGCAGCCGCAGGCCGCAGCTGGTACAAACATCACATATATATAATATATTAATATAATAACAAGTTTCTCTACTAAATAACCCATATATTTCCCTTCCAGCCAAGTAAGATGCGCCACCCACGAAGAGTATACTGAATCTTAATTTATTATCGCGAGGACTAATCACAAATGGATAAGTAACGGAAAAGTGTATGTTGGTGATTGAAGTGTGTTATATGTAATCGAATAAAATGTAAAGGGTGATGCAGATGCAGAGCGGGAAGATTATTAAAATGGCACGGATTTAAGAGATGGACATTGTTTTGGTGTGATAGTGTTGTATCCTATATATGGAAGGGTTAAGTTGGTAATTCCCGTACGCATGCATATGAACAAGTTTCGTCCAAGCGTTTAGTTGTCGGACATTAGTTGAGAGATGGGCCACTACTCACGACCCGTCTGCCGCGGTTATATTAGGCTAAATTCTGTGATGAGAGGGTCAATAATTGTTGCCTTTTTATAGAGAGCCCTACATTGTGTAATTTGAAAACTTTATTTATGTTACGCCCAGAAAATCATATATTTTCATAGCTTCTCACCTATTAAAGCATTTGTGCCTGTAAACTTACGAGTTAGATTAATGTGAACTTGTTTATAGTCTGTCGATGTGACAGACCTCGAGGGCGTTGAAGCAGTCCTACTAATGTATAGTTAATGAGCTTATGGAAATACCTCTGAGCGAATTATTTTCTGCTGGACAGGTATAAAGTTTAAATTGATCGATGTTTAATCCTCGAGGTGTTTCGGCTCTTAAATAAAATTCGCAATGACTTTGTGATTAATTTGACTGTCATTTTTATTGTTAGTTTTAGATGAAACGGTTCTCGTAGGACTGCGATCTAGTGTGAAGATTTGTTATTATTGTATAGAGTCGACCTGCCGCGAGGATTGGAGTGATGTTATATCACACAAATTTTAGTATTTTTCTTTAAAGGACTTCATTTCACTGTTTCATATCAAATGATCGTTATATTGTAAAATTTTAAAGTCGATGAGAAAGAGGTCAAGTGTTTGAGGTTGTTTAACTATAATTTTTTTTTTGACAAAAATACAATATATTTGTGAATCTGTAACTCAAAACTGTACCTGGTGATTGTATTGATACGAAAATATACATTTACTACAAATCTTCCAGATGGCTATTTAATTGAAACACTTGTCATTCCGTCAATAATGTTTTTATTGCAAAATAAAACTTAAGCTTGTACAAATGTGACTTGATAATATTTTGTTTTAACAAAAGTACAAAATTTCATATGAAAACTTAAAACATTACAAATAAATACTAGACGACGCACACCATAACGTAACAAAGATGACAAATTACATATTCTTATATACTATTACATTAAAACAACTTACTGCCACTTAAATATTAATAATGTCAAACTAAATTCTTACATATTCAAGAAACCACGAGTTTCTATGCTGAAATATTCCAATCTGCGACTGGTGAAATTTATTTGAATTCTAATAAAAGTATTTAATTCAACATTACATAGAAAAGTTTAAAATATATAAAAACATATTTAAAGCCAATCAAGCTATACAAAATACAACAGATAATACATAAATGTCTAACATCCGTAACCTTAGAAGCGGTGAGTATTCAATGCAAACACGATTAAAATACCTTATGGAATACTCGAGCGGTAAATGACTTACAAGCTATTACTTATGTTACAATTTATAAAACATTTAAAAAATATACTCTTAACACTAGGGTTATAAGAAGAAACTATTTACACAACCGTATTGCTATTATAAAGATTATTTGACATTATCCGCTTTGTTGTCGTGGTTAAAATGACTGATTATGTTCGTTTACACTGGCAAGAATAGCCAACTATAGTATTCAAATCCTTAACACGATATTGTCAAGTGCACTGCAACTGTGACAAATCACATTTATGCAGCCAAAGTCAAATCTTCCTCAGTATTTAACTTGTACAACTGGTAAAAACGTATTCAAACATCAGTCTACTTTAGTAAAATTAAGGTCTTAACATAAGTACATATTATAAAGCATTCAATACTCGCTACATTCATTGAGCATACAAGAGTTACGTATGAACTCACCTTAAATTTTATCTAAATAAATGTAATACAGGAAAAAGTGTAGATAAAACATTTAGAGTATTTATGTCTAAACCTTCACCAAATACGTCGAAGCAGTGAGGCTGTGTGTAAGCGAAAATTACACATAAAATCGTTATCCTAAAAATTATAATACTTAAATTATATTTCAATAAAAGAACCCCAAAGCGAGGTAGCTTTACTCACATACTGCTTCGACCAGCACAACTGCAGTGTAAACTCAGCCTAATACAAGAAATACATTTTAACTACCGAACATAATTTTTTCAGAGCTATAACAAAGTAAAAGAAAAAATATTATCCAAGTAATAGCCTCTAGTTCTCATGAATACTTTTCTCAAACAATAAATTGTAAATAAGCTTTAAAATAAGTCATCTATGACAAACTGTTTGGATATGAGGCAGATTATAAAACGTATGTTTGAATACATTCAGCCGCGCCATTCGCGAGCTGCCAAACCATTTTCGACAACCCACACGGAACCGCTTTGAGCCTTCATCAACACGTCGATCAAGGTTCGACCCACGTGCTCCGGACTAGAAAAAAATCATTTTAAATTATTACATATGTACTTATTTCATATTTATTTTACATTTGTTGCTTCCAAGTTTAGACGAATTATTTTAGAATTCATGTTTGCATTTAATAAAGTAAATGGGTATTTTAATGAGATGTAAAACTTTGAGAGTATTCATTACTCATCACTACGATCTCCCGACGTTTCACTTACTTTTCACTTTCAGCAACTACTTTTTTGTTACCTTACGGTTTCTGAAAAGTAACCGAAACGTCGGGAATAGTTTTTAAAATAATAAAAAACGCGTAATATAATCCGAAAGATATTAATTTTAGTCCAATAAATCACAAATATTAATGTAATTATTCTTATTTTTGGTACGAGAGCTAGCAACGTCAAAAAAACAAGCATTTCAGGTAGGCTAGTTTTTAGATATGCTATCTCTCACACTCCCCTGGACGTCCTACGGGCTATCTGGCTGCCGGTAGTGGTTGCGTTCATCAGTGCGCATCGTACTTGTGGAGGTAAAAAATTAATATATCAAATCATTTTAAGAAGGTTTTTTATTATTATTATTATTATTATTGAACTATTCACAACATAAATTTATTATTGCCAGGTATTTTTATTGTTGTTTAAACGGTGCCAAGCGGCAATTTTGAATTAAAAATTTTTTTTTTCAAACTATTTTAGTATAGCTGAAATTTTAATAGCATGATATTTAACTATCTAAAAGCTCAGAATTAATTTGCTAGGCAAAAAATTGGTTGTTAAACTTTTGCCAGATCGAAATAAAGTGTAAAGTGATGTAGTATCATTTAGCTTGGTCTAGAAAATTAATCGTCTAATAAATAATGGAAGAAGGATTAAAAACTATTGAATTTATTTATAGATGAATACAAAATTGAGATAATGATCAATGTTAAGTTTGAAAAAGATCATCATCTTCATCACTGCTGTCATTTCCATTGTCATCATCGTCCTTAAAATTATTATCATTTTGTAATAAGCTGTTATCTGTAATAGAATCAAAAATTTTAATTTCTTTCGAGAAATATTTTATTTTTGTATTTTAGTTAAAATTTTTACCTTTAATAATAATATCGGCAACTAATGTTGGTAATTGCTCCCCAACGAACCAGATAAAATCATATTTATCATCATTAATGGTCCAGCCAGAAGCTTGAGGTGATAGAGATGTTGGGTATTTTAAATAAGCATTTCTCCAAAACATTTCTTGATTTTTGGTGGAAATTTTGATTTGTCCATTTTTAAAATGGTGTTTCGCAAGACTAATGCTACTTTTTCAATAACCTGATTTTCCTCCAGTCTCCTCAAATCATTATCTTCCAATAAACTACAATCTTTATGCATGACAACTTTTTTTTATTTTTTGAAATAATTTTGATTGTTTTTTTAAATTGTTTCAATATTTTGTTTTCAAGATAATTATTGGTCATTAAGTTTACATCTGACTGAGATTGAAGCTTTAATTCATCATTATATGTATCACAAAGATGAGATAATAGTAAACAATTTTTATTGTTGATAACGTCTTCTTCTATCAATGATACAATGTGATTAAAAATGATCTGGTGGGTATTTCGATTACCATGCCAGGGAGTTTGTGGATTATCGGCAACAACTTTATTATAATCATTTAAATATCCCAATTCACATGAATGATGATAATAAATAATTTCATTGTTTGACTGTAAATATTTTATCTTGTCTAACAGTTCTTGATTATTTAATTTTGTCATCCACTCGGCTATTTTTTGATAAATTTTTGCATGATTTGAGGAATGTAAAGTTTGTTGTTTACCTTTTGATTGCTTGCGATCTTTTCCACAAAAAAAACAAACGAGTGAGACATTTGAATTTGTTTCTATATTTACCACACTATCAGGTTCAATTATTGTATTGGAAGTGTCAATATCTTGGATATTTACTTCTGTATGTGAATGTTGAGACGTATTATCAGGCAGAGTTGTTCGAGCACTTACTGCAGTATTTGATGTCGAAGCTGAAATGGATATGCTGGGAAGGTCCACTGTTGACGAGAAATTAATTTCAGATAAATTACGATATTTCGCCATAAGAGCTGTAAAACTGTTGTAACAATTTCTATGGTATCCATCAGTGTCATTAATTTGCTCCGGTAATTGAACACTGTTATACTTAAGTTTGAAATTTACACGTATTTGTAAAACTTCTTTATACTTTTTTAATTTTTCTTCTACAAAAGTTATTATTTTTCCAGTTGTATCTTTACAAAAGACACATTTTATTAATTTTTCATTAGCCATTGTAACAAAGTTTTCATAAAACTCTTACAAATAACGTCATCTTGAGTCAAGATTCTTGACTACAAGCAGCTGCTGTCGTCTTTATTTCGGTCTAGAAAAAGGTTTAACAACCGATTTTTTGCCTGGCAAATTAATTCTGAGCTTTTAGATAGTTAAATATCATGCTATTAAAATTTCAGCTATACTAAAATAGTTTGAAAAAAAATAATTTATTAATTCAAAATTGCCGCTTGGCACCGTTTAAACAACAATAAAAATACCTGGCAATAATAAATTTATGTTGTGAATAGTTCAATAATAATAATAGTAATAATAAAAACCTTCTTAAAATGATTTGATATATTAATTTTTTACCTCCACAAGTACGATGCGCACTGATGAACGCAACCACTACCGGCAGCCAGATAGCCCGTAGGACGTCCAGGGGAGTGTGAGAGATAGCATATCTAAAAACTAGCCTACCTGAAATGCTTGTTCAAAAACGTTGCTAGCTCTTAGAATATTTATTTTATCTTCCACTCAATTGGAAGTTTCCCTTACCTTTGAGCCTTAGAATTCGCGTTATCCCTCTGCCACGCAGCCTCGTAATCAGACGACATCAGTTGTTTCCGTATTTCCTTAACAAGCCCTGTGTCCGTAAGCCCCGCTAGTAGTGCTATACTACGAACGCCTGTCAGACTCACGTGGTATTGGTCCTATTTATCACGGACATCAAAATTATTTATTACATATAAACCACAAAAAATTTTGAATATAACAAAAATGGTGACTGAAAACGCAGGGATTTTTATTTTTGACTTAGAATCTGTTTAATAAAATTGGGTTTACAGTTTGTAAATAAAGTAAAGCATTTTAATTAGATCGGATCGTGTCTCCTCCATTCTACGATACAGTGGCAGAATATACTGTTCACGTCTTTGAAAGCCATATTTAAAAGAACCAACCAACCAATGTACTAGATATTTTATTCCTTTATTTTCCTGATATTATGTGAGAGGACCGTCTGAGTTTTTTAGGATTTGTAAATAAATTCGAGGTCAAACTGCTGAAAAAAAAAAAAATATATATATATATATATGGCGATGTTAGTGTTGCCAGTTAACTTACCCCATACGACCTCGTTAGACCGACGACGGCATAATTAGTAGCCGTGTATATAGGAGTGGAGACTTGGGGACGGACGAAGGCTGTTGAGGCTGTGTTGACGATGGTACCACCGGCGCCGCCGCGGTCCTTACCCATGAAACGGTACGCCAACAGAGTACCGCGAATAACACCGTTCTGACATAACAAGAATAATTAATCTATTACACGTAAACGCTTAGAAATAGTAATTCACAACGCTTAATCTATATTTATTTGACTTTTATATGAACCACACATTAAATATATTTTAAACTATAGTATTTTTTTTCAAAGATTAAAACCAAGTAAAGTAGGTAAACAAAGTGTACCTAAGTTTATTTATATTACATTACCTCAAATTCTAATCAGAAAATATGAAATATGAAAGAAAATAAAAATAATATTAGTATTGGATACTTATACAATATTTGTTACATAAAATTAGTATATTTTTTTTTGTGTTTGTCACTATTTTACGTTATAAATAATATCAAAATGTTTCTGATGTTAATAATAATCTGAAGTGTATTGTTTTACTAACGGGTCTTACATTAAGAAATAAGTTTGTATAGCAATTATTAGGCATTATAACATTATTTGGCAGAATTGTTAATATTATTAATAAAATAATGGACTTACCAAATTAACATCGACTTCGAGTTCCCAGAATCTATCGTTCATAACACCGGCGTTATTAATAACGATGTCGAGTCGATTGAATACTTTTATTGTCATCTCAAACGCTTCTACAATAAAAGAATAGTTATCTTATTAATTATAAGTTTTATCAGTATTTTTTTAAAATTGATATCAAAGTATAAAAAATTAAGAAAAAATTCCGAATGACATGTGAGTTTCATCAATAAAACAAAGTACCGAATGGATTCTGAACTTAAATTTAAATTTTAACTTAAATATTTATTTGTTTATGTATGTACCTATGTACCAAACCTGAAAATGTATGTTGAAATAATACAATCTTAAAAATCGAACATATGATTAAAAAAAAACTAATCATTGTTAAAAGGATATACATATTTTAATATCATTTGTACGTTTCAATTAATAGACAAGTGTAGAAGGTAGACATGCGACTAAAAATTAGCTATAATGGCAAAGTTGTTAATAAGAAAAGTCGAAGAATCGAGCCAGCCATCCCATCTTAATATAATAATGTATAGATTATATTTTTGCAACTTAAAGGATCTACACGTACGTAAAATAATTACACAGAATTTTTAAAAATAATTTCAAACTTAGTACAGTTTTATATACATTTTTTCACCTTCATATTGCGGATAGTCAGTAACATCACACTGACAGAACAGCACGTTTTTCCTTCCATACTTCACGCCCAGCTCATCGGCCACCTGTTCTCCTATTTCAGAATCGATATCACAAAGTGACACCTGTGACACACGATTAAATACAATTAGACAGATAATAAAATATATTTTAAATACTACATGCGTTTCTAAACGTTATTGTTGTGTCAATTTTGACATTATAATTGCAATTATGCCAAAAATTTATTTTACTAAGTCCTAATATAAGATAATTAATTAAATATTTAGTTTGTACAGCAAAAGATACGACTATGTTACAGATATAAAAAATAAATGTAGAAAACTAACTACTTACTCTATATTGATTTAGCGTAGATACAAAACAGAATATTTCAGTATAGGCTAGTTGTATTCAATTTAGAGTCCACGTTTGCACCGAATTGGCAACTAGGATTTTGCTAAAATATTTACTAGATTTACCTAGACCGACCTAAAGCAAACAAAGCAGATAGTTTTCTCCCATAAATATTTAGCAGGAGAGGCAATTAATTAATTAAAGATAATGAATAACGAATTGAATACCTAAGTACTTATTTTAAAATTAGTTTCATGTAACTATGAAATAAAACAAGTGAATATCGCAATAAACCTAATAAATGTTAAAAAGAATAAGAATTCCTATGAATTTAAAAGCAGTCCGTGAAAATAAATGCCGCTTCAATGATCTAAATTGAATAATTTAATAAGCATTCAACAGTATATTTTTAATAAATCTATTAAAATAGCAAACTAAGATTATTCTATTCAATGTACGCGAGGTTTATATTGAATGAATATAAATCAACGACCGTAGCGGCGCAAAAATCAATACAAATACCGGCAACTGAAGACACTTGACATCTTTTCTTAACTACATGAAGCTATAACTTATTATTTACGCTACACGCATACAGTTTGGCTACTTTCCAAGCTGAAACCTTTTACCTTGAACTCAAGATGCTCAAAATTACATGAACCCGATTTATAAAAAGACTCACCTTCGCTCCTTGTTTTAATAATTCTTCGCTATAAGCTAGCCCGATGCCGGCCGCGGCTCCAGTTATTAAAGCAACCTTCCCTTTTAACTCCATTGCGATATTTTTCTATTTTGAGAGGACTGCGCCCGAATGCTGCAACCACTACGCTCAATGTGGCTTCGATCGCGACGTTAACTTCGCCCGGGGGGAGGCAGGCACACCCACACCCCGAATTCCCCTCCGTAGTAAATATACGCACGAATGCACGCCACTCTCGCTATTCACGTGGATTCAGTCCTTTGGATAGTTCACAGGACACCGCATGCACCTACTATAATGTATAAATAGGCCGTAGTACGACACACTACACATGAACGCTCGAATGAAACAAAACGACAGTTTGATATTTACTTTATTTGTAAATTTCTCGTATTCAGCGTGGTACAATAAATTTTTCTGTATTAAAAAAAAACTTTATAGAAATTTTACGTTTTTTTGAATTCTTCTCAATGACTAGTCAATATATCACAGATAGACGGCACCGATGATTCGTGCGGCGTCTTATTGTTTTATAGATATTAAAAAAACGCGACCTTGATTACAACGGGCGCGGACTGTACACAAATATCGCAAAATAAAATTTATCAAACTACATTACTAATATTAAAAAAAAACATATATATAAACTGAAAATTTAAAAACATTTCCCTAATACAAAATGTATTCTAAAATTTATATGATATGGCATTGATTTCATTTATTACAATATAGGTACAAATAAAAATATTCTATTAAAATATTTCGATAGAATAATCATGATTAACGATACATTAATATATGATAGACAAAACTATGTACAAGTATATCACACGTTTCATATTTTACATCGATTTCCATTAAAACAATATATTTTATTACAGTTTGTACATAACCGTTGAGGTAGAGCTTAAAACAGTCATATGTAAGCCAGTCGCAATACCTACTAGAATTTTCGTAGCATTAGAGATGAATATTATTTAAAATTTAATAAAATCTTTTTTTAGAGTCGTCTGTTAAGAAAAATCTTTAAAAAAAATGTTGTTTTTAAAATTGTAACATTCCGACGCTTGTTCGACTTTGAGCAAAAAAAAAAAAGGTTAGGCCGTATATAAAACAATTGGTATTTAGGTAACAGGTGTAAATGTATAATCGTTATTTAATGTTGGCAGGACTGACAGAATGATCAGGAGTGATGTGCCTGGTCAGCTCCGGCGGCTGGGACGGCTTTGGCCAAGTATGAAAATGACCTGGCGTTTGGCAGGCCTGCCAACACACACGCGCTAAGGGCCGATCTAGTGAGGTTCATGGGGGCCGCGTCGTACCACTCCGAGGTGTCACCATCATAACACTCCACATGCGGTATTGTGGTCGAACCTATAATTTGGATGAATAGGATACTAACACATTTACGTTGGCAACACCAATTTTGTGCTATCTATATTACACATTTTCAAAAATAGAATAAAAAAAAATTGTGATAATTATTACTCACCATTAAAACCTCCGATAACGAATATCATGTCGTCGAGAAGGACGGTAGCAAAGTTACTCCTTGCACTAAACATTTCAGTCACTTCCTGCCAATCTCCGCCGCGGTATGGACAGAAACGTTCCCCTGTTTTAAAAATAGGCTTCTTAATTCGTACGGCAGCGGTATAAAAGTGTAGAATAATTTCAATACAACTCTTTTACTAAGAAGCGCTAGTAGAGTGAATAAAAGGCCCAATTTCTTTGTTTTTAAGCGTAATAAAAGCTGTGATCACCAGTATTCAGCCGGCTGTAACCGTTGAAACCTCCTAGAGCATACAACGCGTCTCTGTACGCGATCAAACTGACTCCAGAGCGCGGGCTCAGCATAGAACGAATGAAGCTCCACTGTTTTGTTTCCGGATCGAACACTTCCGCTGAACTTAGTACCTCCTGGCCGTTAAAACCGCCCACGATGTATATCTGATATCAACAAAAAAAAACAATTACATACTATCCATATCACTTCATTATAAAGAATTTAAGACTTCATTAAAGCAATCTGAGGCTATTTAATAATGGTACTGGAAAACCTATACAGCCAATGTACCTTCCCGCCTAGTGACGCCGCGCTAGCATCAGATCGTTGTTTATTCATAGGGGTGGTCATCTCCCATTGATTTTTATCCGGATAGTATCGCTCCACCGAGGACATGCGTGTTCTTCCGTTATATCCACCAAGAGCGTAAATCAAACCGTCTGGAAAATGAATATAAACAACAAACTTGTATAGAAATATTGCAACATGTTTTAAATGATGAATATCAAATCACCATGAACGACTACGCTGACGTAACATCTGGCCTGGTACATGCAGGCTCGTTCGATCCACGTATTGGCCACAGGGTCATAGCAACGGACAGTGTTGAAATGATCACTGCCATCGAAACCGCCGATCATATATATGAAATTGTTCAGAGTGCACAATCCATGATATGCTCTAGGGGACAGGTCCATGTGTATTGATAGAAACCATCTGTCAGCTCTGAGAAAAAAAGTATTTTAAGTTATAGACCGAAACAAAGTATGTATTCATGTGAATCTTGGAAACTTTTTGTAAATCACAACGGTTATTACCGCGTATCATAAGTTTCGACAAAACTCGTCGGACTGCCAGCACTCCATCCGCCAACAGCAAATAGTATTTCGTAAGGAATTCGCGGTCTCGCCAGAGGATCGTTCAAGTCTGCTTCAGCGTCAGGTCTTGAATCCAAAAGTGTTAAAAACACTACCGCCGGGTACAGAGCTTCTTGGCATTTCTAAAAACACAAACAAATATGACAGCATATTATTTTATTCACATAGTATTTAAAATTAAACATGTATACCTCATCTTCAATCACCGGCTGCCATTGTAAAATTTTTGATTTAAAGTATTTGTAACTTATATGACCGTATCTGATACATGATAATAGTGAAGAAATATATTTCCTTCGATTATCAAGATCATGCTCTACCCACGATTTGACAGCTTGAAATACAAGTTCCTCATTACGAACATTTAATTCATCATCCCTCAAAATATCTTCCAACTCTTCAAATGATAATAATTTAAATTCATTGCACTCTTTTAAAATTCTAGCAAAGTGTTGTCGGATGTATAATTTGCCCTTCTTCTCAAGTTCACTACAAAAATAGCACCTGGCAAATTTAAATATCCCAAGACAATTGTGAGGCCTCAATTCTTGCAAAAGAAATTGACAACACAATTGTATAACACCGACAACATCAAATTGATCTGCATAAGGAAGTAAATTTTCCACATTTTCTGCAGTCACAGTGCATGATCCTGTGTAAGCGTAATCAAGGATTAAACTCATATAATATGACGGAACATCTACTGCTATTTCAGTCTCTTCAGGTTGACCTTTCTTCAATGAATTTATAAATATAGCTTTGAAATAGGGACTCACTGCAGAAAGTATTGCTCTATGAACTTGAATGGCTTTTTTATCTTTGCAGATAATAGTCCCATCACATAATTGACCGTTCTGCCTCAATTCATTCCATATTGCAGGGAATTCTACTACCGAATAATTTTCAGGGAGACATGCACATTTCCTTTTACGTGTAACTATTCTCCTTTTTGTTAATCTAGGCTTAGAGGATACAGGAGTACGAACAGAATTTTTGCTTTTTGATAATTTTCGATGTTTCGTATTAAATTCCATCCCTTTCGAAAAAAACGGCGGTCGAAACTTGTTATCTGTCGCGACGACAGATTTTAGGTCATGATATATTTCCTTTGTTTCATTATTTTAAATAAATGATATTCTATTTAATTTTATATAGTACCAGGAACAAATATATAAAACTTGTCTATGATATGTATTTTATATTGAATATATCACAATGGCAATACTGTCTCTCGCTGTCAATCCTTGTTTTTGTCTATAGACTCTCTTTTTCATCCGGTTGTCAATATGGTGAGTTTCGCCTGGATGAAAATAAAATAAATCTATAAAAATCTCGGCGATATTAATGTGTTGTGGAAGTTAAGTGCTCTTAATCGTTAATTGTGTAAAGTAAATATGTGTTCCGATGTTTATTTCAGGGTGTCGACATCAACCATAAACACGACAGGAAAGTCAGGCGTACTGAAGTTAAATCTCAAGATGTATACTTGAGGTTGCTTGTAAAGGTAATTTGAAACCACATTTAAGATATTCAAGAATATTTCATATAGTTTTTATTTATTTTATATAAAGTTGCATTCATAACCTAATGCTAATGCATTGTTGACAGTTATACAGATATTTGGCGAGACGTACAAATGCCAAGTTCAATACGATCGTTCTGCGGCGTTTGTTCATGAGCCGTATCAACAGGGCTCCCATTTCCCTGTCTCGATTGGCTCGCCACATGAAGAAGCCTACCCGTGAAGGTCTTATTGCCGTGGTTGTGGGTTCAGTAACCAACGACGTGAGGTTGTACAACGTCCCCAAGCTTACTGTCGCCGCTCTTCACGTGACTGAGAAGGCTCGCGCCCGTATCTTGGCTGCTGGAGGTAAGTTTTTGATGTAAACAAAGATATGTTATAGGTTATGTTACATACTTGTGGACTTACAAAATGGGCTGCCTACAAATAGTTGAGCTTATTATTACCATCACAACCTTTCTTCATTCATCAATATTTGTATTAACAAACAATTTTAAGTCTTGTTAATGAAACATTCAAAATCAGGGAAAGCAAACTCGGTTAAAGCATACTTTACTCATGGTGAAATTCTAAGTAACTAAAAAAAAGTTTTTTAACTCAACATATGATAAAGAACCCTTAAAAAGTTGACGTAGTAGTCAAAGAACCATTGTACTTAAGTTAGAAGGTTTTATCTGCATTTGTTAAGAATATCACAAATACAAATCTCAGTATCATAATAAACAATGTTTGTACATATATCAATGAAAATATGATTTATTCCAACCAACAATAACTCTGCTTCTATTAATAGGTACCAAATTGAGTATAGCAGTATGTAACCGTTCTTTGAAATTTTATCACACTTGTTTTATATTAAAGTCTAGTGTTTCTTTCTTTGACACATTAATCTTATTCTTAGTCTGGTGCCCCCCAAAATAAATGTTTTATTTGTTCTTGTACAGTTCATAGCTTCTCTTGAAAGATTAATTATGAGATTGTTTATAAGTAATAATAAACTATGACCATGCTCTTGAATTTCTTTTTATATTGTACATCATTAGACAAATAACCCAGTTGTCCTGCTTATTTTTCTGTTAAGATAGATAACTTTCACAACCCATTTGCTTACAAATGATACTAAAATTGAAATGCAGATTATATTTTTGATCAAACAAACATTTTAGTGTCCGAATCTTGTGTGGAAAGCCTGAACAGATCCTATATTTAATTAAATTTAACATTTTTGAATATGCTGATGAATAATGATAGAACTATCAATAGATAGTTCTAAATGTATGATATTTTATTAACATTTATCTCTTTTTTACAGGTGAAATCCTAACATTCGATCAGCTAGCGCTCCGTGCTCCCACCGGCCGTAAGACAGTCCTCGTCCAGGGCCGCAGGAACGCTCGTGAGGCCGTCCGTCACTTCGGCCCGGCCCCCGGAGCTCCTCGCTCTCACACGAAGCCCTACGTACGTTCCAAGGGCCACGAGCGCTCCAGACCTAGCCGTCGCTCTAATGTATAATCATTTTAATATAAGGAGTACAACCTACATCTTGTTTTATTTATATGTATTTATAATGACTAATGAACAATCTTAATACACGCCTTTTAACTTGTCAACATTTTAATTCATAAAGCTATGGATTATTTATACCTCCATTCTGTGTAACTTGCATAGAAACAACAGTAGTATATACCTAGTGTAAAGTTGCACAAACAAACAAAGATGATAGGTTTACTAAATGTTGATTGAAACATCTAACACCTAAAGCTCATATTATTATGACTGCTTTTTTTGCTCCAAGTCGAAGCTGACACTGAGAAACTACACATGGAGCATTTACGGTTTTTCATTATGAAATTAAGTATAATGTAGTTATTGAATGCTTCATGTACATAGTGTATAAATGCCAGATTGTTATATATAAAGCAATCTTAATGTGTTGGTACTTAATACTTTTACCTTATCGATCGTCTGTGTTACGAAACTTCATATTACATGTAACTGATGTTTCCATTTAAGTTACCAAGCTATGCTAATGACAATAAAAAAAAAGTGAACCATAAAATATTAAAATATAAAAAGTTATTTCAACAATAAAATATATTTCACTTAATAATAAAATAAATATCACAATTCTTTCTATATTTTTCCTTCAACTACAAAACATGTACAACCAGTAATTAACAAGTACTTCATCTTGCTGCATCACACCTAACACAACTTTCAATTTCTTTATGGCATCCGATTTTCCTGAATTAGTTTTCGCCATTTTGATTGTGTTTGCTATCCTGAAATTAGTGTTATATTAATGATTAGGAACAATAATCCCCACTAATATTATTAATGCGAGAGTAACTGTCTGTCTGTTACGCTTTCACGCCTAAACCACTGAACTAATTTTAATGAAATTCGGTAGAGATATAGAGTTGACCTTGAGAAAGAACATAGGATAGTTTTTATCCCAGACTTTTGAAAGGTTCTCTTGGAAACGCGATGTTACCGAACTCCACGCGGGCGAAGCTGCGGGCGGAAAGCTAGTATAAGAATAAATAAATATAATAGTTGGCACTCACCCCAACCATTCTAACTGAAGAGATTTTATATGTTGGTCCAATACAGTATCTGTTAATTTCGTGTTATCCATAGCAATCTCTATCCTCCTCATTAAAGTAGGGCCTTGAGATAAATAAATTATTACTCATTAACTCTATTTCATATTTATTAATACTAAAAATACTTACATTTATCAGGCAAACTTCCACTCCATTTACAAACAAAATTGTTGTTTTCTTCTTCTTCTATACAGCAGTTGTCATATGTTTTAATGGTGACGCTACTAATTGAGATTATAGGCCTGTTATTATCTACTCTTGTACTGGGGATTATTTTTAATAAACAATCTTTAATTCTTGATGGTTCAAAGTTAATACATTTTATGACTATCTGTAAGGAGGTGATTATTTAATTTTATTTTATGATGTTAAATACAATGAATATTGAATAGTTTCTTACATGAACTCCAGTTAAGATGCAATACAATACTTTTTTAAAAGCTTCCTTTGTTAATAGACTTTCTAATTCCCTTATTGTCAGACAGTTTTTATTATGAACAACACAAGCATTCTCTTGAAATATTGTGTTGCTAGTTAATTGTGGAGTGATTTTATTAAGTAAGCCATGACTTGTATATAAAGTTTCAGAATAAGTTACTGCACCTATTCTGAGGATGTGTGTAAAATGAGAGTGGAGTTTCTTAAAAATATCTGCATCTCCTATAAAAATTAAAATAATTAAGATAAATCCTTGACATTACTTATATAAGAAGCTCAAAATTAGTACCTGTTAATTGTATTAAGGATCGGGACTGACCAAATTCATGTTTTCCTGTCTTAAGCCTCAAAGCTCTTTGAGAGCATATACTTTGTTCTTGTTCATAGACCTCATTAGCTAGAGTTTGGAGTTCTTTTGCAATTTTCTAAAATAGGATACAAAATACTAAGACTCCAGACATTTTAGCATACAAATTACAAAATACATACATTTTTATTTATTTCTCAATTTAATCATTTATCTTAATGCATCTACCTGCATGTGTTCTGAGAGTACTGGTGTAATATTTAATAGTAACATTTTATCCTTCATTAAAACTACAATTGAGAACAACCTTTTCAATCCCCTCGATCTAGTATCCTTTAACTGAAATGTAGAGCTGAGCACATCTCCTTGTGTGTCACTGAAATAAACCACTCCACCTTCTTTACTCCAATTTACCTTAAAATCATTCAATAATGTAGATTCAATTTAGATATATCCACAGAAAATTGTAATTGAAATCGGAAAGTTGTTGGTTTATTATTTAACATTTCATTCTGAATAACTTACTTCACAAGTAATACTTCTTAAAGCAGCTTGTCTCAAAAAAGAGGTAACTTCAGGATTTGGAACAGATTCCCTACTACAAAAGATTGTATCACCATCTCTTGATATTAAAACCGTTTCTGAACCTATAGAAGTACAGCCATTACACTGTACTGCATTTTTAGAAGCCTCAATGGTGTGTTGTTCGTCCTCAGTAGTATATGTACAAAATACTGGCCTTGGACCATGAGCCTCACAGAAATGACAAAAACCAACAATTGCGTTCATATTTATATATCCTTAGATTATTTTTTTAATACTTAAAGAGAGCCGGTATGTACCGACTAATATACGAAAATATATTGATATTAAACTAGTAAATAGGACTTTTGGTTCCTATTAATAATACATAATTAATGACTGATAGTTGATACCAGCCGTCGTACTGTTTTTGTATCACATGTGTCAAAATTCGAAACCTTTCTGTCAATACAAAATTGAAGAAAACAGATTATTGAAATCAATATAAATCGACTCAAAATTGTCATTGGCAAAATATTTCACCATTCCAGTGTGAGTAAAACAACAAAAACAATACTCATAATTATTACACAAACCTTTAAACTTTTTCTTTGTATTCACATGTATGACAGTTTGGTCGCTAAAGGTACTTTACACTATATGTACTAAAAAAAATCGATATTATAATCTTACAGAAAAAATGTTAGAATAAAATATTAAACCAAAGCGCAGTTGCGAAATAATACATCGTGAAGTTGAATTCAATCCTCTCCTATGGCAAAGAGTTCCTCAAAACATTCCCAATTTTTATAAGGAAAAACAGTCTTTTTAGAGCGGTCAAATTAAAGCATTTGTATGACAAAAGCAAACTAATATTGTTTATATTTATTCACTTCTTTTCCATAGTCGTCAGCTTGTATAATGCGACTATTTTCTCGTCGTTTTTCTTGTCTTATATAACTAATCTAAGAAATATTAACTTTCAGAATAAATTCTTTCAGCCCGATGTAATGCATTAGTAGTACCTGAGCGGATCAAGTAAAGCTATCGTTCACTAGGACTGAAACATAGATAATACACTATATTAGAAATGTAAGTCCAGTTTAAGGAAGCGGTGATAAGAACGGTTACGCCGAAAACAAAATAAAGCCTTTCCCTCTTTCTTTCCTTCTGTCACTTGATGTTTTTCTTTCTTTGTCATTTAACGATCTTTTGAAATTCCGAGTATAACTGTTTCTAGTCAAGAACTTTCAACAAATAATTGGATTTGTGAAGGGATTATAGTAAGTAATTTGTACTTAACATATCGATATTAGTAATAGTAAGTTTTGATTTTCTTTCTCAAGTTCAATATGTCCAAATTTTTAATATAGAATAGAATAATAGATACTCAAGTCAACATTTGGATTAATATGAAATTAATTATCGATGGTATATACATAGCATATTTTTATAAGATAAAGGAAACGGATGTACTTAATAGTATTTTGGCTTCACCAGACCTGACTTGATGGGAATAGGAAACGCAATAAAAAAAAAAGACCAATTCCGCCATTTTCGATAACATATTTAATGTACAGTACACTGAAATTATTTTTCATTGATTATCACAAGCACAGCTTGAATTAATTGAATCTGTGTTCTCATCCACACAAACATTATTATTAACACTTTATAAATAATATAATCGCAACAAGCGAACGGTAACGGTAACATGATTGAAACATAGATTTAGAAATAAATTATTTATTACAAGTGTTGCCTATTGAAAAAAAAAAAATTGTCTAAATAGTATCCTTTACGCTACAGCTTTACTTCTTAGATACCGCTTTGTAGGCTAGTTTGCGGGACTTCATTGTGGACCACTTGTGCCGTTTGTAATAGTACACTATGGCGGCTAGGAAGGAGAATATTCCAATGGCCTTGATAGTCATGAGACGGCGCTCGTCTAACTCAGGTTCGGAACACCAACGTAAGAATGTTGCTACGTCCTTTGCCAACTGAGAAGCCGTTGCTGGAGTACCATCACTGTATTCCGCAGCCTGGAATAATATTATTAATTAGAACTTATTGTTCGAGGGATATTTACAAAACGTCTGAGGACAGTATTTATAGTTATCAAATAAAAGATGATACTTATTCCCATTACATAATTACAATGGTCCAGTATTATAATTAATTATAGTAATGAAAATCATTCTTAGGATTATAGTATATTGTAATTAGCATGCATGGATAGAGGGACATAAGTAACAACATAAGTTCAATTTTAATTTTTTATAATAGTTCATACATCCTAAAAGTTACATAGTATATTCAGCCAATGTCACATTATGGAGAAAACTAGAATGGATAATATGATAGTTACTGGAAATAATTTATAATAATAACTCAATTCCACTTTAAACTATGTTTTTACTCATAGATATACTAAAATGTTACTGTTAAGAAACATTTATAATAGTTCAATAAATATTGATTTGATTAGGTATCCACACTCACTCCATAAATAAGAGTGAACAACACAATACAATTTATATCTTATATCATTGCCAAACAAGGTCCATTCAACATTCTGAGCCAATTTATCACACTGTTGCTATTGAAAATATTTTTCTTAAAAATTGTAACTTTGTGATATATTCTCTTTTTTAATCAAAGTACTTTTTACCTAATTATTGAGCCTTAATATTTGATTTTAATGAATCTCAAAGTCAGAAAACAATAAGATTACAACTATTTTTATAACTAGGAATATTATACTTCAGTCCAACTATATATTTTGTGGTTCTATCAAACAGAGTTAATTTTAATCACTTTATTAACTAATTACTTTTCAATTGGTGAATCTTTTAATAGAATAGTAATAAATCTCCACTACCATATATTCATGTTACAAACAAAAAACTAACTAATAAATTTCTTTCAATGAAATTATAGTGTATGATTGAAGAACGTCAACTTATATAACTTTTAAGTCTACTACATATTATTGAGGATCTAGTTGATAATGTAGCTTTTGACGGGTGATAGTCAGTCAGTCAGTGAACTTTTATAGAAAAAAAAACTGCATAACTTTGATATCAACACTAGTCATCAAGCAAGGAAAATATAAGCAAATAACATTGATAACACATTTAAAAGCGTATATAGTTAGTTGTAATAAATACCTCATCGAACAAAACTTGTGCCATAGAAATGGCACCGCCGGGGAAGTATGGGTTGTAGTTCTGCCCCTCACGCAGTACAACACCAGCGGGTGCTTCCATGTAACCCGTTAGCAGGGCGAAGATGTAATCCTCGCCGCCCTTACGACCAGACACTATCAGGGATAAGTCCGGAGGGTAGGCACCTGGGGAGAGAAGTCAACATATATTGGACATTATTCTTCTTCTACCTGGCAATGTCCCAGCTATAGCCAGGGTCTGCCTTACATGTTGTGAATTTTGGCTATTTGTTTTTACGACCGGCCCGCCTGCCTGACATCAACCCTCTTTTGGGAATCAGCATTAATCAGTGATGTCTAAATACTCTTAAAGTACATATGACTTGGAAAAATCACATTGGTACTTGCCCGGGCCAGGATCGAACCCGCGCCCTCGGCAACGAGAGGCGGGCCCTTTAACAGGCCACCACTGACTATTATTATATTAATGTAACAAATATTGAATATAAAGTAGAATTATTAAGATAAATATCAGTAAGACAAACATAATTAGTTTTGCTCTAAAATGACTTTATCAGAATGTGTATTAATAGTTGAAAAGTAAGTCGTCATTAGTTAGTCAGTTGTTGTAAACTGTAAAGCATTAAATATGTGATTCTGATGAATAAAAATAAAAATGAAAAAAATTGTTTATGGCTCTATTATTTATGTTTGATTTTCCTCAACTTGTTTGTGTGGATAATTTATTGGGGAGTTATAACTTAAAAAGCAATTAAAGATTTTTAATTTCACATCAAAGAAAATAAGTCAAGATTGTGTACATTTTTGATATGAGGATATGATTTTCAGTGGATTTGTGATGACTATCCAAGAGGAATAATTTTTTTATTGGTTAATTTTTAAACAACTACTTAATAGATATTTAAAATATTTATTTGAATAATGTTCTGTCCTAGACACTGATTGAAAAGAAAACTTAGTTCCAAAAATTTTGAAATAGCACACCACTAGTTCTCGAAGTTTAAAATATGTATAAAAAAATATAATGATAATTTTGATACCAGCAATAGACTTCTTTCAAATTGTCATGTTATATGTATGTAGATAATAAATGTAATATTGAAATGTGAAATATATGGTGTTTAGTTGTAGTATACCATTGTTAGCAGCTCGAGCTGCATTTTCGTTGGGGTATGGTGATGGGAAGTAGTCAGATAGTTTTCCGGGACGTTCAAAGTAGTTGCCTTCTTCATCAGGACCATCCTTAATCATGACCTTAATAGAAAATTATAAATATGAGCTCATATTATGTCCTATATATATTGTTGAATTCTAACATAATTGTTTAGGAATTTATTATCTTATATAATATATTATAGTTCAATACTTCTAGTTGGTTTTATGACAAACATAGTCATTTTTAACACCTAATGAAATGATTATTTTTATGTAAGATCCTTTTTTTCACATAATTTGTAGACCGTATTTTTGGTTCCTGTCTATTTAGCTTGTAATAAACTATTTTGTGACTCCAATTTTACATTTACAAGCTGTGAATTTAAGTAATAAAGTTATGTAACATTTAATTCAAGTACCTCAGCAGCTTCTGCCTTTGCCTCTTCCTCAGTATGGCTCACATTTACTAAGTTACGGTAGGCAATGTACTGTAAAGAGTGGCAAGCCTTGCATACTTGCTTGTAAACTTCATAACCACGGCGAATACTATAATGAAAAGTAAAAAATAAAGAAATGGAACTAATATTTTTAGGATTATACGAGATCTGCATCTCAACTATTAAGGCATTTCATCTGTTTGGATCACAGTTGATGAAAAGTAACTGAAAAGTCAGGTGTATGTAGTTTTTGCAATAATAAAATATGCATAGTACACATACAATCCGAAAAGTATTCGTTTCATTTAAATGAATACTTGCAAAACTCTTAGATTTCACAAATTAAACGTACGTTTGGTTTATATTTATGAATTTAAATTTGGAGTCATTATTATAGCCATTAAATCAATTATTTGACCTGGCATGATCAAGAGATTGGAACCATCCATTGTGGCTCCACGGCTGATGATAGGGATGTGCTTCAGAGCCCGAAGCCTGTACCGACTGTTCCAATGCAAACAGTAAGGCTCCGACACCTCCTGCGCCCACACCTAATGTGGTCAACCACTGGAATAATAATTATATGTTATTTATATTATTTTTCAACATTTTGACATTGAAGTAATGCTTTAATTAAAATTTCAGCAGAAATTTTATCAAAATAACTTCAGGAATATTGGATTTGAGTTGCTATGTCAATGAAGTTATTATACAAAAATATTTCAATTTCAAATTATTATTTATACCATAATATAATGGTACTATTTCATTGTTTCTTACATTAGAATGATTTAAATAATTTAAAACATATTTTATGGAAACAGTTTGTATACATGTAGTTTTTTTTATCACTGCAGATAAGATGTTGCAGTATTTCTGTAATAGTTGTATTGGCGTGTGTGGTTTGAACTGTTTATCAGATGTATTTTCCTTACTCACTGTAATGTATTTTAAATGACAAATATATAGCTTTTGTGACACTAGATTATTTTATTCAAAAATATGTTTAAGATAATATTTTTTACATATTTTGTTCAGAAATTAGATATATGTATATAATACAGAATAAAATAAATAGGAATTAAAATTTGAAATATTACAAGAATAAACTGAAGAGCACTTATATATTTCAAGTTAATGCATTTTTTTCTTTGTAACATAATTATAGAAGTATTATAATTGGTACTTACCAATTTCCGACTCTTAGTCCATGCCTGAGCATTAGTGGACAGCTGACAAATCTGCAAAGGACGATTACATTAGTTTTCTTTACTTGTTACATAATGTTGAGAAGGTTATGCTTCGCCCTCGAAATTTTCTTTGAAATTAAATGATGACTTTTCTTCTCTTCACAAGCAGCACCCACTTTTATAATTAAACACGATTTTACATGTAAAAATTATACTTTTTATTATGAAATACACAAGGTCCATCGATACCAAACTGATGAAAATTTTGTATTACAAATAGGGATATCACTTTCCTAGCTGAAACTAATATAGCAAAGGAATATATAATGGTTATATATGTACGAAAAGTACCTGGGGAGCCACTATCCCATATTTTTGCAAAAGTCGTGCCCCACAAATCCTGCCTACGGCGGCCGCCATGATAGTAAAACGTCGTAATGAAAGACTATTTGATTGACATCTGCAAAATCCAATCTTGCCGCACTCAGAATATTTTGAAAAACTTTAAAAAATATATGTAATACAATTTACAATTATTAAAAATTTTGAATTTATGGTTTAATTAATAATTAGAAAAAAGATTCCTTTAAAAATGCTCACTTCTATATATTCTTTGTAATATATGTATTGTATTTTAATCTACATTTCAGTGATTAAATTATGTCAATGCCAACATGAACTATGGAGTATGGCATGAAATGTTTTCCATTTGAAATTTAAACAATTATCGAAATTTTTCAAATATCATAACAATTATATTAATTTAAAGCTTATACAATTATTACAATTATAAAGTTTTATGGCTTAAGTATTATAGAATGTTTTTATGTGTACTGGTTACATGTTAATTAAATATTTTTTTAAAGTTCGTAGTTCTGTAGTTGTGAATATAATATTTAAAAGGTAAGAATCCGAAGTAGAAAGCTTACGCCACCTTAATAATTTTAGTACGTTTGTAATCAATTTAAATTGTATCAGTGAATGTTTAATTTTAAACTTAAAAATGAAATTTGATTAAAAAAATAATTTAAACATTTGCAGGTTAGGAAGTTGTACAGCGCCGAAAATGCAGGTATTTACGCAAAAACGGAACCCAATTACTGGCGGTACGGAATGGGACGTTCAGCACGAAGACTATGATTATCACCAAGAGATAGCTCGTTCAGCATTCGCTGATATGTTGCATGATACTGAGAGAAATAAGAAGTATCAAAGAGCCTTACAGTTAGCTATAGAAAAGATGCACAATCTCGGCAAGAAGGCTAATGTATTGGATATAGGTGACTTTAATTTTCATTTAAATGAAACTTATTTTTTTCGAATATACTACTAGTGTCTGACACTCATATTTCGTCTCCCCGTGTTCACGGTTGTTGAAAAGTAGCTGAAACATCGGAAGTATTTATTTTTAATCGAAAATTAAGTCCTGTAGTATATCCGAAAAATATTAGTTTCATTTAAATTAATAAGACTCGCGAAAATCCTAGATCTCACTATGAGTTTAATTTTAAGTGATCCACATCAAAAAAGTTATTGTAAAATCAAAGGTATATAAATAGTTTTTTGATAATAATTTTTTGTTTAACTTTTCAGGTACTGGAACAGGTTTACTATCAATCATGGCAGCGAGGTCTGGAGCGGACAGTATTACTGCATGTGAGGCTTTTAAACCAATGGCAGAATGCTGTATTAAAATCCTTGAACGTAATGGAGTTAAACACAAAATAACAGTTATCCCGAAGAGATCAACAGAATTAATAGTCGGAGAAGATGGGGACATGAAGGAAAAAGCTAATATATTAGTTACAGAAGTGTTTGATACTGAACTAATTGGAGAAGGTATGAAAGCTATTGAAATCTTATGAAACACACAATGTTAGTGTTGTGTATTAGTTATACTTGGTCAGTATTAAATAATTATATGATGCCAAGTGTAATGTAGGTAGATCACTTTTCACATTAGGCTCTTATAGAGTATCTTCTTAATGAAATCTAAGGCTTTCATAAGTGTTATTCATTTAAAGAAAACTAATAATGTGATTTTGTCTGCCCGTGATCACAGTTGCTGAAAATAGCCAAAACATGGGGAGTATGTAGTTATTTACAAAAATAAAATCCCATAGTATATCTGAAAAATATTAGTTCATTTAAATGAGTATCTACTTGTTGTGTATTAGTTATACTTGGTTGGTGATGTTAAATAATATGATATCAAGTGTAATGGGAATATTACACAGGTTGTGTTATTCAGGCTTGCTGCTTACCATAATCCAAATACTACAAATCCCTACTAATATTATAAATGCGAAAGTAACTCTGTCTGTCTGTTACGCTTTCACGCCTAAACCACTGAACTGATTTTAATGAAATTTGGTACAGAAATGAAGTCGACCTTGAGAAAGAACATAGGACAGTTTTTATCCCAGACTTTTGAAAGGTTCTCTTGGAAACGCGATATAACCGAACTCCACACGGGCGAAGCTGCGGGCGGAAAGCTAGATGAACATAATTTTATTGAATACTATGGTTATGTATGCAATTTAATTTCCAGGTGCTATCTCTACATTTTCACATGCACACAAGTTTTTACTTGAAGAAGACTGTATTGTGATTCCCGACTCAGCCGTCATATATGCTCAAGTTGTTGAATGTCCTGCACTTCAGAAATGGAATAAACTTAATGACTTGGCTGATGAAGATCTACAACTAATTTTACGAACACCTCAAAAAGTATGTTAACAATACAAAACAACTTTTGACAAGTAGTGTATTAAAATTAAACCTAGATTGAGTGTGACTGCAAAAAATGTTGATGTTTTAGATTTTAATGAATACACATTAATTTGATCTTATTTTCATTTTTTCTGCATACATCATGGTCACTGTAAAATACTGATTGTACATTGGCAATAATATAAAATAATATAACAAACTGCATAGTACATTCCAACAAATAGTCTAATTTGAATGCAAATAGTGTTACCTGGCTATCTATGCTACTCAAGGAAATAATCTATTGTGGCTTTGTTTTACTAAAAGCTATATTTAAATTGATATTATTTATACATAACAATATATGCAAACACATATTTGCCCAATAACTTTTCTTGTCTGTAATTTACACATAGTCCATCTAATTGTCTGTTAAGTTTTTATTCTAATTCTTAAATTTCAGATGAAAGATTGTGCTGGAACAGCCGCAGTTCACGATCTTCAACTATCTCAGTTACCTCGACAGGCTTTCAAGGAGTTGTCAGATCAAATACCAATCTTTTATTACGATTGGTCAGGTCGTTCACCCATTGACAAAAACAGAACAGTGAAACAACAGTTTGTTGTCACAAACACTGGGATAGCACAAATAGTTTTTATGTGGTGGGAGTTAAATATGGATACCGAAGGTATTTATAAATTTCAATAATATTTAAGTTTAAACTAGTTTGATTCTCTGGTCCTTTTGTATTCTTTTTTCAATACTTATTTTCTTTTGCTATGAAAAAAAGTCTGTCACTGTTATCCAGAAATTCTAAATAAAAGTGTTTATGAAACTAATAATTTCGGATTTACTACGCGATATTGGAGTGACACTCACATCTCGTCTGCCCGTGATCAAGGTTGCTGTAAAGTAGCCTTAAATGTCGGGAGTATGTAGTTTATAGTCAAAAATAAAAAAATGGCGTAGTAAATCCAAAAATATTAGTTTCATTTAAATGAATATTTGCGAAAATCTTAGATCTCATTAAAAGTTTTTATATTATTAGGAGCACAAACAAGTTTCCGCCGTTTTATTATAGATGGCGCGGCACCGAGTTTCGGTTATTTTTCGCAGATGATAACTGACTTAAAAAATAGTTTGGATATTCAACTGGCTTAAAAAATAGTTTGAACAACATAACCTATTAATATCATTAATTTTGTTTTGGTAAAATATAATTTTTATAAGTTAAAAATGTCAAAATTTGAACCAAGTAAGCGTCATTTGCGGGAAAAATTAGTTTACTTCTTTTTCTACTAACAAAGTACCCTATTGTGACTTTGGCTGGGGCTGTTAAAGTTTATTTTAATTTAAAGTTAATCCCGGATCGTGTCTCTCCCAATCTACTCGACATTGGCAGAATATACTGTGCACTTTTCTGCACGGATGAAGGCCATATTATAAAAAAAAAATAAAATAGTTTACTTCTTTAATTTAAAGAAATCTGCTGCTTAGGCGCATCAATTATTCGTAAAAGCATATGGTGAGGGTGCTTTGAGTGAGAGAATACGTCGAGAGTGGTTTCAAAAGATTTCGACGTAGAAGACAAAGATTGCAGTGGAAAGCCAAAAATTTACGAGGATGCAGAATTAGAGGAATTATTGGAGGAAGATTCATCTCAAACACAAAAAGACATTGCTCTAACGTTCGAAGTCACTCAGCAAGCAGTCTCACATCGTTTAAAATCATTAGGAATGATTCATAAATAAGGAAATTGGATTCCATATTAATTAAAGCCGAGAGATTTAGAACGCCGATTATGCTAAGTGAAATGCTGCTAGATAGACTTAAAAAAGGGTTTCTTACATCGTATCGTAACTGGTGATGAGAAGTGGATACATTATGACAATCCAAAAAGAAGAAAATCATGGGGATTACCTGGCAAAACCAAATATTCACAAAAAAAATTGCTGTGTATTTGGTAGGATCAGCTAGGCGTAGTGTATTATGAGTAGCTTAATCCGTGCGAAACAATTACTGGAGCCCTCTATCGAACACAATTGATGAGATTGAGCCGAGCTCTCAAGAAAAAATGCCCTCAATACTATTGTAGACGCGAAAAAATATTCTTCTGCATGACAATGCTCGTCCACATGTTGAAGCTCCCGTGAAAAAGTACTAGGAGACACTTGATTCGGAAGTGTTACCCCACCCGCTGTATTCACCAAACATTGCACCGTCCGATTATCAACTGTTCCGGTCAATGGCATATGCTCTGACGGCGCAGCGGCTCACATCTTATGAGGATACCAAAATTGGGTTGATTCGTGGATAGCCTCAAAAGACAAGGAGTTCTTCAAACTTGGGATTGGAATGCTGCCTGGGATAGGAAAAATTGGTTGCAAGTGATGGATAATATTTTAAACAAATTTATATTAACGTTCTTCTATAATAAATATTTAATTTGTGTCTAAAAACGGCGGAAACTTATTTGTACTCCTGTATAATACTTACATTCATAGACTTAAATGAGAAATACATATATGAACTCTGTTTAAAGAAGAGTTATATGTATTATATTAAATCAAGATCATTACATTCATAACATCACTTTTTATTTTTTAGGTAAAATATGTCTAAGTTGTGCGCCATGGTGGGCACATCCAGATGCGAATTTATCGTGTGAAAGACCACAAGACTCAATTCCTTGGCGTGACCATTGGATGCAAGCCGTGTATTACTTACCAAAAGAAATAACTGTTCAAAAAGGCTCTGAAATATCCTTGGTCTCCTGTCAAGATGAATATTCATTATGGTTTTATGTTGACGACGGCAAAACCATATATAAAAACTATAAAAGGCCTATATGTGAATGTGGCGTTCATATGGCATTATCAAGAACACATGTGTCCTATTTGAATGATGGCAGGAGAAGTAAAAAATATTTGGCACAATTAAGGGAAGATTTACCTAAAAACGCTGTGGTTTTAGACTTAAATGGGAGCAGTTTTATCGGTCTAGCTTCAAGTAAAATGGGAGCTAAAACTGTATATGTATTGGAGAATTCAAATCTGAATGTATCAATTTTAAATGATTATATAAAAGAAAATGATTTACAAAATGTTGAGATTATATCGGAAGTCACAGATGATATTTTGCATAGTGTAACAAATGTCATAGGTGATCCTAATTTCAGTAGTGCTATATTGCCATGGGAGAATCTGAAAATCGCCTATTTATTATACAAATATAGAAGTAAATTAAGGGATAGTGTTGTGATAATGCCAGATTGTTGTGAGTTTTGGGCTATGCCGGTCGAGTTTCAAGATTTACATAAAATAAGAATACCATTAAATAAATGCGAGGGTATTGACATGACGATATTCGATAATCTAGTTGAGGTGCGTTCATTACTATATTTTATACAATTTCGTTCGTAGTGAATTTATTATAAGTTTTTTGCATGACGAAATAATAGTGTCCAAGTAGTAGGAAAAAAAGTTAGAATAAGAAATGTTGATAAAAAAACATAACTTTAACATTTCTAGTAATATTGGAATTTAAAATTATATAATTTGTTCAAAAACATCTCCTTACACTGGGTTTTGGCATAAATGATAAAGTTAATTCCTAACACATTTTGTATTGGCAATGTATAAAAACATAACCTAAGTAAATATTTCTATACCAAATCTTAGTTACCCTTTTAAGTTGGATATTAGGTAATGTTAATAAATGTCTAATATAATATATATTTTCTATTATAATTCCAGAGTTCCCGTATAATAAGTGACGCTGATATCGAAGCGCAGCCTCTATGGGAATACCCTTGTATATGTCGTGGAGAGGCGCGGAAAATTATTGAAGTCAACATGTCAGATCTCAAACCTACGATTGCTTGTGATGGCGCTTATAAAGTTAGGTTGGTAAAGAAATAAGAAAAATAAATAAGAAAAATTACTTATTTTTGTCACATGTTTAACATATACAGCCAATGTGAAAACTCATTGGACTAAAAACTTCTTTTTGTTAAATGATTATGTTTACTTATTTATTATTTAAATAGGATTCATGTTAATTGTATTATCAACCAAATTAAAGTTGGTAGGTGGTTTACAAACTGTTAAATTGATTTTGCATTAGATGTATGTTTTTTGCTTTTGGTATTTTATAAATGTTGTAAACATCATAAGAATATGTAAGACATGTCAATTTTAATTTTACACTAATATGTTAATACCAGTAGATGTCCATATATTTTTAATCTTTACAGATTCCAACAGTTTGGATGGTATTTAAAAATGAAATATTAGTGAACGAAAATAATTTTAAAATTCTTATCATTTTTATTAATACAGATTTTAAAGTATTTTTTTTTACACCAACAAAGCATTATTTGATTAATCTCAATAAATTCAATTGTATTAAGCTGAAGTAAATACAAGGATACGAATAAATTTAATTGAATATTTCTATTTCCAGTGACAATGAAGATAATGATTCAAAACCAGTTAATGGTTTTGCTATATGGTCGGTTTGGCGAGTAGGCGGGAAACCTATCAGTAGTGGCCCAATAGATTGGCCCAATGTTGGACAAAGAGTTGAATGGGACATGCATACAAGACAGGCTGTTAAGATATTTGTTAGTATTATATTAATACAAAATAGTTCTATTGAACATATGTTTATTATATACTAGCTCCCGCCCGCGGCTTCGCCAGCGTGGAGTTCGGTTATATCGCGTTTCTAAGAGAACCTTTCAAAAGTCTGGGATAAAAACTATCCTATGATCTTTCTCAAAATCAACTCTATCTCTGTACCCGCGGATTTCCGGGATGTAAAGTAGCCTATGTGTTATTCCTGGACGTCAGCTTCCTGTATACAATATTTTATCAAAATCGGTTCTGTCGTTTGAGCTCGAAGAGGTAACAAACATACACACTCACAAACTTTCGCAATTATAATATTAGTTGGATATTATGTTATATTTATTATATCTGAACAAAATTAAGTTGTATGTTGTAATTAATACAAACATTGTATATCTATTTTTCTATGCTATTTTTATACTAGGTGTGCAACTAAGTTCCCGGGTTTCATACGTAGATGCCGTTAGCGACAAATATAGACGACGTACATGTCTGAAATGTTTTTTTACTAGCTTGGACCTCTAATAACAATAACCAGTGGTGATATCAATAAGTACCGCAGCATACAAATATATTTTTTAACGAGAAAGATATCGAGTTTTGTGCCAAATAAACTGCATTTGCGGGAAGTTTTACTTTTCAACTTCAACTATTAAAAAAATGCAGCTGAAGCACGTCGTTTGCTTGAGGATGCCTACGGCGAACACACACCATCAAAAACTACCTGTGAAGAGTGGTTTAAACGCTTCAGGAGTCGAGATTTCGACATCGAGGACGAGAAGCGCTCCGGTGGACCAAAAACAATTGAGGACGCCGATCTGCAAGCGTTATTTAATGAAGATGACACACATACACAAGACCAACTTGCGGAGGCATTAAACATGACTCGACAAGGTATTTCCAAACGTTTACATGCAATGGGAAAAAATTTAAAGGAAGGAAAATGGGTGCCGCATGAGTTGACTGAGAGACAGATGGAAAATCAAAAACCACTTCCGAAATTTTGCTTTGTATGAAAGAAAGAGTTTCCTCCATCGGATTATTACTGGCGATGAGAAGTGGATATATTTCGAGAATCCCAAACGCAGAAAATCGTGGGTTTCCGATGGCGAAGCATCAACATCGACGGCATCGCCAAACCGCTTTGGAAAGAATACAATGCTTTGCGTTTGGTGGGATCAAAAAGGTATCCTGTACTACGAGCTGCTGAAACCGGGCGAAAATGTCAATGGGCATCACTACCGACAGCAATTAATCAATTTGAACCATGCCTTGCTCGAATGGCCAGAACGGAACACAAGACATAAACAAGTGATATTGCAACACGACAACGCACCGTGCCATCGCAGTAAAGTTGTCCAGGACACCATCAAAACGCTGAAATGGGATCTGCTATAGAACCCGCCTTATTATCACTTGTTCCGTTCGATAGCGCATGGCTTGTCTGGGCTACACTTAACTAATTACGAGGAAGTGCAAATTTGGTTGATGAATGGTTTCAGTCCAAAGACGAGACCTTTTATCGTCGCGGTATCCATGCATTGCAAGAGAGATGGCAAATATGTATAGCTAGCGAAGGGAGATATTTTGAATAAACTATTTTTTGTATGTGTCTTAATTTTTTTTTATTTTTTATTGATCAAAAAAATCACGGAAACTTAGTTGCACACCTATGTATTATATGAAGTCAATTATCATAACTTTTCTTTGTATGTGAAAGGTTAACAATTCACAAATTTAAAATTATTTTTGAAAGATCAAACCATATATTTTAAGAGTAAAGTAAGAACTTGTAATGTTGGACATTTAGATACAGGAATCCAGGAAGATACAGGACTTAATTGTGAATACATATTTATATTAATTTTATTTATTTAACAATTAATTATTATATTTTATACAAATTTATTCTTGAATTTGAACTTATTATATATTTTTATGTAAGTCCAGCATTTTCTGAACAAAATTCCATTGGACACAGTGTGAGGGTAGTTAGTCAGATGTCGAATTGTTTTTAAAGTGCTTTAAATATCTTCTACTATTTCCTGAACTAAATTCTGTCTGAAATATCTTCAAATGCAAGTCAATATAATATTGTTTTTATTTCACAGAAAAAAACCTGCTCAATAAATTCTTCAGACAAGTGGAACTATCAAGTGGCTTGTGATTTGAAGACAGGAGAGTTCAGCCTTAACATCAATTGGGAACAATAGTGGTCCACAAACATAATATATAATATACAATTATACTTGGTCATTTTGTTTTATTTCAAATATACCTGGAGGGTTTTCTCATAGTAAAATTAGTCTTACAGAATTCAATAAGATGTGGATTGACACTTTAGGAAGCCTTTATTCAAAAAAAGCTAAATTAACAAAATCTCAACAGAAAAACTATCAATAACTCATCTCAATATCAAAATTATTAAAAAAAAATAGTAAACCAAAAATGTGTTTGGCGAATTTTGAATTAAGAATATTGCTATTACATACAATATATAGGTGTGTAATAAATACAGTAATTTCCAGTTATTATATAACATAGATTTAGACCACCGCAGTGTTGACATATAAATTCATACAAGAAACGCAGCCCGTTATCAAAGATCCGACGTGTGTTCACAGAACTCCGTAAAAAGATCGGACGTTAAAATATGGTAACTAGAAACTAGCATCACCTACCGCAGTACATTTAAAAACTTAATAGCAACTTAGTAATTCCGTACTCGTATTTCAAGCACGCTTTTTGTGTCGTCTTCACGCAATCTCATTATACTGTCGGGAACTCACACGATTAATTAATTATTTATGGCTTATTAGAAAATCAACTTCGGATCGAGCCTCGGATGTGGATTCAATCTGTTGTAACGGATACGTTTTTGTTTCCGACATTATCTGTACTGCTGGAACACATGACGTTTTTGTTGTGCGTTTGATGTTTACTGTTGACAGCGAATAATGGTTTAGAAATAAATAAATATATGCACAGAAAAAAAAACATTAACGTCAAAAATATATTTTTAATTCCCTTAAAGTGTTGTTAGTATTCACTCAATTTATATTTGTTGCAATAATAATTCACACATCATGATTCCATCATAAGGATCTCAGATCGTGATGCCATAATGAATAAGAGGATGTCTGTCGAATTCAAATTAAATGTGACTTAATCTCGGTCATGACTTGAGTGGGTTTGAAGAAACAAAATGTATTAGATTTATAACAAATACAGGAGATGACTTGCAGTTTTTTTCCATTATGTAGAATAAGTGTTATAAAAAGTAGATTGGTATGTATGTGTTAAGTAATTATTTTTTAAACTTTTAATGGAGTAAATGACTTGTGTGATTGAATAATGCTCTCGTGTGAGTGAAGATACCATAGTTATGATCAAAATTGTCAAGTTTTGTATTGTGTACGAGATCGTTGGCGGTTATTTCCTGTCTGTATGTGGTCCAGTCCGTCAGTCAAGTATTATGGATAAGGGCTGATGAAGACGCGTTTTTGTATTTTCTCATGTTGAATGCCGCTTAGAGCAAGAAAACAAGTTTTGCGCTTACCGTTTACCTCAAATAGTTTTTTTCTTAAAATCGATTTCTTACGTAGAATATTTTTATAAGTCCCTGTAGTTATAAATTGTTGCTATTTATAAAATTTACTGTTTTTTTTTTCTTGGATCCGTTCTCATCTAGAAATAATTGTTTTAGGAACATTCCTGTCATATATGATGCGATGTTGTAGTTAATTTGAAATTGATAGCTATTTTTTATAAAAAAAGCATTAATGTAAAATAGAAAACAATAAAATTAGTCATTGTAATACAAAGTTTCGTTTGTATTCGTATTTGTCAGTTTACTTGAAAACGAAAATTTAATTGGCATAATATAAATACTAGCTGCGCCCCGGGGTGTTACCCGCGGTTTTCCGGGATGTAAAGTAGCCTATGTGTTATTCCTGGACGTCAGCTCCCTGTATACAAAATTTTATCAAAATCGGTTTAGCCGTTCGAGCGTGAAGAAATAACAAACACACACACTCACAAACTTTCGCAATTATAATATTAGTAGGATTAATGAACTTCTGCCAAAGGTACGTAACATTTGTTATGATGTTACAAGAATCAAATACACGTAAAATATTCGACATAAAAGAGGATATTACGAGAGGATTAACAAAAAAAAAAACAATAAAGACATGTGGAAACAATCTTGTGATGTTATTTTTTTTCCATCCTAAACGACTCTCAATAGGAATCTAAAGAGAATTACCAAAACAAGGTCGTTTGAACGACTATATGCCCGCATATTTATAAAAAATATAGTTTTAAAAATAGCTTCACAGATATTTTTATATATACTGGTTTCAAAACTATGAGACGAATTCTCAGCATTCCGTGAGCTCACAGTAAAGGTGCCGGGTCCATCGCGTTGAAGGGAGAAGAGCTTCAACAGTGTCTTGGACTTGCGACCCAGATGTAGGTTTATGTTGTAATACTCATTAGTCTTGATGTCATGGACTTTGGGGATGTTGGTTTCCCAAGAAACCGTAAGCTGTAATATAACAACGCGCTTTAAAATTCGAGAATACAGAAATATATCTGGTTTGGACGCCGACGCACATATAATTTAATATTATATGAAAATATTTAAGAATTTGGTATTGACATAAATTAAAAAAATAATAAGGGTTTCTTTTTAACGAAGCTAAGTAAGTTCCAACCAAAAGGGATACTTTGAAAAGATTTAGCTTAAACAGCGATAACATCTACATACAAAAAGAAATATCTCATTTATAACTTAATTAGCACTAATCACTTAGGATCATAGAATATAAAATATGTCTGTTCATAATTTTTTAGTTAGTGGATTTGATAAATTAAGGGCCTCGGTGTGAATTCCCGTCGTCTTAACACCCACCGCTTGAAAGACGTATGTACGTTCAAAAACACACTATGGTACAAATATTAGAAATTTTGGATATTGAATTCAAAATTTTAAATTTGTACTAAGATACAGTGGAGTTTTATGTAGTTATTTTTTTTATATTTTTGTTAAGACTGGAGGCACAGATATTACTACAATTGTGATTAAATTATTCATCCATTAACTGGGTTGGTATAGTAATATACATATAATTTTATTTAATTCTCAATATTTTTGTAGTAGAATCTTTTTAGTATACGCTTTCTTTATAATTAAATTATGTTTTGCACATGAATGTATAGAAAAGTGACCGGTACCTATGTTTTATTATGTTATTAAAATCAAAATACTTAATAATTTCTTAATCCTAAATTAATTTATTTAATAATAGTTAATAACAAATAAAAATTGACACTATCTATAATTTATTATCTATATCATTGACCATAGTGTTGAAAATTCATGATCTCGAAAGACATCATCGCTGTGAATGGGGACGAAAAAATAAGAATGGAATGTTATAACTAAGAAATAAATTAAAACTCTATGAAGACCAGTCGTCATTTATGAATGACAGGCAATAAATCTAATTTACAGATCTAATAGACTCATATGAAAGTACTTTTTACTTCTTTTGTATCAGCGAGGTTTTTTTATTATATATTTTTTTTATAAAACTCTAGTCGATTCTGTTGTTGTTAATTGGTATTTCTGTCGATCATATCATAGGTAACAAAACCAAGCTCGTATTTATAATTAATAAGTTCATTCTGGTTATATTTAGTAACAAATGTTTGTAATTTCAAAGATAATATTAAATTTCAGAAACGGCTAAAACATATTTTATGACAAATATGTAAGATTAATGTCCTATATCCAAAAAATATATACATAAAATTTTCAATAGTCTCATTTGTAACATTATCAAATTCAATAGCATTTATTAAATTAAAACACTTTCTAAATTTTAACTTGGTCCATGTAGTCTTACAATAAAAAAATAACGGAAACGAAGTGCCTTAAAAACTAATATTTACTACGAGGCTTTGGCAATGATAAAACCTTGTATAATATTGAATCATTTGTGCCTTAATATCAAGAATATGTACATCTTGGGTAGTGTCGACATCACGAAATAACCGCCGTGGGCTGGTGTATTCAATTTATAAAGCTGAGGTCGCGCCTGGAGCGAGGTCAGAGGTCAATCGGACTCTTGATGACCGTCACATTGGAAGCAAGCCATTGTCGTATAACACCGTGCAATCAGCTGACCATAGACGTAAATCTCATATATATCTGATAGTAAAATCTCAAAACTATACAATAAATAACAGATTGAAAGGCCGTCTGTGTGTTTTGTAACATGACAAGAAATAATTTGACGATTAAATAAATATGTATGTAATGCTGGTGAAGTCAAAGATTATGTTTATAACTTAAATTGTTTTAATGAACATAATTTTATCATATATATTTACTAATAGTTATTATGTATATCCCTACTAATATTTTAAATGTGAAAGTAACTCTGTCTGTCTGTCTGTTACGCTTTCACGCCTAAACCACTAAAATGATTTTAATGAAATTAGTTACAGAGATAGAGTAAACTTCGAGAAAGAACATAGGATAGTTTTTATCCCAGACTTTTGAAAGGTTCTCTTGGAAACGAGATATAACCGAACTCCACGCGGGCGAAGCTGCGGGCGGAAAGCTAGTGTACAATATAAGGCAATCTAAATAGTTATATATCAAGTAACTGATGTTAAGGCATAAAAAACTCTTTTTTGGTTTCTTTGTCCATTGTCGGAATGGCTGATTTCATTTTGACGCTATTCATCAATCCGAAAATCTTTTCAGAAGTTACTTAAAAACTAAATATTTATTTTCAAGCTTTTTATTCCGATTCTTAAATAGTCTTATATGTATAAAGATTACCCCTATTTAAGGTCATTCAAGTATTTATAAAATAATGTTAGTACTAAAACCGAAAATTAACGGCTCTACAATCTATACGTAATATCGACATATATATGTGATTTTTTATTTCTACAACGAATAAAATAATCTTTACATTCCACTGTAAATATTATTCTTTGAAAAAGAAAAACAGAAATATTAAGACATAAAAAGCTCCTTCGATTGATTCCACTCACGATGGAACTGTCTCCTGTCAATAGATCTCTATTTGGACATAACTTTTAACGATGGTGAGGTGTTATTTTTTTTATTGTATAAAACTTTATTTTTATGGCAACATCCGTGTGTTTAAAAATGTCTCGTTTGAAATGAATC